GAGGGCATTTTGTTGGACTGTTCCCCAACTTTGTGGCTGACATTAGACATGAGACTCTGGAGAACAAGGCTGACTCACTGAAACATGGTTTGGGAAGAGGAAGGATATGAGGTCAGGCATATCAAACCTTTGAATCCTGGATGGCCCTGAAGTCACCCACACTATGGAATACAACTGTTTTGCAGTCAGTTACAGGAGGGGTAAGTTAAACCAATTTTTTAAAAATTATGGGTCCAACTCCCAAGAAGTGGGCATACTAGATGCATGAGGAAATGCAGAATAGCAATAAGCAGCTAAATATATAATCACTTGGTCCATTTTATGTGTAAGTAAAGCTAAAATGAAAGTAAAGAAAAAACTGGGGTGGAGACTCTATCCCTATGGTTCTCATCCGAGGGGGGACAGTTCACCATCCATAGACATTTGGAAATGGCTGGAGATACTTTAATTGTCAAAACAGGGCATGGGAAGCTCCTGGCATCTTGTGGGTGGAGACCAGAGATGTTGCTTAACATTCTACAATGCACAAGAGAGCCCACACCACACAATCAAAAACCCCACTCAGCTACAAATGCCACATTTTCAACAGCACTGAGGTTGATAACCCATGACCCTAATCCAACCTGTGGGAAAGGGCAGGGGTGGAAGGGTGTAAAGGCAGTGAACACAGCTTGTGGTGACATTTGAGCCTGTTCTCAGAGGAGAAGCACGTGCTGCAACGACGGAGACTGGGGACACTATGACAAGGAGGAGGAACCAGGTGAATTCAGTGTGGGGAGGCCAGAAGGGACAGGAGGTGTTCAGGTGGTGGCAGGGATGTGGCTGAGGAGTGTGCGGGTTGGTGACTGAGAGAGTGGCATGGTGATAGTGAGGCTGTGAATTTTCCTGAACATCTCCTTACTGAATCGATACCTTGAAAGTGGCAGGTGGGGAAAGATGTGTAGCCAGGGGAGGAGCATAGCTGGAGCTGAGTGTTAGAAAGTTCCCTGTTCTGCTGGAGTTTTAGTTTTGGTGTGGCTGGAAAGAAGCAAACAGCTTAAAGGAGCTATCCAGAGGGCAGGAAACAGAGAGCCTCAGAAAGCATATCTTTCACCCTGTGGCTCAGCCACAGACATCATCCCTCAGGACGGACAACCCTGTGGGGCAGACAGACATCATCCTCAGGACAGACAATGCCTGAGAGTGAACAGGAGAGGGGGGAAGATGAAGCAGAGAGAGGAGCCCAGCCAGACGACTCCTGGTTCTCTGCTCCCTGACAGATCCATTCAGCTCCACAACTTTCCCCTCCTTCCCCCAGACAGGAACATAAGACTTTGGACTCAGGCTCCTCTGCGGAGTTGGGAGGCAGAAACCAGAGTGCTTCCTGGGACCCGGTTTCAGCACCATGGACAGTGGTAGTGGCCCAGCCACAGTCCACCTGGGGTTCAGAGTCTTCCTGGGGTTCAGTCTCCTGGGAGTTTGAGCAGCCCCTGGAGCCAGCCATTTATCAGGCCCAGGGCAGAGTTGGAGGGACTGGGTGAGTGTTGGCTGACCTCCTAAGTCACTAATGATGGTCACGGGTGTCGGAACCTCCGGTGTGCCGCCTTCCTCAGACGTGGGCTTTTTCCCCGTAAGGAAATCAACTGTGTACTGGATTCTGTGCTAACTCATTAGATGGGAAAAACAAAGCCAGATTCGGAGCATCACTGGAGGAGAGCATTCACCACTTAAAGTGGGGTCCTTCTGACCCTTTACAGCTGTTCCAAGACCTTAGGAAAAATCAGGTTTGTTTTTAGCTTTTTATCTGCCCCCCAGCCAGCTGAGTACCTTCAAGCATGCTTTCTATCTTTGCCCATCTGAGTTGATGAAACTCTTACAGTCCGGGACAGGCTTTCCCTTTTTCTGGGTTTCTCACATTTCTGTCAACAGCCTTCTGGTCTCTGCCAAGGTGGTCTCAACCACCCCAGACTCCCAGCCCCACTTCTGTCCAGGCACTTTCTGCAGTAACTCACCCAGGCTGGCCTGAGCCCTAAGTCAAAGAGTCGCAGGAAGTGAAGTAAGTAGATTTATATGTTATATAGATTGGTGATAAGGAGTTTGCAGGAAAACAAAGCAGGAAAGTTATGTAGAAAATATGGGGTGGATTACATTCTTCATGGTATTGATTGTGGATGTCATTTTTGAGAAGCGGAGCTTTCAGTGTGCACACATGCACACTCACCACAGGTGCCTCCCAGTCACACACACCTCTCAGATGTCCACACAATTCACACAAGGACCACAGACACACATGTACACACAGAGGTCACAGATACCCATATACACTCATCTACAGACAGACATGCCTCAAATACACAACACTTCTAAAGAACACACACAAACAAACACAACAGGCCTGAACCCATGATTCTCAAACAGGCAGCTTTACAGGGGAAGATTCAGGCTGGTGGTCAAGCCAAGCAGACCCAACATCCCAGCAGAAAGGAAGGTCAGGGACGCCCATGACTCTAGGTTCTTCTCTGCCATTCCACTGACCTTGTCATTCTCAGAAGCCACCCCCTGCCATCTGATGTCCCCACACCCTTAGTCCCTGAGGCTGTGGTCCTGCAGTCCCTTTGGCCTCATCACCCCACCCACTGGCCTGTGAGGGTAATACAGTTGTGTCCACACTGAGACCAAGCACTGGGAGATGGGAAGGGAAGGGGGGAACATCTCCCCACGTTCGGAAAGACTGAGACCTGAAGCCAAGACAGGTGGGAAGTGAAGTGGACTCACCTGAAAGGAGTGAGGGGCAGGTGAAGAAGCAGGAGGGGAAGAGAAAGTGGGAATGAAAAGCAGGAAAAGAGCAGGTAGAGGAGGAGGAGGTGGATGTAAGGGGCAGGGGCAGGGGAGATGTGGAAGAGAGAATGGGGGAGGGGAGGAGGCGGATTCCCTTGGATCCTGGAGCGGAGATGCTGAAGGACTGACTGGGACAAGGGGGCTGCAGCTGTACCCCCTCTTTGCCCCACCAGCGTCTCGGGCTCTGGTCCTGCTCTGTCAAATGGGGTGACTTGCCTCCCACACAACCCTGCTCCCCTTTGACCCCCCGGCTCAGCAGTCCCATCCCCCAGGCCCACCGTCTCTCCCACCTCAGGTTCCTCCAGCCCACCCTCCTCTTGTGTCAGCCCTGACCAGCCAGACTGTGACTTAGTCCCTGCCCCCAACTCCAGGTCCAGCAGGGTCTGCCTCACCTTAGCCCAGTCCCCAGAACACCCCGCTCCACAGACGGGAGGCAGGAACCCAGGGTGCAGGCGCAGTGACGGGCCTCTCCAGCTGAGGGAGCTGCCTGAGCACAGCCCACAGGGCTGGTCCTGCACTGGGGAGAGAAGAAGTGGGTGGCTGGGCTGAAGCTGCAGCCATGCAGAGTGCAGAGCTGGTGGAGGAGAAACAGTGGCTTCCTCCCCTTACCAAGTCCTTCCCTTCCCTCTTCTCCTCACACCTGCAGAGCAGCGCCGTCCTATAGACCTGCCCCGTGTGGACGGTGTCCAATGTGGGCCAGACCAGGCCGCTGCACACACTTCACTTGAGGGAAACCCCCTGTGTTTTCTGGCTCAGGCTGTCACAACCAGTGATGCCACTATGAGTGTAAAACACAGCAAGTCATATTCTCACAGTTCTGGAGACAGGAAGTTCAGCATCAAGGTGTTGGTAGGACTGGTCCCCTCTGAGGCTTCTCTGCTTGGTTTGCAGACGGTTCTTCCCCTGCAGTCTCTCCTCTGTGCCTGTCTGTGCCCTAAACTCTCTTTATTAGAGCACCAGTTCTATTTTATCAGAATCTACCCTAGTGACCTCATTCTAACTTAATCCCCCTAAAATACGCATCTCCAACACCAGGCACATTCAGCAGTAGTGGGGGCCACAACATGAACAAATGAATTTTGGGGGTGACAGAATTCAGCCCACAGCACCCCGTGAGCCTGGGTGTCTGACTGTGCACAGGCAGTGAGGCCTTTCCCCAGGCAGCACAGTGAGCAGGAGGGAGCCAGGCTGGAGCCCAGGGCTGCCTGGCTGCAGAGCCTGCAACACTGATCCCACCCTGGAGTCCTCCACTCAGGAAGCCAAGGGCTGAGCTGACCATCAGGGGATGTCCACTAAGGGCCAGACTCAGAGTGACCACTGAGGACCTGTCAAGGCCAGCACCTGCCCTTACCTAGGGTTCCCCACAGACGACCAGGTTTGAGGACTGTGAGGCCTCCCTGTGAGGGTAATACAGTTGTGTCCACACTGAGACCAAGCACTGGCAGATGGGGAAAGTGAGGCTTGGAGGGCAGAAGAGCCAGGCCCACCTGACTGCAAAGGCATCTGCTGGCATCTTGCACTCAGTCAACACCAGGGATGCCCGGGCAGGGGAGCTCCAAGCAGGTCAGCCAGCTGAGGACCACCTGTGGGGTCACAGGCTGCTGACCTCCTTGAAGACCTGATCCTGTCCTCTCTGGTCCTCTCACATGGGAGCTGCCCAGAAGACCAGAGTTTCCTACACGCCCCCATGTGCTCCCACCAACACACCGGGGACCACCTGGAGTTGGCATGGACTGGAGCCCCTCTGCCTCCTCAGGTGTTAGGGTCACTCTCAGGGACAGGGACAAAGGCTGCCACTGTCTCCACTTTGACTCCATGCCCCTGAGGGGGTAGATGCTCTGGAGGATCTACCAGAGCAGTGTTCATTCATTCATCCATTACCACCTGTCTCACCTGGAGGACTAAGTCACATTTCATGCCTCACCATTCCTGTCAGCCCCTCCTGAGTCCCACCCCCAGGGGCTGATCCTGTGTATTGTACAGAAGCTGTGTCTGCTTTTCTGAGTGGACAGCAGTGACAGAGGGACAGGCGAGGACATGGAGTTGAGAGTGGTGGGGTGGGTCTTCCTCGGTGTGTGGGGACCTCACGGGGATATCGTGTGGAAAGTGGAAGTGCTTATTCTCCAAGGGCAGGGCCAGCTCCCCCACTGGGGCTGCCCACTTCCTCCTCACAGATTGTCACCTTTCTCCCTTCCCCCTGGCTTCCTGTTGGGACTTCCTCTCAGTCCTGTGACACCAAGACCCTGACTCTTACCCCAGAGATGCTGCTGCTGCTGTTGCTGCTGCTGGCCCTGCTGTGGGCAGGTGAGTGCCCCAGGGGGAGCCTGTGGGCTGGGGTGGAGGCTGTGGCTGATTGGTCTTTCCACACAGGGTCCCTGGCTCAGAATCCAAGATTCCGCCTGGAAGTGCCGAGGTCTGTGACGGTGCAGGAGGGCCTGTGTGTCTCTGTGCCCTGCACCTTCTTTTACCCCCAGGATGGCTGGAACCAGTCTACCCCAGCTTATGGCTACTGGTTCCGGGAAGGAGCCAAAACAGACAAGGATGCTCCTGTGGCCACAAACAACCCCAATCATACAGTGAAGAACCAGACCACTGGTCGATTCCACCTTGTTGGGGATCCCCAGACCTACAACTGTTCCCTGCACATCAGAAACGCGCAGAAAAGAGACACAGGGAGATACTTTTTCTGGGTGGAGAGAGGATCCTCTGTGAAATACAGTTACATACACAACCATCTCTCTGTTCAAGTGACAGGTAAGAAACAGGGACAAGGTGAGGACACATGGCTGGGTTCTGAGGGCTCCTGACCTGGGAAGGACCCTGACTCTCCTCATCCTGGGAAGGACTCAGGGGCACCAATGGGGACTGGACCCTGGGGCTGGCCTGGCACAGAGGCTGCAGTTAGGGGCACACCTGGGGACCCCTCCCCCAGTGCTTTGGTTTCTCTTCTCCAGATCCGGTACCTGACATCCACATCCAGGGGACCCTGCAATCTGGCCACCCCAACAACATTACCTGTACAGTGTCATGGGCCTGTGACAGAGAGACACCACCCATCTTATCCTGGATTGGGGTTGACCTCACACCCCTGGGTCTCAGGACTCCCAGTTTCTCAGTGCTCACCCTCACACCAGGGCCCCAGCACCACAGCACCAACCTCACCTGTCGGGTGGAAATGCCTGGTGGTGAGATCAGGGAGAGGACCGTCCAGCTCAATGTGACCTGTGAGTATGCACCCAGTGAGGACACCAGTCCTTGAGGACGGATGGAGTTGGGGGCATAAGGTTGAACTGTGGAAGCGAGGCCAAGGAAGAAGGAAGGAGGACACCCAATTTCACCTGTTTTTTTGTGTACCATGTTCGTGGGCGGAAAGGGCCAATGCCCACCATTCTGCCATTGAGAAGGGAACAATTATGTCTGTCTGTGCAGATGCCCTCCGGAACCTGACCATTGTGTCCTTGACAGAAGGCACAGGTAAGGAGAATCTTCTCCTGTCTGGGGGGTGGAAGTGGGTCTCCCTGTGCCCTGCAGAGCAGAGCTGGAATTTCAGAACTCAGGTGGGAGATAGACTCGTGCCAGGTGAGAGGAAATCGGAGGTTAGAGGCCCCCTACTCACTCCTTCTCAACTCACAACCTGGCCTCCCCCATCCTGACCCCCTCACGGGACACTGCATGAGGTTCTCAGATGTACAGCACTGTGGCCAGACATTCATAGAACTTACAAAGGTATAAGTTTAGTTCCCCCTGGCACGACCCATAGTTATTACAATGTCATTCACTATATTCCCTCTGCTGTACTTTATATCCATACTATTGTTATAAAGGGCAATTTGCAATGTTATTTTTTAAGTCTCCCTTGATTTCTGCTAGTAGCCTCATGTAAACACCCCCAACATGGCCACTCAGTCAGGCCCCACAGGACTACTTGCTCCTCTGGGAGCAGGCGGGGCAATGCCCCACCCTGGTGGTAGTTGTGCTGTGTGCCATCCTCCCACAGTGTCCTCCACCCCAGCACCATCGCCTGGCCAGCTCCCTACCCTTCTTGTGCTCTGCTTAACCTCTCCTCCTCCAGGAAGCCCTCCCTGACCTGCCAGTCTCATTCAAGTCCCGTCCTCAGGGCTCCCTCAATGCAGTTAACCCCCCATCACAAAGTGGGTCTTACTACTCTGTGAGAACCCCCTTTTGGGGCATTTCGTCCATAAGACTGTGAGCTGTGACACACAGCTGAATTGGGCAGGTGATGGTGTACCACTTTGACAGACATAAATGTCAAGGTTCATACAGGGAAATCTGGGGTCTGCATTGGCACTGGTGGTCAAGGCAGAAGGCGTGGGTACCTGGATGGTCCAGCCAAACACTCAGCAGCCCCTTGCAGAGGCTGTGATCTCTGCCCGTAGCCCTGTCCCCTTGGACCTGAGCTCTGATGGTAGAGCCCATGGGATTATGGAAGAGAAGAAACTGATGTGCATAATCTAAGGGGGGGGAGAGGGAGAGAGAGAGCACAGAGATGATGAGAGAGACAGAGACAGTGGGAAATATAGAAACAAAAAGAGAGAGAGACATATAGATGAGGAGGGAGAGGCAGAGCCACAGAGAGGCAGGGACCTTCAGATGGGGAGAGAGGGAGACCTCACCGTAGCTGGGACTTGACTTCCTCTCTGTCTTTCCAGTTGCTGAAGTTCTGGCCAATGGCTCATCTCTCCAAGTCCAGGAGGGCAAGTCCCTGCACCTGGTGTGTAAAGCTGACAGCAACCCGCCCACCAGTACAAGATGGACCCGGGGCAGCCTGACCCTGGAGTCCACGGACCCAGGGGTCCTGATGCTGCCCCAGGTGGAACTGGAGGACCTTGGGAAATACATCTGCAGAGCTCAGCAGCTCGAGTCAGCCTCTCTGGAAGCCTCTGTGACCCTCAGAGTCAAGAGTGAGTAGGAACACACCTGGGCACAGGGCCCTGGGTTCTTGGGGAGGAAAGAGGCTCCTGTGATCCCTCCCCTGTTTCTCCACAGACCCCCCACAGCTGCAGGGACCTTCCTGCTCCTGAGAGAATGAGGGTCTCTGCTGCAGCTGCTCCTCCCTAGCCCAGCAGACTCCTCACTGTGCTGGCAGCTGGGGGAGAGGCCAGTCCAGGGGGATCCATAACAACACCTCCTATGTGGTCAGAGAAAAGAGCTGGACCAAGGCCTGAGGCTTCCCTCAGGGCTTCACCTGGGACCCTCCCTCCTGATGCCCTGTTCCCCCTTCCCACCAGCCCTCAGTCACACACCTCACATCATTATACCAGGGCCCCTGGAGTGTGGCTTCTTTCCATACCTGACCTGCTTTGTGCCCTGGGCCTGTGAGCAGGTCATGCCCCCCTGTTCTTCTGGACACCACTGCTCACAACAACTAAGGCACTTTTGCCCTTTTTCTAACTGGGCTTTTTTACCTTTTGGGTTGTTGAGCTGTCTGAATATTTTTTGACCATAGAGACATAGGTTTATTTCTGGGCCCTCTATTCTGTTCCATTGATCTGTGTGTCTGTTCTTATGCCAGTACCAGACTGTTTTGATTACTGTGGCCTTGCAGTATAATTTGATGTCAGGTATTGTGATCCCTCCTACTTATTCTTCTTCCTCAAAATTGCTGCAGGTATTTAGGGTCATTTATGGTCCCATGTAAATTCTTGAAACATTTGTTCTACATCTGTGAAGTAGAACACCACACGGCCAAGGCCAGGGTGGTGAAATTGATGGTGGGAGGTGAGGGTGGTGGCAGGAAAATGGAGTCAACTGTACTCGAACAACAATAACAAAAAAGAACAATTTTTTGGTTAAAGATTCATTTTCTTTTTTAAATTCTCATTCAATTAGAGTTCTCCATATTTTCCCGTTATTACCTCTGACCTGCCCACCACTTTTCTCCCACAATTTTTGCCCCAGTTGTCCTTGTGCATGGGTCCTTTATGCATGTTCCTTGTCTTGACCCTTCCCCTTCTTTCCCTTTGGTCACTGTCAGATTGTTTTTTATTTCCATGTCTTTGTTTGTATTTTGCTTGCTTGTTTGTGTTGCTGATTAGGTTCCACTTATAGGTGAGATCATATGTGTCTTCCACCACTGGGCTTATTTCACTTAGCAGAATACTCTCCAGTTCCATCCATTTTGTCCCAAAGGGTAAGAGCTCCTTCGTTTTTTCTGCTGGGTATTCCATTGTGTAAATGTACTACAGTTTTTTCATCCACTCATTTACTGATAGGCATTAGGGCTGTTTCTAGCGGTTGGCCGTTGTAACTAATGCTGCAGTGAACATTGGAGTGCATAGGCTCTTTGAATTGGTGTTTTCAGAGTCTTAGGGTATGGTCCTAGCACTGAAATTTTTAGTCAAAAAGGCAGTTTCATTTTTTATTTTTTTGAGGAAATTGCATACTGTTTTTCACAGTGGCTGCACCAGCCTGCATTTCCACCAACAGTGCACGAGGGTTCCGTTTTCTCCACATTCTTGCCAGCACTTGTTGTTTGTTGATTTGTTTATGATGGCCAGTCTGACCAGTGTGAAGTGGTGTAGAATTTATTTTCTAAATTGATTTTACAGAAAGAGGTTGGGAGAAAGAGAGAGAGAGGAACACAATTTATTGTTATACTTATTTATGGATTCATTGGTTGCTTTTTGCATGTGCCCTGACCAGGGATTGCAGCCACAATCTTGCTACATCAGGATGATGCTTTGACCCACTGAGCTGCTAACTCATTAATAAGAACTCTTACTCATTGTAAGAGTTCTCCATATGTGCTGGATAATAAGCCCTATTGGATCTAGGAATAGCAAATATTTCTCCCATAAATAGGTTGGCTTTTCACTTTGTCCATACTATTAATTTATTAACAGAATGCATTATTTTGATAAATTTCATATTGGGACTTTTACTTTCAGCCCAAATGCAGGAGGTCAGGGCAGGTTCAAGGTTAAAGGCACAGGCAGTCCTGCGTCTATGGATGCAGGAAGGCCTGGAGGACGCCCTGCAGGTTCCCAGTGGAGCTGAAGGACACAGGATTGCCATTGAGCAGATGATGCCCTCCTTGTCTCTCTTCCCTGCAGGAAAATCAGGGCCCAGGGCAGCAGTGGTAGTGGTGGCCATCGTGGAAGCAGCTGCTAAGACACTACTCCTGCTGCTCTGCCTCATCGTCCTCATGTGAGCTCTGCCTCAGGGACAAGGGAGGGGAGACATGTGGTTGAGTCCAGAACCAAGGCTGGGGATCCCAATAAATCAGGGGTAGTGCTGGTAGGAGCTGAAGGGGTGGTGGGTGAAAACCTCACATGAATAGCCATTGTGAGTGTCTAGGCTGGCAGGAACCTTCAGTGTTCAAGATAATCTGTGGGACCAGATCTGCCATTCCCAAATTTACCATCCCCTCTATCCCTTGAGAAATAAACAGGGGGTTGGGTCTACTGTGCACTGCACCCTGATCCATCCAGACTGGAAAACCCTGGTCTCTTCTCTCAGAGTCAGGTACCACAGGAGGACAGTGACGAGGCCCACAGAGGGCATGAAAGATGCAAACACAGAATCCAGTTAATGCCTCAGGTGAGTGACCCAGGATTCTCACTGCCCAACATCCCCCTGACCCCACCTCCTGGATGGTCCCTGGGATTGCTCTGCTCAGCATGGTTACAACTGAGCTGCCATCTTCCACCCTAAACCCACTTCTGTGCAGGATTCTAGTCACACAGATGACACGGTGCCCTCCCTTCCTTTTGTGATTCAATAAATCACTAAGTCTTTTTCCCCCTTCCTTCTTATCACAGCTCAGCTCAATGCCTGTTTCCTCCCCATCCTGACCCTGGTCATTCCTGGGGCCTCATCTCTTGCTGGGTCTCTGAACTCCGCAAAGGTCTGCCTCCAACTCAGTCCTCAACTGAGGCCAACAGACTGTGTTTGCAGACCCCCAACCCCCATACCTAAATCCAGCCCCCCATACACAGCATGAACAGCAATGTTTCCTCTCTATGGCTGGGGTGAGGGCAAACTCCACAGGCTGGATTTAGGGCTGGTTTGGCCTGCACCCTGCTGACTCTCCACTGGATTCCACCCTCTTCCGGAATCTCACAACATCTCCACACCAGGCCATGGTCATTGTGACTGAGACTTTGCACTTGCAGTTTCTCCTGCTGGACTGCCTTTCCCTTCAGATGCCTACACCTCCAAGTGCTGATCATCCTTTGGTCTCAGTTAGTAGTCACCTCATCTTGTGTGTGTGTGTGTGTGTGTGTGTGTGTGTGTGTGTGTGTGTGTAATTCTTGTATATTGTGAACAATGAAATATATAGGGGAGTCATTTATTTATATCCACTTTAGCAAGAACGACTGACCACCGACTATGTGCCAGCATTTTTGTAGACACTGGTTATGTGTCTGTGGGCACAGCATCAAAATCTCTGTCATCCAGAAGCTGCCATTCTGGAGACAAGAGGATAGAATTTAACTCACTGAAGACACTACAGCACTGAGCCACAGAAGGGAGGGCCTGTGTTTCAGGGACCAGAGAGGGGATTTGAAGGGGATGTTCTATCTGAGAAGCAACCTCATGACCGCTGAGGGAGGTCAGTGAGAGTGCTGGTGTGAATGATGGAAAAGAGGAAGTGGTCAGGACTGGAGATGGGTGTGTGTGTGTCAGTGTGAGAGGGTGAACACAATGAGGGGAGACAGACTCTGGCAGCCCACAGAGAAGAGAAGACACAAGAAAACACGTCATCACTGGGTCTCAGTGGTTGGTGGGGAAGATGTGAAGATGTGATTGGAGCAGGATCAGGGGAAAACTGCAGGAGAAGACATGGGATTTCAGGGTCCAGAAAACCCTCTGAGAAGTTTGTCTACAAAGAGGAACAGAGGAGTGGGTCTGGAGAAGGAGGACTTTTCTCAGTTCCTCCTTTGCTTTTTCCCAGAGGTGCCCTGTGAGTTCTCGCCTGTGTTGCTTTCTGGGACCAATGAAACAAGTTACCACACACTCAGAGCATTTTTTGGTAAAGTTTTATTGTCTTGGTTCTTGGGGCCATAAGTTCATGCAGGAAGTAAAATATCTTCTCATTCTGTCCTTCTAAGTTCCCAACTCAGACCCCTGGAACAGGGAGAGACTAGGTGCCACATCTTGGGGTCCCATGTCCTGAACCCCATGATGAGAAATGAGTTCTGATGAGTGGAAATCCAGTGGTTGGTGGGACTCGTGCCTTCAGACTCAAGGGGAGAGTGTACCTTTGTGATTCCCAGGGGCTGGGCCTCTTGGCCATTTTTGGTTGGTGTCTGGGTCACTTCAGCCTGTCTCTGGCCACACTGCCTCATCCTGCTCTGGGTGCAGAAAGTCACCTGTTGTGTCTCCCTTGGAGGACACATGTGACTACATTCAGGGACTAACCTCAACAAGAGAGGATTCTCTCCAGGTCAATATCCTCACCTCCATTCCATTCGCAAAGACCCTTTTCCTCATCAGGTAATGTTTGCAGGTAGCAAGCGCCCTTTGGGTGGCCAGTATTCACCCTCAGCACTGCCCAAGTGACCTGGAGCCCCCCATCAATGTCCCCGTCCTGCTTCCAGACCTAGTTTTCTCTGCTCTTCCATGTCCTGATACATTACTGGGTCAGCTCACCAGGGGCACATGTTCTTGGGAACAGGAGGTTGCTGTTCTATAAAGGACACCATTGAGAGACTTAAAGGAAAAGTTAGAGACTTGGAAAAATATTCCTGCAAATACAGACTTGATGAATGTCTTGTATCCAGAATATACTCAAAGTCCTCAAACAAACCAATAAACAAAATATCAACCCAGCTGTAGAAAAAAAGTCACTAAACAACAACAGAAGAAACAACCGCACTGAAAATTTGGTCAATTATTTGAATAGACAATTCTACAAAGACACACAAATGGTCAATAAATCCAAGAAATTATTCCCGACATTATTCACATTAGACAATTTAATTTAAACCACACAAGCGGCTTCCATCATGATTCTGTAAGTTTGCTATATCAAAAAACTAAAAAACAGAAAATACCAACTGTTGGAGCAGATATTAAACAATGGAACTCTTTTGTTTTGCTCTGTTATAAAACTGTGCATCTGCTTTGGAAAACAGTATTGCAGTTCCTCAGCTTATTAGATTTTTTAAAATCCTACACTTATATTATTACAAAATACACAGGAAACATCATAAACTGACCGGTGACCACAGCCTTCCTGTGTTGGGAGGAAGGGGTGTCTGTGGTGGGGACTTTCTCGGGGACACCGACCAGGTCCATGGATCCCCTCTTGTCTTCTCCTCAGCGAAGAGACACTTAGATGCTCAGAGTGCTTGTGAGTGAATGAATGAATGAATGTGTGAGTGAGTGAATGAATGAATGAATGAATGAGTGAGGACTGCCTTCTCCTCACAGGGATCCCCTCTTCCCTTCTGCCCCGACTCTCACAGAACATTATGAGTCCTACACGCTGTGGCCCCAGTGTGACGCCCAGATGAGGCTCTGACACCTGCTCATGCAGGAGTTAATCAGCCCCTCTGATGGGGGCCCTGTGTCCTCTGCTTCTCCCAGTTTAATGGCTACAGATACAATGTGTAGCTGGAATCACAGTACCTGTCTTTCTGTGACTGGCTCTTTTTTCACTTAATGCAGTGATCTCAACACCTGGTATTTTTTATAGTCCTTTTATTATTTTCCCCAGTGTGGTGGCTGTGTGGTATTACAGCACCACAGTTTCTATTTGCAGTTCCCTGAGCACTACTGAAGCCTGCCGCCTTCCTAGGTGCTTATTGGTCCTTGGAATATCCTGTTTTTCCTCTTGGGTGGTCTGCCTTTTTCTCCTTGAATTTTGGAAGATCTTTACACAGTCTTCATTTACTCTGGATGAACCCTTGGTTACATACATGTACTGGGAAATATCTTCTCTTGCCAAAAAGTTACATTTAGGAATAGAAATACTTTTTAAAAATACAAGTTCCCCTCTACCCAAAGAAGATAATACAAGTTCTTAAACATCGTCAACCAAACAGAAGATAGAGGTACAAGCAAAAGTGACATCTCTCTCTGTCCTGAGGTAAACTTAGTACATAACAATGTCCTTAATGCAAATGGTGCATGTTTCATCACCTAATAATCTAGGTCATCAAATTATCCCCCATGTTACAGAGCAGGAAACTGAGGCACACAGAGGTGAAGTGACTTGCCTCCTGGAACACCCTCAGTAGCTGGGCCTAGACTCAAGCCCAGAAATCTCTTCCACTTCAGCCACTCCAAGAAATTTCATGTTTCCATTCATTGCCTTTGGCTCAGAGGGCTGTTAACTGTTTAGGAATCCGACCCTGACACACCTTCTTTGCAGAGATGCTTTCTCTGGGCTCCCCAGCCAGCTACTGTGGGTGGGGGTGCACCATCATTTCCGGAGCTTGACCTCAGAGTACGGGGTCTCCTGGGCCTGAGGGTTGTGTGGTTTCATGTTGTGGAAACTGAGAGCAGCGTAATGGAGCTCATGCTCAGAGGGGGAGGTGGCCAGCGCTGGGGGCAGGTGGTGGGAGGAGGGTGCATTCAGGTGACCCTGAGTGGGAGGAGAGAGGGGTGTCTGAGCTGGCCTTTGGGGTCTGGAGACGGGTACTTGGGGCTTGGGGGTCTCATTCATTTGTCCATTTCACACCCATTTCCCGAGGACTCATTCCCTCACCCAATCACTCATTTATCCATTTGTACCATTAACAAATTTTATCATAAAAGCTTGTTCTTATTACTAATCTCACATAATCCTTATGACCCCTCTCCATGGATATGACTGTTATCCCACTTTACAGATAGGAAAGGTGATCTCATGTTCCTTCCTACTTTTTCATTGTAAGTTATAAACATTGTTCATATTGCATTTCTGTTAAACTCACTGATGTTCATGATGGGAGCATCACAGCTGTGTGGGGAATATTCAGGGAGGGGAGGTGGAGTCAGGGACCCAGGGTAGTGGTTGAGGGCTTGGCCAGACAGGAAGCAAAGGAGAAGGGCCTTTCTCCAAGGGAAATGGGTCAGGACTTGGCCAATTGAAGGCTTTGAGGGATGCGGGAGAGGACAGTTCTCAGATCTGAGGGGCTCTGCCAGGAAACATGGGGGAGGGCCCAGTTTGGGGGCAGAGGAGGAGCTCCTGTGTTCACCACAGAAGCACTGGGTGGAACATGGCCCCCGGCACTCACCTGGGAGATGCCTTCCTGGCTCTCTGCCTTCTCTGCCTGTTTCTTCCTGCAGATCCTCAGTCTGAGGAGAGAGACGGGGCCTTTCACCCAGCAGGCTCCCACCTGGGGGCCTGGCAGGGCTTACTGAGGCAGGTGTGGAGGCTGCTACCTGGCTGCAGGGACCAGGACGGGAGCACACGCCCCTCCTCCCAGACAGCTGCAGCCAGGTGTTGGGAACACAGTGCACTTGGCCAAGGTGCCAGGAAGCTGGCTTCTTGTCACTGCATCAACTTGTGGCACCTCTTCCTGGATTGATCACTTTGTCATAACTCTGGGCTTTGAGGTTTGGAGATTCTTTGAGTCCCCACCCCCACACACCACCACCTCCACCTCCTGAGGCCTCTGCCCAGCCTGGGGTCACCACCCACTCATATGATGAGGCCCAGGCAGACGGCCAGCAGGGCTGTGGCACCAGCTCCCCCGACAGCCCCCTGAATCACTCCTGTCCTATGTCCTGGTCTCCCTGCAGAGACGAGACACCTGGGGTGAGCTCCTCTTTCCCTAAGCAGGTATCTGAGCACCCCACCTTCTCAAACCCATGCTGATCAGTGTGCCCAGTCCCATCCAGGACTCCTTTGTCCCCCACCCATTCATATGACTGCAGGCTCCAGGTCCCCTGGTTCCCTCCCCAGCCACATGTCTTTGGGGCCTGGACTCCAGTTCCCCTTTGCATAGAGCCGGGCCACGTTCCCTCCCACTCAGTGTCTTCTAGGGTCCAGGGTTGTGCACCCCCTCCCTGGGCTTCACCAGGCACACCCTGACTTGGCAGCAGCAGGACAGTCACTGTCTCCTTCCCGTGGGCGTTCTGGGCCTCACATCTGAGCCTGAGGTTGGATGTAAGCTCCCCACGGACACTCAGGGAGCTGTTGGCCCAGGGCTCTGCTGAGTGGAAGGTGACTGTGTGGGAGGCATTGCTGTGGTTCCCCTCCAGCAGGCCCTCCCCTGGCCTCCAGCATAGGGTGGGGGCTGGCTGAGCTCGAGAGGAGCAGCTGCAGTGCAGACCCCAGTCCTCCCATGAGCAGGAGGGTCCCTGCAGCTGTGGGGGGGTCTGTAGAAAGAAACAGGGGAGGGATCAGCGGAGCATCTCTCCTCCAAAAGACTCCAGCATCCTGCCCACAGGTGTGTTCCTACTCACTCTTGACACTGAGGGTCACAGAGGCTTCCAGAGAGGCTGACTCGAGCTGCTGAGCTCTGCAGATGTATTTCCCATGGTCCTTCAGTTCCACCTGGGGCAGCTTCAGGACCCCTGGGTCGCTAGACTCCAGGGTCAGGCTGCCCCGGGTCTACCTTGTACTGGTAAGCAGGTTGCTGTCAACTTTACACACCAGGTGCAGGGACTTGCCCTCCTGGACTTGGAGAGATGAGCCATTGGCCAGAACTTCAGCAACTGGAAAGACAGAGAGGGAGTCAAGTCCCAGCTACGGTGAGGTCTCCCTCTCTCCCCATCTGCAGGTCCCTGCCTCTCTGTGGCTCTGCCTCTCTCTGCATCTCCCTCCTCATCTATATGTCTCTCTCTCTTTTTGTTTCTATATTTCCCACTGTCTCTGTCTCTCTCATTATCTCTGTGCTCTCTCTCTCTCTCCCTCTCCCCCCTTAGATTATGTACATCAGTTTCTTCTCTTCCATAATCTCATGGGCTCCACCATCAGAGCTCAGCCCCAAGGGGACAGGGCTACGGGCAGAGATCACAGCCTCTGCAAGGGGCTGCTGAGTGTTTGGCTGGACCACCCAGGTCCCCACGCCTTCTGCCTTGGCCACCAGTGCCAATGCAGACCCCAGATTTCTCTGTATGATCCTTGACATTTATGTCTGTCAACAGTGGTACACCATGACTTGCCCAATTCAACTGTGTCTCACAGCTTACAGTCTCATGGATGAGATGCCCCAAAAGGGGGTTCTCACAGAGAAGTAAGACCCACTTTATGATGGGGGGTTAACTGCATTGAGGGAGCCCTGAGGATGGGACTTGAATGAGACTGGCAGGTCAGGGAGGGCTTCCTGGAGGAGGAGAGGCTTAAGCAGAACATGAGAAGGGGAGGGAGCTGTCCAGGTGCTGGTGCTGGCGTGGTGGACACTGTGGGAGGATGGCACACAGCACAACTACTGCCAGGGTGGGGCGTGGCCCCGCCTGCTCCCAGAGGAGCAAGTGGTCCTGTGGGGCCTGACTGAGTGGCCATGTTGGGGGTGTTTACATGAGGCCACTAGCAGAAATCAAGGGAGATTTAAAAAATAGTGTTACAAATTGCCCTTTATAAAAGTACTATGGATATAAAGTACAGCAGAGGGAATATAGTGAATAATATTGTAATAACTATGGGTCGTGCCAGGGGGAACTAAACTTATACCTTTGTAAGTTCTGTGAACATCTGACCACAGTGCTGTACATCTGAGAACTTCATGCAGTGTCCCGTGAGGGGGTCAAGATCAGGAGGCCAGGTTATGAGTTGAGAAGGAGTGAGTAGGGGACCTCTAACCTCCAATTCCCTCTCACCTGGCACGAGTCTATCTCCCACCTGAGTTCTGAAATTCCAGCTCTGCTCTGCAGGGCACAGGGAGACCCCCTTCCACCCCCCAGACAAGAGAAGATGCACCCTACCTGGGCCTTTTTTCCAGGACATGATGGTCAGGTTCTGAAGAGCCTGTGGATGGAAAGACATAATTGTTCCCTTTTCAGTTTCAGAAAGGTGGGGATTGGCTTTTCCCTGCCACAAACATGATACACAGGAAATGGGTGAAATCGGGTGTCCTCCTTCCTCTTCCCCAGCCCTGCTTCCAGGATTCAACCCGAAACACCCAACTCCCTCCTCCCCCAGGGACTGGTGTCCTGACGTGGTGGGTACTCACAGGTCACACTGAGCTGGATGGTCATCTCCTTGATGTCACCACCTGTCAAGTCCACCTGACAGGTGAGGTTGGTGCCGTGGTGCTGGGGCCCTGGTGTGAGAGTGGGCACTGAGAAGTTGGGTGTTGTGGGACCCAGGGGTGTAAGGTCGATTCTCATCCAGGAGAAGACAGGTGGTGTCTCTCTGTCACAGTCCCATGACACTGTACAGGTAATGTTGTTGGGGTGGCCAGATTGCAGGGTCCCCTGGATGTGGATGTCAGGTGCTGATGTGTGAACTGGGGAAGAGAGAGAGAGAGACCGAGGCACTGGAGGTGGGGTCCCCAGGTGTGCCCCTAACTGCAGCCTCAGTGCCAGGCCAGCCCCAGGGTCCAGTCCCCATTGGCTCCCTGAGTCCTTCCCAGGATGAGGAGAACCAGGTTCCTTCCCAGCCCAGGAGCCCTCAGGACCCAGCCATGTGCCCTCACCTTGACCCCATTTCTTACCTATTACATGAACAGAAAGCTGATTCTGTATGAACTTGTGTTTCACATAGGATTCTCTCTCCACCCCCAAAAAAAAGTATCTCCCTGTGTCCCTCTTCTGTGCATTTCTGATGTGCAGGGAGCATTTTTTGGTCCTGGGATCTCCAACAAGGAAGAATCAGCCCCTGGTCTTGTTCTTCACTGTATGATTGGGGTTGTTTGTGGCCACAGGAGCATCCTTGTCTGTTTTGGCCCCTTCCCGGAACCAGTAGCCATAAGCAGGGGTAGACTCCTTCCAGCCATCCTGGGGGTAAAAGAAGGTGCAGGGCACAGAGACACACAGGCCCTCCTGCACCGTCACAGACCTCGGCACTTGCAGCCAGAATCCTTCATCCTGAGCCAGGGACCCTGTAGGGAAAGACCAATCAGCCACAGCCTCCACCCCAGCCCACAGGCTCCCCCTGGGGCACTCACCTGCCCACAGCAGGGCCAGCAGCAGCAGCATCTCTGGGGTAAGTGTCAGGGTCTTGGTGTCACAGGACTGAGAGGAAGTCCCAACAGGAAGCCAGGGGGAAGGGAGAAAGGTGACAATCTGTGAGGAGGAAGTGGGCAGCCCGTGTGGGAGAGCTGGCCCTGCCCTTGGAGAATAAACAGTTCCACTGTCCACAGGGCGTCCCCGTGAGGTCCCCACACACCGAGGAAGACCCACCCCACCAATCTCAACTCCATGTCCTTGCCTGTCCCTCTGGCACTGCTGTCCACTCAGAAAAGCAGGCACAGCTTCTGTACAATACACAGGATCAGTCCCCTGAGGGTGGGACTCAGGAGGGGCTGACGGGAATGGTGAGGCATGAAATGTGCCATAGCCCTCCAGGTGAGACAGGTGGTGACGGATGAATGAATGAACACACAGTCCTCCAGAGCATCTACTCTCTCAGGGGCGTGGAGTCAAAGTGGAGACAGTGGCAGCCTTTGTCCCTGTCCCTGAGTGTGACCCTAACACCGGAGGAGACAGAGGGGCCCCAGGCCATGCCAGCTCCCGGTGGTCCAGGGTGTGTTTGTGGGAGCACATGGGGGCGTGTAGGAAACTCGGTTCCTCTGGGCACCTCCCATGTTACAGTGGCCAGACAGGGCAGGATCAGGTCTTTGAGGGGGTCAGCAGCCTGTGACCCCACAGGTGGTCCTCAGCTGGCTGACCTGCTGGGAGCCCCCCTGCCCGGGCATCCCTGGTGTTGACTGAGAGCAAGATGCCAGCAGATGCCTTTGGAGTCAGGTGGGCCTGGCTCTTCTGCCCTCCAAGCCTCACTTTCCTCATCTGTCACAGGGAGGCCTCTCAGTCCTCAAACCTGGTCGTCTGTGGGGAACCCTAAGTAAGGGCAGGTGCTGGCCTTGACCAGTCCTCAGTGGTCACTCTGAGTCTGGCCCTCAGTGGCCATTCCCTGATGGTCAGTTCAGCCCTGGGCTTCCTCATTGAAGGTCTCCAGGGTGGGGTCAGTGTTTCAGGCTCTGCAGGCAGACAGCCCTGGGCTCCAGCCTGGCTCCCTCCTGCTCACTGTGCTGCCTGGGGAAAGGCCTCACTGCCTGTGCACAGTCGGACGCCCAGGCTCACGGGGTGCTGTGGGCTGAATTCTGTCACCCCCAAAATTCATCTGTTTATATTGTGGCCCCCACTACTGCTGAATGTGACTGGGTTTGGAGATGGGTCTTTTAGGGGCATGAAGGTAGAATGAGGTCACTAGGGCAGACCCTAATCCAATAGGACTGGTGTCCTTAGAAGGAGAGTTTTGAGCACAGACACACACAGAGGAGAGACTTCAGGGGAAGAACCATCTGCAAACCAAGCAAAGAAGCCTCAGAGGGGACCAGTCCTACCAACACCATGATGTTGAACTTTCTGTCTCCAGAACTGTGAGAATATGAATTTCTGTGGTTTATGCCCCTAGTGGTGTCAATGTGTTATGACAGCCCGAGCCAGGGAAGGCAGGGTTTCTGAGAAGATCCAGGTGTTCCTACAAGTAAAGCGTGGGGAGTGGCATGGCCTGCCCCGCCCACAGTGGACACTGCACACATCGTGGTGTGTGTGTGGGGGGGCTGTAGGATGAGGCTTCTCTACAAGGGGGAGGAGAAGACGGAAGGGAAGGCCTTGGTAACGGGAAGAAACGGGATAAGGAATCCCCACTGCTCCTCCACCACCAGCTCTGCACTCTGCAGGGCGGCAGCTTCAGCACAGCCACCCTGCTCCTCCTCTCCCCAGGGCAGGATTAGCCTCCTGCGCTCAGTTCAAAATGCTCCCTCTACTGAAGAGGCCCGTCCTTGCGGCTCCACCCTGGGTACCTGCCTCCCATCTGTGGAGCAGGGTGTTCTTGAGGGGCTGGGTTGAGGTGAGGCAGACCCTGCTGGACCTGGAGTGGGGGGCAGGGACAGAGTCACAGCCTGGCTGGTCAGGGCTGACACTAGGGGAAGGTGGGCTGGGGGGACCTGAGGAAGGAGGGAGGGTGGCTGTGGGGGATGGGAGAGGTGAGCAGGACAGGTAGTAGGGGATGGAAGGGGAGCAGAGTTGTATGGGAGGCAAGTCACCCCATTTGACAGAGCAGGACCAGAGCCTGAGACGCTGGTGGGACAGAGAGGGGTCCCGCTGTAGCCCCCTTATCTCAGTCGTTTCTTTCTGCTCCAGCATCCAAGAGAATCTGCCTCCTTCCCTCCCTCCCCCATTCTCTTTTCCACATCTCTCCTGCCCCTCCCCCTCCCCTCCATTTCCCCCTCCCCTCCATTTCCATCTCCTCCTCTCCTGCTTCTCCTTCACTCTTTAGCTTCTCCCTCTGCTTCTCCACCCACTACTCCTTTCAGGTGAGTCCACTTTCCTTCCTACCTGCCCTGGCTTCATTCAGGTCTCAGTCTCTGCAAAGGTGGAGAGATGTTCCCACCTTCCCTGCCCATGCCCTAATGCTTGGTGAGTGTGGACACAAATGTAATTCTATCACAGACCAGCAGTGGGTGGGGTGTGATGAGGCCAAAGGGTCTGCTGGACCACAGGCTCAGGGACTGGGGGCATATGGTGACACAATGGGCAGGGGGTGGCTTCTGGGAATGAGAGGGAATGTCAATGGTGGGCTGAGAGGCACCTGGAGTCATGAGCATCCCTGACCTTTCCCTCCTGCTGGGATGTTGGGTCTGGTTGGCCTGACCATCAAGCCTGACTCTTCTCTGGCAAAGCTCCATGTGAGGACCCAGGGGGCTTGAGGCCTGTCGTGTGTGTCTGTGTGTGTGTTCTTTGGAAGTGTGTCTTTGTGGCATGTGTTTCTGTCTGTAAGTGTGTATATGTTTGAGTCTGTGTGTATGTGTCTGTGTTTGTGGTCTCTGTGTGTGCCAGGTGGTCTGTATGGATATCTGAAGTGTGTATGTGTTTCTGGGTCTTTGTGTGCATGTCCGTGTTGTGTGTTTGTGGACAAGTGTGCCTGTGTTTACAGTCTGTGTGCCTGGTGTTTGTGTCTGTGTGGGTATGTGAAATATATACCTGTGCACATGTGCTTGTGTGCATGCACCTGTGTGTGGTCTCTCTGTGTGTGTTTAAGGTACATGAGTGTGTATGTGGTGGTGCCTGTCTTCGTCCCTGTGTCTGGGGAGCTTTTCTGTGTGTGTGTGTTGAGGTGTATCTGTGTCTATGGGTGTGGAAGGGTCCCTGTGTGTGTTTGTGTGTGTCTGTGATTCTGTGGGTGTGCTCTCTGTGTGGGCACACATCTGAGGTGTGCATGTGTTTGTGAAGTTCATGTGAGCACACTCAAACCTCAGCTTCTCAATAATACATGAAGAATATAATCCATCCCATGTTTTCTATATGACTTTACTGCTTTGTTATCTCCAGACTCCTCATCACCAATCTATATAACATATTATCTACTTAGTCATTCTCTGTCTGTCTTTCCTGCCCTTAGAATGTAAGCTTCAGGAAGAGTCTTGTACCTCTCCTTACTGCTGAATCCACCACACTGCTTAGAAACATGCTTGGCCTATATTGGGTGATCAATAAGTATCTGCTTTAATGCTTGAAAGGAACTTTAGGCAAAAATGAGATGACTGGCCATCTGCAGTGGGAGACTGGGCATTCTTTACCACACACACTATCTGATTCTGGCCTCCTATTGCATTTGAACTGTTATACACTGCCTTAGTTTACAGATAACTGGGAACTGTGCAAATAGTTCAAGTCCAGAGACACAGGCAGGCATTCTGTCTGCTGGAGGGTCACCTGAATCCCCCCACCAACCCAGTGTCACATCCCTTCACAACTTCCCTTCAACCCTCATGGACTCCATACAGGTCTGTGCTGGTCACTTCTGCCTGGTTCTCTCACTCATGAGTCAGACAACACAGGGAACTGCTGTGTGATGGGAATGCAGGTTCAGTTATGCAAGAGAAGAAAGTTCTAGGGAGCTGTGTACAACAGAGTGCCTGAAGTGAGTAATACTAGGCTCTTAAAAATTGGTTATCAGAACGACCAAACAGAAAAGAATGAAGAGACAAGAATTTTTTTTAAATGAGGAGAGGCTTAGGTAACTCCAGCACATCTTTAAACATTCCAACATCCAAATTATAGGGGTACCATTAGGGGAAGAGCAAGAGCAAGAAGGGGAAAATTTATTTTAATAAATAAGAACTTCCCCAATCTGGCAAAGGAAATAGACTTCCAGGAAGTCCAGGAAGCTCAAAGAGTCCCAAAGAAGTTGGACCCAAGAAGGAACACACCAAGGCACATCATCATTACATTAGCCAAGATTAAAATGAAGGAGAAAATCCTAGAAGCAGCAAGAGATAAGGGGACAATCGCCTACAAAGGAGTTCCCATCAGACTGTCAGCTGATTTCTCAAAAGAGGCCTTACAGGAAAGAAGGGGCTGGAAATAAGTATTCCGAGTCATGAAATCCAAAGAACTACAGCGAAGATTGCTCTATCCAGCAAATCTTTCATTTAGAATGGGAGGGTAGATAAAGTGTTTCTCAGATAAGGTCAAGTTCAAAGAGTTCATTATCACCCAGCCCTCATTATATGAAATGGTAAAGGGTCTTATCTAAGAAAAAGAACATAAAAAATATGAACAGTGAAAAAACAGCAAACTCACAGTTATTAAAAACATACCTAAAACAAAAGCAAATTAAGAGGACAACTAGATCAGGAGCAGAACCATAGAAATGGAGATCACAAGGAGGGTTAGCAACGGGAGTGGGAGGAGGAGAAGGGGGAGAAGGTAGAGAGAATAAGTAGCACAGACAGTAGGTAGAAAATAGGAGGGCAAGAATAGCATAGGAAATGTAGAATCTTAAGAACTGGTGACACAGGGACATGAACTAAAGGGGAGGGAATGTGGGGGGAGGGTGTGCAGGGTGAAGGGGAATGAAGGGGGAAAATGAAACAACTGTAATGGCATAATTAATAAAATACATTTTTGAAAAATTGCTTCTCAGGGTAGATCTGATATTATGTGTTTTTCAATACAATAAAAATCCTTAACATGTTTATTTTATATCTATATGAGAGACACTGTTACGCTTTAAAAAGTTTTTATCCTCACCAGAGGACATTTTTCCTCACTGATAAGAGAGAGAGAGATGTGTGAAGGAAACATCAATTGACTGCCTTCCCATACATGCCCCAACCAGGGATCAAACCCATAATCTGTGTATGAGCCCTCACTGGGAATCGAACCCATGCTTTTTGGTCTACAAGACAATACTCCAACCAACTGAGCCACAACAGCTAAGGCTAAACTTTTTAGAAAGATTAGATGAACAAATTCGTGTGTGTCTCTGTGCATGTGTTGGTGTTTCAGTTTGTGATGTGTTCTAAGCATTAGTAACAAATAAGGCAACTGAGTAACACCCCTGGGATCATCGTAATGGATTCTGTCTATTTCCGTTGGGGCAACTGGAGAAAAATTAAACTGAGGAAGCAGAAAAATGACACCATTGGGTTTTAGAGTTTCCTCTGGCTTCTCTGTGGAGGAGAGACTGGAGGTGGGCGGAGAGCACTGAGGTGAGTTCCCTTGGCGGTGCATGGAGGTCCCCACAGTGGAAAGTGAGTCCTTGGAGGCAGGAGTGTGCATCTCTCACCAGCCCTGTGCACCTGCTTCCCACACAGTGATGAGCTGCACAGCAGGTGATAAGGGTGAGCTGAGTGACAGGCTCCATGGGTCTACATGGAGGCAAAGGCACAAGCAGCAGAGTCTGGCATCAAGTTTTGCTTTAATTTTGGTAAAGAGAATTACGTACATCCTGTGTTCCATCTCCTTGTATCTACTCACTCACAGCCGGAGGGAAGAGCCTGGAAGACCACAAGTGAGAGGCAAACAGACTTTGTATTTCTGTGTCATTCAGGACCCACTCAGCAAAGTGCTTCTCTGATGTGCAAAGGTGGGTTAGGGGTGCAGAGAAGGGTTGGGGTGTCCCTGTGTCTGGCCCTTTCTTTCTGCAGCCTGAGTCCATGGATTTCCCTGTGTCCTGAATGGCAAAGGATCTCAAGTTTTCCTCATCCCTCCTTTTTCTGGAAGCCCCAGCCCTGCCAGGAAAATCAGCAGTGAAGTCAGCATCCAATCGAATGCTGGCCTGGGGCAGAGTAGCCTGAGACCTCTTTTCTGATGTTTGGGACTCTCAGATGAGGGGTCACCTGGGAGGAATCTGACCCCCTGGTGTGGTGGATGGTGGAGAGGGCACAGGGGAGCGGGAAGCCAGCCCCTGTGTGGGCAGTGATGAGCTGAGTGAGGGTAACATGGGGAGGCACATGGAGGGAAAGGATGGAGGGACATGAAGCTCCTGTTGGCAGCCCTTTCAGTACCCACACATCCTGCGACTCTTTCACTCTAAGGCTCAGGGCAGCCTGGGTGAGTAACTGCAGGAAGTGTCTGGGCAGAAGTGGGGCTGGGAGTCTGGAGTGGTTGAGACCAGAAGGCTACAGACAGAAAAGTGAAAAAACCCAGAAAAAGGGAAACCCTGTCCTGGACTGTAAAACTTTAATCAGCACGGATGGGGAAAGATAGAAAGCATGTTTGAAGGTATTCAGCTGGCTGGGGGACAGATGAAAAGCAAAAAGCAAACCTGATTTCTCCTAAGGTCTTGGAACAGCTGTAATGTGTCAGAAGGACCCACTTTGAGTGGTAAATGCTCTCCTCCAGTGATGCTCCGAGTCTGGCTTCGTTATTCCCATCTCATGAGTTAGCACATCACCCGGTATATAGTTGAGTTTTTTACGGGGGAAGAACCCACGTCTGAGGAAGGCAGCACCCAGGAGGTCCCGACACCCGTGACCAGCATCACTGACCTAGGGGGTCAGTAGACCCTCACCCAGGCCCTCCCACTCTGCCCCGGAACCTGATAAATGGCTGGCCTTTAGGTGGCGCTCAATCCCCTAGGAGACACTGAACCCCAGGGAGACTGGGGCTGGGCTGCTACCGCTGTCCATGGTGTTGAAACCGAGTCCTGAAGAGACCTCAGGTTCCTGCCTCCCAACTCTGCACAAGGGCCTAACTCCAAAGGCTTATGTCCTATATGAGGGCTAGGAGGGAATAGATGTGGAGCTGGATGTATCTGGAGAGGAGCAGAGAATCAGGACTCGTCTGGCTGGGCTTCTCTCTTTGCTCCATCTCCCCCCTTCTCCTGTTCACTCTCAGGCTTTGTCCATCCTGAGGATGATGTCTGTCTGCCCAACCTGGTGAGCCACAGGCAGGAGGAGGTGCTGGCTAAGGCTCTCTATTTCTTACCCCCTGGATGGTTCCTTCAAGCAGTTTGATTCAAGGCAGTCGCATCAAAACAAAAACTGGAGCAGAACAGGGAACTTTCTAACACTCAGCTCCAGCTCTGCTCCTCCCCTGGCTACACATCCTTCCCCACCTGCCACTTTCAAGGTATGGACTCACTAAGGAGATTTTCAGGAAGACTTACAACCTCACTATCACCATGCCACTCTCTCAGTCACCAACCCTCACACACCTCAGCCACATTCCTGCCACCACCTGAACACCTCCTGTCCCTTCTGGCCTCCCCACACTGAATTCACCTGGTTCCTCCTCCCTGTCATAGTGTCCCCAGTCTCTGTCGTTGCAGCACATGCTTCTCCTCTGAGAACAGGCTCAAATGTCACCTCCTACCACAAGCTGTGTTCACTGCCTTTACACCCTTCCACCCCTGCCCTTTCCCACAGGTTGGATTAGGACTATGGATTATCAACCTCAATGCTGTTGAAATTGTGGCATTTGTAGCTGAGTGGGGTTTTTGGTTGTGTGGGGTGGGCTCTCCTGTGCATTGTAGGATGCTAAGCAACATCTCTGGTCTCCAGCCACAAGATGCCAGGAGCTTCCCTTGCCCTGTTTTGACAACCACAGTATCTCCCAAAATTTCCAAATATCTGTAAGTGGTAACCTCCCCTTCCCCAATGAGAACCACATGGATAGTCTCCCACCTCTGCCTTCACAGAGTCACTTTGGCAGATGGACAGAATTACCCCAGTTCTCCTTTTCAAGGTCACCAGAGAACTTTGCCCTCAGCTCATTTTATAACAACAAATGCATTTTATATGCATTTCAGCTCCTTTGTATCACATTCATGAGGGAAACACTGGGAAATGCCTACATTTCTCCCCATTTATTTGTTCTCTAAACCTTTACTGCATGTCCATTATACACTGGAAACAGGAAGAGGAAGAAGATAGAGTTCCTGCCTCAGGGGAGCTCAAGTTCATGGTTTGGGGTTTGTGGAAGGCACAGAAATATGGAAACTATTAAAACACACTGTGATGAGGTTTCCATGCCCTGGGGGTCCAAGAACAATAGCTTCAGCCTCTGCCCTCAGGGGTGGAAAGGGAGTGAGAAAAGGCTTCTCAGGAGAAACTCCTCTCAAGATGTACCTTGAGGGGAAAGCAGGAGTTGGTCAAGCAGAGATGGGAGGGAAAGCATCCCAGGCAGTGGTGACATCAGGCACAAAGCAAGGGGCTGGGAGAGGTCCTGGCCACTGTCTGGGCAGAAACAGTCCATGTGTGATAGCTGGAACCTGGGGTAAAGGAGGCAAGGGGTGTGCTCTCCAAGGGCTGCACAGCCGAGCAGAGGAGGCTGGCCTTCAGCCTTAAGTCTGTCATGTAAAAAACAAATCTGGAACTAGGTAGGGAGAGACTTTATTCAAAAGGATTATCCTGGCCCTGGCTGGTGTAGCTCAGTGGATTGAGGGCGGGCCTACAAACCAGAGGATTGTGGTTCAATTCCCAGTCAGGGCACATGCCTGGGTTGCAGGCCAGTTCCCATCAGGGGACACATGAGAGGCAACCATACATTGATATTTCTCTCCCTCCCTCCTTCCATTCCCCTCTAAAGATAAATAAATAAAATTTTTAAAAAAAAAGATTATCATAAGCCCTGGGGAGTCTTAGTTGGTTGCAGCATGGTCTCCAACACCAAAGTGTTGCTGGTTAGATTCCTGATCAGGGCACATTCCTAGGTTACAGTTTTGATCCCTGGTTGGAATGCATATGGGAGAAAACTGATTGATATTTCTCACTCCCTCTCTCAAATCAATAAAAACATATCTTCAGGTGAGGATTTTTAAACAAAGATTATTGCAATAAGGGAGAGTGAGATTATTGCAAAGTCGGGAAGGAAACTATTGCACTAAGAGAAGAAAGACTGCGCACAACAGGTATGGAACGTCCTACAGTAAAGACAAGCATGGATGGAATGTGCGGACCCCATGGAGCCTGAATGCCACAGCCTGAATCAGGTCCCCCCAAATCCATATGTGGAACTGACATGATTGTTATTTCAGAATAATTGAGATTAAAGGAGTTCCTGAGAGTGGTCCCCTAAGACTGATGACCTTGCAAGAAAAGAAACAGAGAAATCTCCCCTTCCTCTCCCCACATGCAAAATAAAAAGGCCACGTGAGGATGGGGAGAAGTCAGCCACCAGGAAGCCAGGAGTCGGGCTCACACCAGGAACCAAAGCTGCTGACACACAGACTTGGACTTCCCAGGCTTAAATATACTTCTGTTGCTTGAAATGCCCAGTCCTTGGTACGTAGTTATGAAATCCTGAGCTGACGGAGTTCCCTGTCAGCCTGTAGAGTCATGCAGGGAAGCCCGTCCAATCCCCCTACAGTAACTGGGAGACCCCTCACTGCAGACCCCCCACCCATTCTGGGACTCGTTCAGGTGGCTTCTGGGGGCAGCCCTCAGGGGCCTGCACGATGCAGGGTCCTCCTCCCTGGCAGTGACTGTATGGAACTCACACTGTTGTCAATCTCATTGACTCAATATTAACTGTCTTGAGCTCAGCTCTCACCATGGCCCCCTGGTGGGACTCCTCCCCCCGCCCCCCCGAGAGTGTGGTGCTGCCCTGGGAAGGGGCTGCAAACAGAGGGGAGCTCACCTTCTGAGTGTAGCACCTGCTGGTGCCCAAGTGTCCCTGAGTCTCCTCTCGGTGCCAAGTGAGTGTAAGCAGCTGGTGTGTGGGCTGCCCCTGCTCTGGAGATGTGAGAGAATGGGGAAGGGATAGGAGCCAGTCCAGACTAGCAGTGACCTCAGCTCAGCTGGGACGAGTCACCACAGCTCCACCTTGTTCTTGGGTTCAGCCTCAGGATGCCAGGAACCTGGACCATCTGGGCCTTGCTCCTGCCAGGACTGGGGTGTGCGGGGCTCATCCTGGGGTCCCCAGACCTAGAGGGGATGAGGCCTTGATGCAGGGCCTGGGGCCTGTTCAGCATGTGGCTTGTTGAGTCCACCAGGCTCACATTTAGTTCGTCTACATTTTTTAATGTATTTATTCTTTTTTTAACTTTTTTATTTATTTTTTAAAGATTTATAACTTTTTTAAAATATATTTTTTATTTTATTGATTATGCCATTACATTTGTTCTATTCCCCCCCTCCATTCTCCTCCACCCTGCACACCTCTCCCACCATTCCCCCCTTTAGTTCGTGAACACATGTCTCAAGTTCTTTAGATTCTATATTTCCCCTATTTTTACCCTCCCCCTATCTATTTTCTATCTACTATCTATGCTACTTATTCTTTGTAACTTCTCCCCCCTTCTCCTTCTCCCACTCTCCTGTTGCTAATCCTCCACATGATCTTCATTTCTATGGTTCACTCCTGATCTAGTTGTCCTCTTAATTTGCTTTTGTTTTAGGTGTGGTTGTTCATAACTGTGAGTTTGCTCTCCTTTCACTGTTAATCTTTTTTATCTTCTTTTTCTTAGGTAAGTCCCTTTAACACTTCATATAAGGGCTTGGTGATGATGAACTCCTTGAATTTGGTCTTATCTGACAAGCACTTTATCTGTCCTTCCATTCTAAATGAAAACTTTGTTGGATAGAGCAATCTTGGTTGTAGGTCTTTGGTTTTCATGACTTGGAATACTTCTTTCCAGCCCCTTCTTGCCTGTAAGTTCTCTTTTGAGAAATCCGCTGACAGTCTGATGGGAACCCCTTTGTAGGTGACAGTACCCTTATCTCTTGCTGCTTCTAGGATTCTCTCCTTCATTTTAATCTTGGCTAATGTAATGATGATGTGCCTCAGTGTGTTCCTTCTTGGGTCTAACTTCTTTAGGACCCTCTGTTCTTCCTGGATTTCCTGGAAGTCTATTTCCTTTGCCAGAACGGGGAAGTTCTCTTTTATTATTTGTTCAAATAAGGTTTCCACTCGTGACTGTTCCTCTTCCCCTTCTGGTGCCCCTATAACTCAGATATTGGAGCATTTAAAGATGTCCTGAAGGTTCCTAAGCCTCTCCTCATTTTTTTTTTTAATTCTTGTTTCTTCATATTTTTCTGTTTGGTCATTTTTTTCTTCCTTCTGCTCTACTCCCTTGATTTGAGTCCCAGTTTCCTTTCCATTACTATTGGTTTCCTGTGCATTACCATTATTTCAATTAGTTTAGTCTTCATATGTTCCTCTAATTTGTGACTAAAATCAACCAGTACTGTGAGCATCCTGATCACCAGTGTTTTGAACTGTGCATCTGATAGTTTGGCTGTTTCTTCATCGCTTAGATTTATTGGCTCTGGGGCTCTGAGTTGTTCTTGAGCCATGTTTTTATCTGTTTGGTCCTGTTACGTATTACAAGAGGTGCCTTAGGCGTTCACCAGGGCGGGGCCACCCAGGTCGCTGGTTTGTGACGCTGTATGTGGGGGCGGGGTCAGAGAGGGAGCAATGGCGGTCCTCTCCACTCACTCACTCCATCCCACCACTCGCCCCCACCTGTTTACCTGAGCAGAAATGTGTGAGCCCGCTGCCCTGCACCATGCGGTCTGAATGCTCGCCTCTTCACTGGTTTATCTGCGTGCAAATGCTCCACCGCAGACAGACAGCCTCGCCTCTTCCCTGTGTCTTCCCGTAGCTAGCTCGCACTTGGGATCGGTGCCCTTGGCTGCCTGTGTACCTCCCAGGTCAGGGGATCTTTCCTGCCCAACCCGCTCCGATGCTGGCTTCACCCCTCTCACCAGTTTAGCTGAGCAGTTCATTGTTTTTGGACTCCGTATTGTCGATTTTCTATGTGGTTTGGTTGCGTTTATTATTGTTAAGACTTTATTATTTTTAGGTTTGGTTGTGCAAGGATGCAAAGTGTTTCCACCTACGCCTCCATCTTGGTGGAAGTCCCCCTTTTTTTTTAACTTTTTCATTTAACTTATTGAGGTGACATTGTTTAATAAAATAACATGAGCTCAGGTGGACAGTTTCACAACACAACTTCTGTACATAGTATTTACTAACACCCTGTTGTATGGTTGTATTACATTTACCTTGTCCACTCATCAGTAAACAGACATTTGGGTGTTTCCATTTTTGACAATGAGAATATTGCTGTGAATACTGGTTAAGCTTTTTTTGTTTCTGGGGCATATGCCTGGGAGTGGAATTGCTGGGTCACATGGTAGTGTCTGTGTGTCACTTTTAGAAGAAACTGCAGACTGATCTCCATGGTGGCAGTTCCATTTCAGGTTCCCAAAGGCAAAGTATAAGCCTTCCAATTTCTCCACACATTTACCTGCACTGCTATTGTCCTTGAAAAATATTACAGGTCACTACAGGGGGTGAAGGGTTATTTCAGCATACCTTTGATATGCTTTTGTGTGCAATAATAATGAAGCCGTTTATTTTCTTGTGGAGTTACTGTCTACTTGTATGCATCTCTGAAGAAAATTTTCTCAAGTCCTTTGCCCATTTTTTAATTAAACTTTTAGAACAATTCAACCCTGTGCACATTTTTTATCTGTGTTGTTTGACTTTTTGTTGAGTTGTAAGAATGTTTTTTGTTTAAGATTTGTTTTCTAAATTGATTTCACCGAGAGGGGAAGGAATAGAGAGAGAAACATCAAACATTTGGCTGTTACACTTACTTATGGATTCATTGGTAGCTTCCTGTATCTGCCCTGATCAGGGATTGAACCCACAACCTTGGCACACTGGGATGATGTTCTCACCAGCTGAGCCTCCAGCCAGGACTGTAAGAGTATTTATATGTGCTGGATAAGAAGCCTTATCACATCTATAATTAGGAAGTATTTCTCTCATTAAATGAGTTGGCTTTTCACTTTCTTACAGAGCTAATTAATGAACAGAATGTTTTCTTTTGATGAATTCCAACTGAAGCCTTTTATTTTATAGCCAACAGCCAGGGGTCAGGGCAGGTTCAGGAGTAAAGGCACATGCAGTCCGGAGTCTGTTGATGCAGGAAGGCCTGGGGGATGCCCTGCAGGTTCCCAGTGGAGCCAAAGGACACAGGGCTGCCACTGAGCAGGTGACTCCCTCCTCTTCTCTTTCCTGCAGGGAAATCAGGGCCTGGGGCAGGGGTTGTGCTGCTGACTATTGTGGAAGCAGCTGCTAAGACCCTGCTGCTCCTGCTCTGCCTCATCATCCTCATGTGAGCTCTGCCTCAGGGGAAGGGAGGGGAGAGGAGGCAAAGGACAGGGGGCTGAGTCCAGGGTTAGGGTAGCCAGGGATGCCCTCCCTTCCTTCTGTGTGATTCAAAGTCACTAAGTCTTGTCCATCCTTCCTCCTTAGCACAGCTCAGGTCAGTGCCCATCTCCTCCCCATTCTGACCCTGGTCATATTTGTGACCTCATCTCTTCCTGGGTCTCTGAAGCCAACAAAATCCTGCCACCACCTGTCCTCCACTCAGGCTGCCTGATTGTGTTTGCACACACCTATCCTCAGGTTCTGCATGGTTTGATCAGCAAAGTTTCCTCTCAGGGCCCAGGGATGAGGGGCAAAATCCACAGGCTGGATTTAGGGTTGGTGTGTCCTGTGCCCTGGACTCTCCACTGGATTCCACCCTCTTCTGCAGTCTCACACCATCCCCACACCCAGCCAGGCCACAGCCTTTGTGATTCTGAGACTTTGCATGTGCAGTTCTTTCTACTGAAATGCCGTTCCCTTCTGATTCCTACATCTCCAAGTGCTGATCATCCTTTGGTCTTAGTTAAAAGTCACCTAATCTTATGTGTATGTGTGTCTAACTCTTGTATATTGTGAACAGTGAAATATGTGGGGTCATCATATATTTATATCCTCTCTAGCAAGTATGCCTGAAAATCTACTGTGTGCCAAGATAGTTGTAGACACTGGGGATGTGCCTGTGGGCACAGCATCAAAATCTGTCATCCAGAAGCTGCCATTATGAGACAAGAGGATAGAATTTAACTCACTGAAGACACTACAGCACTGAGCCACAGAAGGAAGGGCCTGTGTTTCAGGGACCACAGAGGGGTTTTGAGCAGGGTATTCTATCTCAGAAGACACCTTATGACCACCGAGGGATGTCACGCCAGGGAGAGTGCTGGTGTGAACGATCGAAATGAGGAAGTGGTCAGGACTGGAGATGGGGGAACGTGTGACAGTGTGAGGGTGTGACAGCAGTGAGGGAGGACAGACTCTGGCAGCCCACAGAGAAGAGAATACACAAGAAAACACGTCATTACTGAGTCTCAGTGGTTGGTGGGAAAGGTGTGAAGATGTGATTGGAGCAGGATCAGGAGAGAACTGGAGGAGGCGATATGGAATCACAAGGTCCAGAAAAACCCTGAGAAGTTTGTTTGCAAAGAGGAACAGAGGAGTGGGCCTGGAGGAGAATGTTCTTTCTAAATTTTTTCTCTGCTTTTTCCCAAAGCTGCCCAATGACTTCCCACTTGTGTTGCTTTCTTGGGGTCATTGAAAGGAACTATCATACACTCGGTGCCATTTTTTGTTTTTGTTTTTTTTTAAGTTTTATTTTCCTAGATTTGGGGGCTAGAAATTCATGTAAGGCATAAGATATCTTTCCCTGTGCCCTTCTAAGCCCTCAACTGAGATCACTGAAACAGAAAAAGACTAGGTGTCACATTTTGGGCTCACATGTTCTGAACCCCATGATGACAAATGAGTTCCGATGTGTGGGAACCTGATGGTTGGTGGGACTCATGCCCTCACAGGTTCAAGGGGAGAGTCCACCTTTGTGATTCCCAGGGCCTGGGACTCCCGGCTGTCCTTGTTTGGTGTCCAGGTCACTGCAGCCTGTCTCTGGCCACACTGCCTCATCCTGCCCTGTGTGCAGAAAGTCACCTGCTGTGTCTCTCCCAGAGGACATGTGTGACTACATTCAGGGACCAACTCTGACAAGGAAGTATTCTCTACAGGTCAATATCCTCACCTCAGTCCCATCTGCAAGACCCTTTTCCTCATCAGGTAATGTTTGCAGGTACCAGGGTCTCTTCAGGTGGTCATTATTCTCCCTCTGCCCTGCCCAAGTGACCTGCTGCCCCCATGAATGTTTTCATCTGCCCTCCAGACCTAGTTTGTCTTGTTCTCCCACATCCAGATGCAGTAGAGGGTCACCCCATGAGGGTCACATGTCTAGGGGAACAAGAGCTTGCTGTTCTACAAAAGCCACTATTAAGAGAATTAAAGGAAAAGTTACAGACTTGGAGAAAAATATCTACAATATAGACTTCATGAATGACTTGAATTCACAATATATCCAAGATATTCAAGTGAAGCAATAATCAAAAAATAAACCCCATTATAGAAAAATAGTCACTATACAACAACAACAAAAAAAGAAACCCAGAAAGAATCCTACTTATCATTTTGTCAATTATTTGAATAGACATTTCTTTTTTTTTAATTTTTTATTGATTATGCTGTTACAGTTGTTCTATTCCCCCTTTATTCCCCTCCACCCTACCCCCCATCCCCACCATCACCCCCCCTTTAGTTTATGACCATGTGTCTCAAGTCCTTTAGATTCTATATTTCCCATGCTATTCTTGCCCCCCCCCCCCATCTATTTTCTATCTACTGTCTATGCTACTTATTTTCTGTACCTTCTCCCCCCTTCTCCTCCTCCCACTCCCCTGTTGCTAACCCTCCTTGGGATCTTCATTTCTATGTTTCCACTCCTGATCTAGCTGTCCTTTTAGTTTGCTTTCGTTTTAGGTGTGGTTGTTAATAACTGTGAGTTTGTTGTCCTTGAATAGACACTTCTAAAAAGACATACAAATGGTCACTGAATACTGAAAATATGTTCAACATTACCAATATGAGATAAGTTTAAATTAAATCACACAAGGAAGCTTTACCATAATTCTGTAAGTTGGCTATTAACAAAAAAACTAAAAAGAGAAAGGAAAAAATATTGGAGTGAATAAGAAGAAAACCGACCTCTTTTGCTTTGCTCTCTACTGCAAAATGAACATCTGCTTTGGAAAACAGTCTTGCAGTTCCTCAGATTGTTAGATTTTTAAAACACCCAACACTTGTATTTTTAGGAAAAAAAAACAGTATGTAGGACACATGGTCAACTCCCTAGAAACCACAGTCCTCCTGTGTTGGGAGGAAGAGATGTCTGTAGTGAGAAGTCTCTCAGGCACACAGACCAGGTCCACGGGTCTTTTTTTGTCTTGTCTTCAGCCAACCGACACTTAGATGCTCACTGAGTGATTGGGAATGAATGAATGAGTGAATGAATGAATGGATTAGTGAATGGGTGAGTTAATAAATTAGTGAGTGAATGAATGAATGAGTGAGTGAGCACTGTCTTTCTCTTCACAGGGACCCTCCTATTCCCTTCTGTTCTGACCTTCACAGGAACATTACCAGTCCTACACCCTGTGGGACCCAGCATGTCCCCCAGATGAGGCTCTAACTCCTGCTCATGCAGGGGTTGACCCTTCCCTCTATTGGGGGGCCCTTAGGAGATTCACATGTCCATACTCAGAGGTCGTGGTCCAGATCCAGTCCTTCAGGGGAGTTCCTGAGGGGGGCAGGACTTGAGATGGGCTCCACTTCTGCTCTACTTAGGGCAAGTAGCCAGCATTTCTGAGTTGCTGGGTGTGCACAGGCCCCGAGCAGAGAGGGATGTGCTTTGGCTCTGAGGTTCCTCTTTTGTAAACAAACAAGATCTCACACTTCTCCCAGCTTCCGTGGTCTCCCCACAGCCCCCCTCCCACCGCCTTCATTCTTTTTTACCCACAGGAACCAGACACATTCTTTGTCAGTAATGTTGCCGCTGCTGCTGGCCATGCTGTGGGCAGGTGAGAGGCTGAGGGGAAGGCTGTGGGTGGGTGAGGGCAGTTGCTGACCCTGCTTTCCCCACAGGGTCCCTGGCTCATGACAGAAGATACTGGATGACATTACAGGGTCCCGTGACAGTCCAGGAGGGCCTGTGTGTCTTTGTGCCCTGCTCCTTCATCTACCCGGGGAGCAATCGGTATCATGGCATTCCTGCTTATGGCTACTGGTTCCGGGAAGGGACTAATGAATTACAAGGTCCACCCGTGGCCACAAACAACCAAGATCGAGAAGTGCAGGAGGAGATGCAGGGACGATTCCAGCTCCTTGGGGATCCCAGGAACCACAGCTGCTCCCTGGACATCAGAGACGCACAGAGAAGAGACACAGGAAGATACTTCTTTAGGGTGGACAGAGGGTCCTATGGCAAATATAGTTACAAATGGAACCAACTCACTGTGCATGTGACAGGTAAGAAACAGGATCCAGGAGAGGCCACAGGGAAGTTGACAGTGACCCCAGGGCAAGGCTGGGATGGTCCCATCCTGAGAGGAGGACTGGAGAACAGCATGTTGGGGCTCAGAGGGAGGAGCTGGACCAAAGTCTGAGGCTTCTCTCAGGGCTGCACGTGGGACCCTTACTCTGGATCCTGTTCCCCCTTCTCTTCATCAGCCCTCAATAACACACCTGACATCCTCATCCCGGGGACCCTGGAGTCTGGCCACCCCATGAACCTGACCTGCTCTGTGCCCTGGGCCTGTGAGCGGGGCACACCCCCCCTCTTCTCCTGGACATCAGCTGCTCACACCTCCCTGGGCCCCAGGACCCACCTGTCCTCCATGCTCACCCTCATCCCACGGCCCCAGGACCACGGAACCAACCTTACCTGTCAGGTGCAGTTCCCTGCAGCAGGTGTGACTGTGGAGACAACCATTCAGCTCAATGTCACCTGTGAGTGCTGGGTCAGAACAACAGGGTCCCTGAGGGTGTGGGAGCAGGAGAGCCAGGCTGCTGTGCAGGTGCCTTTGTCCTGGAGGCCTGGCTGAGAAGGGACCCAGAGGACACAGTTCTGCCCCACTTGCATTTCTGTGGTCTCTAAGGACGGGGGTTACCTACAATTGTCTCACCCCATTCCACCCTCTCTTCCTGTGCCAGGTATACCCCAGAACCCAGCATTTGGTGCCTGCCAAGGAGATGGCCCAGGTAGGAAGGAGCCCATCCTAGGTTGCAGAAAGCATGGCCTCTTCCAAGTCAGGGAAGGGCCAGGTGTCTCCCTCACCCTGGATTCACCTATGTGGCCACACCCTAAGAACAGAGTGCTCCCTCTTTTTCCTTGTACTCTATGACCACTGTGAGTGGCTGCCCCATATGCCACCCCCACCCCGAGGACTGTCCCAACCAGTGTCAGCTGCACCAGGGGAACAAGGTACCACCCACATGCAGAGCAGCCTCTTGGGCCCCTGATTCTATTTCTCCTGATGAGTCTGCCAGGTTCACATTTAGTTTTTGTCCTATTGTCTTTAATGTTTTTATTCTTAATTTTTTTCTTTATTGTTTTACTCTTTCATTGAACTTATTGAGGTGACATTGGTTAATAATATCATATAGGCTCGGGTGCATAATTCCCTGGACATCTTCTGTACGTAGTATTTACTGACACCCCATTGTATGGTTGTATCACCTTCAGCTCATCCATTCATCAGTAGACAGACATTTGGGTGTTTCCATTTTTGATGGTGAGAACACTGCTGTCAATATTGGTTATGCTTTTTTTGTTGGAACATATGTTTTTTAGGGCATGTGCCTGAGAGTGGAATTTCTGGGTCACATGGTAGTGTCTGTGTGTCACTTTTAGAAGAAACTGCAAACTGATCTCCATGGTGGCAGCTCCATTTCAGGTTCCCAAAAGCAAAGTATAAGCCTTCCAATTTCTCCCCACAATAACGTGCATTGTTATTCTCCATGAAAAATATTACAGGTCACTAGTGGGGGTGAAAGGCTATTTCACTGTACCTTTGATTTGCATCTGTGTGTAATAATAATGAAGCCATTTATTTTCCTATGAAGTTACTGCTCATTTGTATCCATCTTGAAGAAAATTTATTCAAATCCTTTACCCATTTTTCATTGGGGTAATTTGACTTTCTCTTGTAGAGTTGTAAGAATGTTTTTTGTTTAATATTTACATTGTAAATTGGTTATAGAGTGAGGGAAGGGAGAAATAGAGACATTGATTTGTTGTTACAGTTATTTAAGGATTAGTTGGTTGCTTCTTGCATGTGCCCTGACCAAGGATTGAACCCACAACTTTGACACTTTGGGATGACATTCTAACCACTGAGCCACCAACCAGGACTGTAAGAATTCTTCATATGTACTGCATAATGAGCCTTATCAGATCTACCATTAGCAAACATTTCTCCAGTTAAATGGGTTGGCTTTCCATTTTTTCCATAATGTTAATCAATGAACTCAACGTTTTATTTTGATGAATTACAACCCAGGCCTTTTATTTTCTGTCCCACTACAGGGGATGAGGGCAGGTTCAAGGGTAAAGGCACAGGCAGTCCCAAGTCTATTGATGCAGGAAGGCCTGGAGGATGCCCTTCAGGTTCCCAGTGGAGCTGAAGGACACAGGACTGCCATTGAGCGGGTGACTCCCTACTTGTCCCTGTTTCCTGCAGGGAAATCAGGTCCTAGAACAGGAGTAGTCCTGGTGATCATTATGGAAGTAGCTGCCAAGACCCTGCTCCTCTTCCTGTGCCTCATCATCCTCATGTGAGCTCTACCCCAGGGAGAAGAAAGGGGTGGGGAGGGCAAGGGGCACTTGGCTGAATCCAGAGCCAAGGACAAGGATACTGATGAATTGGGGGTAGTGCTGGCAGGAGGTGAAGAGGTGGTGGGTGAGGACCTCACATGGACAGCCCTTGTGAGTATCCAGGCTGGGAGGTACCTACTGTGGTCACGATAATCCGTGAGACTTGCCTTCTCCCACTTCACTCTCCCCTCTGTCCCTTGAAAAAAACAAAGGGATTTGGGTCTGCTATCCATTGCACCCTGATCCGACCAGACTCCAAACATCTTGTCTCTTCTCTCACAATCAGGTACCACAGAAGGAAGGTGACAAGGCCTACAAGGGGCATGAAAGATGCAAACACAGTGTCAGGTTGATGTCTCAGGTGAGTGACCCAGGATTCTCACTACCCAACATGCCCCAGACACCATCTCCTGGATGGTCCCTGGGATTGCTCTGCTGAGCATGGTTACAGCTGAGCTGCCATATTCCTCCCCAAACCCACTATTTTACAGTGTCCTAGTCACACAGATGACACAGTGTCCTCCCTTCCTTCTTAATGATTCAATAAATCACTAACTCTTTTTCACCCTTCCTCCTTATCACAGCTCAACTCAATAATTGTCTCCTGCCCATCCTGACCCTGGTCGTTCCTGGGGCCTCATCTCTTCCTGGGTTTCTGAACCCAACCAAGTTCTGTCTCAACGTCTGTCATCAACCCAGGCCTCCTGACTGTCTTTGCACAAACCTATCCTCCACGTCCTCCACAGTTTGAACCACAACGTTTCTTCTCCATGGCCAGGGATGAGAAACAATCTCCACAGACTGGATTTAGAGCTGGCATAGCCTGTGTCCTGCTGGACTCTCCACTGGATTCCACCCTCTTGTGGACTCTTACACCATCTCCACACTTAGCTGGACCATGGCCTCTCTGACTCTGAGAGTTTGCACGTGCAGTTCCTTCTGCAGAAATGTCCTTCCCTTCAGATTCTTATATATCCAAGTGTGTGAGTAATTCTTATGTGGTTTTGAACAAAATAATAGTTATTTTTTTATTTATAAGCCTCTCTGGTAGTATGACTGAACCCCTACTGTGTGCAGTCTTGCAGACACTGGGGATGCAACTGTGAACCCAGCAGCAAAATCCATGTCATCCAGAAGCAGCCATTCTGGAGACAAGAGAATAGAATTTAACTTATTGAAGACACTACAGCACTGAGCCACAGAAGGGAGGGCCTGTGTTTCAGGACCAGAGAGGGGTTTTGAGGGGGACTTTCATTCTGAGAAGCCACCTCTTGACCACTGAAGGACATCTGCGAGTGTGCTGGTGTGACTGATGGAGATGAGGAGATGGTCAGGACTGGAGATGGTCACGTGTGTGAAAGTGTGAGAGGGTGATGGCAGTGAGGGAGCACAGGCCCTGGCAGCCCACAGAGAAGAGAAGACACAAGAAAACACATCATCACTGGGTCTCACTGGTTGGTGGGAAACGTGAAGATGTGATTGGAGCAGGATCAGGAGAGAACTGGAGGAGGCGATATCGGATCCCAGGGTCCAGAAAACCCCTGAGAAGTTTGTCTGCAAAGAGAAACAGAGGAGTGGGTCTGGAGGAGAGGGACTTTTCTCAATTCCTTCTCTTCTTTTTCCCAGAGGTTCTCTGTGAATTCCTTCCTGTGTTACTTTCCCGAGGCAACTGAAACAAATTACCACACACTAGGTGCCTTTTCTGGTAAAGTTTTATTCTCTTGGTCCTTGGGGCCAGAAGTTCATGCAGGAATTTAAATATCTTCTCATTCTGCCTTCCTAAGTTCTGGTTTGAGACCCCTAGAAAGAAAGACTAGTTGCCACACCTTGGGGTCAGATGTCCTGAACCCCGTTATGAGAAATGAGTTCTGATTTGTGGAAATCAGGTGGTTGGTGGGACTCATGCGCTTGGAGACTGCAGGGGAGAGTCCACCTTTGTGATTTACAGGGACTGGGCTTCTTGGCCATTTTTGGTTGGTGTTTGGGGTACTGAGCCTGTCCATAGCTACACTGCCTCATCCTGCTCTGTGTGTAGAAAGTCAGCTGCTGTGTCTCTCTTTGAGGACACATGTGACTACATTCAGGGACCAACCCTAACAAGAGAGGATCCTCTCCAGGTCAATATCCTCACCTCTGTCCCATCTGCAAAGACCCTTTTCCTCATTGGGTAATGTTTGCAGGTACCAAACTGTCTTTGGGTGGCCAACATTCACCTTCTGCAGTGCCCAAGTGACCTTGTGTCCCCCATAAATGTCTCCATCTGGCCTCCAGACTTAGTTTGTCTTGTTCTCCCACATTCTGATGCATTAGAGTGTCACCTCATGAGGGACACATGTCTGGGGGAATAAGAGCTTGCTATTCTACAAAAGCCAGTGTTAAGAGAGTTAAAGAAAAAGTTGCAGACTTGGAGAAAAATATCTACAATATGCACTTCATGAATGACTTAAATCCAGAATACATCCAAGATATTCAGGTGAAGCAATAATAAAAAAATCCTGTTGTAGAAAAATAGTCATTAACAAACTACAACAACAATAACAAAAAACACAACCCTATTACAATTTGCTGAATTATTTGAATAGACATTTCTATAAAGGCATACAAATGGTCAATAAATACATGAAAATATGTTCAATATTACCAATATGAGATACATTTAAATTAAATCACACGAGGAAGTTTCACCATGATTCCGCGAGTTGACTATTATACAAAAAGTTAAAAACAAAAGAACTATGGGAGTGAATAAGAAAGAAACTGACCTCTTCTGATTTGCTCTCCCCAGCAAAGCTGTGCATCTGCTTTGGAAAACAGTCTTGCAGTTCCTCCGCTTATCAGATTTTTAAAACACCCCACATTTGTATTCTTAGAAAAAACCAGCATATGAGCCGGAAACGTGGTCAACTCTTCAATGACCACAGTCTTCCTGTGTTGAGAGAAAGGAATGTCTGTGGTGGGGACTGTCTCAGGGACATGGACAAGGCCCACAGTTTCTTCTTGTCTTGTCTCCAGCCAGCCGACACTTACATGCTCACTGAGTGCTTGTGAATGAATGAATAAGTTAATGAATAAATGGATTAGCGATTGAGTGAATGAATGAGTGAGTGAGCACTGCCTTCTCCTCGCAGGAATTCTCTCTTCCCTTCTGGCCTGACCCTCACAGGAATATTATGAATCCTACACCCTGTGGGACCCAGCATGGCTCCCAGAAGAGACTCTGACTCCTGTTGCTCATGCAGGGAGTTGACCAGCCCCTCTGATAGGGGCCCTCAGGAGACTCACGTGTCTGCCCTCAGGTGTCATGGTTCTGCTTCGCTCTAGCAGAGGAGCCCCTGACAGGGGCAGGACTTGAGATGGGCTCCACTTCTGCTCTACTCTGGGCAGGTGGTCAGCATTTCTGGGCTGCCAGGTGTGCACAGGCCCTGTGCACAGAGGGACTCACTTTGGCTCTGAGGTTCCTCTTTTGTCAACAGCTCAGATCTCGTGCTCCTCCCAGCTTCCGTAGTCTCCCCACAGCCCCCCTCCTACTGCCTTCATTCTTTTTCACCCACAGGAACCAGACACACTCCTTGTCAATAATGTTGCCGCTGCTGCTGGCCATGCTGTGGGCAGGTGAGAGCCTAAGGGGAAGATTGGGGGTGGGTGAGGGCAGTTGAAAGACCCTGCTTTCCCCACAGGGTCCCTGGCTCATGACAGAAGATACTGGATGACAATACAGGGTCCCGTGACAGTGCAGGAGGGCCTGTGTGTCTCTGTGCCCTGCTCCTTCATCTACCCGAAGAACAACTGGTATTATGTTCCAGCCACTGATGGATTCTGGTTCTTGGATGGGGCTAAAACAGACATGGATGCTCCAGTGGCCACAAACAAACGAGATCGTAAAGTGCAGAAGGAGACCCAAGGCCGATTCCTCCTCCTTGGGGATCCCAGGAAGCACAGCTGCTCCCTGGACATCAGAGATGCCAGGAGGACTGATGAGGGACTATATTTTTTTCGGGTGGAGGGAGGAACTATGCTAAAACATTCTTTCATACAGAACAAGCTAACCGTGCATGTGACAGGTAAGGAACAGGCTCCAGGAGAGGCCACAGGGAAGTTGACAGTGGCCCCAGGAAGGGCTGGGATGGCCCCATCTTGGGAGGGGATGGGGGAACAGCATGTTGGGGCTCAGAGGGAGGAGCTGCACCAAAGCCTGAGGCTTCTCTCAGAGCTGCATGTGGGACCCCCACTCTGGATCCCCTGTTCCTTCTTCTCCTCACCAGCCCTCAACCACAAACCTGACATCCTCATCCCGGGGACCCTGAGGTCCGGGCACCCCATGAACCTGACCTGCGCTGTACCCTGGGCCTGTGAGCGGGGCACACCCCCCCTCTTCTCCTGGACATCAGCTGCTCACACCTCCCTGGGCCCCAGGACCCACCTGTCCTCCATGCTCACCCTCACCCCACGGCCCCAGGACCACGGAACCAACCTCACCTGTCAGGTGCAGTTCCCTGCAGCAGGTGTGACTGTGGAGACAACCATCCAACTCAACGTCACCTGTGAGTGCTGGGTCAGAACAACAGGGTCCCTGAAGGTGTGGGAGCAGGAAAGCCAGGCTGCTGTGCTGGTACCTTTGTCCTGGTGGCCTGGCTGAGAAGGGACCCAGAGGACACAGCCCTGTCTCACTTTCATTTCTGTCATCGCTAAGAATATGGGGCTACCTACAAGTGTCTCATCCCATCCCACCTATTCTTCCTCTCTCAGGTGAGTCCCAGAACTCAGCCATCATTGTCTGCCCGGGAGACGGCCCAGGTGGGAAGGCGCCTCCTGTTCATATGGTGTTGATTGAACAGGGGTCTGTGCCCAACTGATTTAGAGCACTTCTCCCAAGTTCAACAGAGGGACAGGACACAGTTAGATGGAGAACTCTCTTTAGGCCTCTTCCCCAATGTCCTTCACTGCTGTCCACCAAGGGTGACCTGCAAGCTCCTCCCTGCCCATCCTAAAGGAGGCTCTTCCCTCAGTTGTCCGTGCTTGGGGCACTTTGCAGGAGATGCCGTGTTCAGAGCAGCTACAGTCCCACAGCGAGACTGAGCAGGAGGTAGAGGGTTTGTCCCCACACCTGCCCCTCCCTTTCCTACAAGCACATCTGCCACCTGAGGGGACATGTGCAGTCGATGAACCTGCAGTGACTCAGCACCATCACCCACAATCCACAATCTACTCTGGGGTCCACTGGTGGTGCTGGATGTGCTGGGGGTCTGGACTGTGTGTGATGGGCTGTGTCCCCCTTTACAGTATAACACAGAGTTTTCAGTGCTCAGAATAATCTCTTTGGGCTATTTTGTGACTGCTGGCCTCTCAGCCTTGACACTGACCTGTCTCTGGAGCCCAGAGCTCCCCCCACCCTGTTCTCATTGGTGACAACATCTGGTCCCCACCCCTACTGGAGAGGGACCTTCTTCAGTCCCTTCACACACACAGTGCTCAGAGACACCACCCTGACAGTGGGCATGGGGCTCCTGGGACGCTGGCCAGATGAAACCAAGAGACAGGTTTGGGGCTCCCCAGAAAGTCTGAGAACCTCCCTGATTGTGCCCCTGTCTGGAGGCACAAAAGCCACCTTCAACACTGAGTGACAGGGCCAGAGGGGGCAAGGAGGGAAGATTCAGATTCCTTCCCAGGAAGGAAGGAGAGGTGGGTCTGTCGGCTTCCCACAGTTCTCTGCATATCTCTGCAGGAATGCCCATCGGACCCTGAGACATAAGGTCCTGGGCAACCAGAGAGCATCTGCTTCAGAGACACCCAGGTGGAGAGCCACCTGGTCTCAGAAGAAATGAGGGGTGCTGTCCAGGAGCATGGGGACTGCCTAGGGGGTGTCTGTAGACCATGCCCTTTATGCTGCAGCTCTGGGGGACCTCAGCGAGGAGCCTGCATGGGAGCTGAGGGGCACCCCTGCCTTCATGCTTCAGGGAAAGGAAAACAGCTGCTTGTTCAGATTGGAGCTCACCCCGAGCCTCTCTCCTGTGCAGGGAAACCAGGGACCAGGGCAGGTGTGGTTCGTGGGGCCGTCGGGGGAGCCGGTGTCACCGCCCTGCTGGCTGGCTGCCTCTGCACCACCTACTTCCTGTGAGCTGCCTAGGGTGTGGGTCCCAGGTGCAGAACGGGGGCTGGAGGTATTGGGAGGCCTGGGGGAGGATGGGGGTGCAGTAGTAGTGAGAATTCAGCCGCTGAGCCAGGCTTCAGTGTGCTCCCAGCTGTGGCCCCAGATGTCCAAGATCAGGAGGACCTGGTTAGAAAGTCTTGTTGTGAAGGTTCCTGGTCTGCTCCACCCTGCACCTGCCCTAGTCACTCACTCCAGCTTTAGAGAGTGACCTCTCATCAAAGACTCTGGCGTCTCCCACAGAGTGAAGAGGACCCAGAAAAAGAAAGCAGCCAGGCCAGCAGGGGACAAGGACGACCCCTACACTGACATGGCACCAGCTCCCATGGTGAGTGACCTGTGCATCTGGTGCCCAGCCTGCACCCCCCACCTCCTCCCCGGGGTGGCCCATACTAGCACTGCATTTGGCATGTACAAAAATGAGGTCTTCAATGTCCTACTTTTTTGGAAAATATAGATTTTATTATTATCCAGTATATCAGGCCAACACACCTGAGAGACATATACCACCATTTATTGGTCACACTTTCCAAGAGGCAGAAGAGAACCCACCCTACAGGCCCAGGTGGGGCAGCCCAGGGGCTGGTCAGATGCAGATAGAAGGAGAAAGGGGGACACATGGGCATATCCTTGATGGAGGTCTCCCTGGGGAAGGCAAGGTGAGGCAGGGGAAGCAGGCTTAGGCCTGGCTGGCTGGTTGGAATAATGTCAGTGGGCTCTAGGGTGTAGGGGCTGCCTCTTGTTACCTGGTACCTGGTCCTGGTGGGATTAGGACAGGAGAGGAAGGGCCTGGGGTGTAAGAGCTCCACAGATGGGGTGGTAGGGGCTGTGCCCTTTGGACTGGCTGGATTGCCGTGTGCAAGTCACGTTTGCAGGCAAGTCCTTCCCTATCTTTAGCCTTTGGCCATGTCTGGCAGAAATAGTTTCCCTAGGGGTGCAAAGCCCCTGGTGTCATAACAAAGAAGGATGTGGTTAATACTCCCACAAACATACTCCTACTGGATCTCCACCTCATCACTGGTCTTCTTGTCCCTGACACCCAATCAGAGACCTGTCCCTGTCCCTCCCAGTCCTGCATCAGCTCCTCCTGCACCAAGATGCTGCAAAGCACGTCTGCGCTTCTTCTGAACACAGCTTAGCATGGCCATTCCCTTCAGGCTGAGCTTCCGTCTTAGTCCTTATCCTGCTGATGCCCGCACCACCCCCCCCTTCACCTCTCCACCTCTCCTCCCTGACACACACATCAGCATCGCTTCTATGAAAAAGCAAGTCCTAAATGCACTGAGCTGCAGAGCCCAGGCCACTTGGTCTGGCGTTTGAGGCCGGAAAACCAGAGTCACCTTCAGTGCTTTCTGCTTCTCACACTCGCCTGCTCACTTGCATCTCAGCATCACTGGTGGTCTCTCCCTGCCCTGTCACCCGCCTGGGTCACCCCCCCCCCCGTTCCTGCTCACCCTCAGTGCTCAGGCGCACTTGCTCATTGAACTCTGACTAATGCAGACACTGCGGTGAGGTCTTTGAGCACATGATTCACCACACACTAGTATTTATCTTTTCCTTCAGCAAATATCTCCTACTTATCAACTGTTCTGGGCACTTGGGTAATATCTGCATTTTTACAGATTATTATGTTACTGATGTGAAACATCCCCCCTGAAAACTCTTTCCTTGGCTTGCTGATGACCACCTTCTTGCTGTGTCCTCTCATGACCTTTTCTGTGTGTCCATGCATTTCTGGTGCCTCTTCTTCTTAGGAAGATTTAAGTCATTTTGGGTCTTGCCCTAATGACCCCATTTAAAATTGCGTCCTTCTCCAAAGGCCCGAATGCCAAGTTCAGTCACATTGGGAATCAGAGCTTCAACCCATGAATATGGGGGCACAGGCCAGTCCATATGACAGATGGAGTCAGGGGAACAGCGATGAATTTAGAATAAAACGGTTGGGTTCTGGATACATTTCAAAGGTGGAGTCAACCAGATTTGCACTTGGACCTGATTTGCCAATGGCATGTGGGGTACACTTGTGGTGGGAGCAAAGAGCCCATGGCTCCTACCTCACAGGTGCCATTGGTGTCACAGGTGATTCCACGGACATCATAGCTGTCCAGTGATGCCATTGGACATCAGATGGACCTGGATGTCCATAAGTATCCACAGTCACCAAGAAGGTCTCTCATGTGGTCACCCTGAGCAACTTAAAGGACTGAATTAACATTTCCCAAAATGGCCACCTCTCTGGAGAAGGACAGTGTGAGAAACAAAGCCTTGCTTCAGTCACCATAAGTTTAAGCTGCTTCCGAAATGTTTACCTGAAGACGACAAACAGATGGTCGGAGTCCAGAGCTCAGGAGAGGGCAGGTTGGAAGTGTGGAGATTAGGGGGTCTTCCTCTCAATGTCTGATAGCGCATGACATCACCGAGATCAGAAGAGGTCTGCAAACAGAGCTGTGAGATCCTCCCCCACCCCAGTGTTTAGAGTCAGGGAGACATGGTAGACACAGAAAGGAGAGCACTAAAGAAAAATGAATGACCAAGAGAGTGTGGGGTTGGATCCAGGTGGCCGGAAGGGAGTCAGACTTCAAGGAGGAGAGCCTGCTCATGTTTTCTCAAATGCTAGTAGTCTGGTGAGACAGGGTCTGAGAAATGGCCATTTAGATTGAGCTGAGTGGTATCAGAGCTGATGTGGACAATCACAGGTCTGGTCACCAGGTGGAGGCAGATGTCCTGACTGGAGTGAGTTCAAGAGAGACTGGGAGAAGAGGAAGTGCAAAGCCTCTTTAGAAATGTTAACTCGAGAGCCAAGAAAAGAGTGACAAGCTGGACTTGCAATTGACATCTGACATGGCAGTGAGGGGGTTGATCTTGTGCGATGGAGCCCCTGATGTTTGGGATCAGGTAATAACTCAGGTAGCCAGTGTCAGAATTCAGCCCTGTTGTGAGCCACTCAGCTGGTATCAGAGGACTGCCCAGTGTAAGAGGAAAGGAGAGAAAAACAGAAGGAGAAGTCAATTTTCATAAACCCTTTCCTCTGTATTCAGTACCTGGCACATGGGAGACCCCCAAGAGTCCAGGGATTGTGTTCACAGCCATAGGTGTGTGAAAGACACTTGAGAAGTGCCTAACTTCTTTGGGACTTAGTTTCTTTCTTTGTAAAATAGTTGTATTTTTCACACAGGTCTGTGTCAGTATTGAGCAGAATTGGAAAGCAACCCATAAGAGCCATGTTTGTTGGATAACTGAAGACATGGGGCCTTGAGAAATATTTACTAGCCCTCAGAGGGTGGCTCTGTTGACTGAAATATTGTCCCATATATGAAAAGTTTGAGAGTTAAATCCCTGCTCAGGGCACATACCTAGGGTGCAGGTTCAATCCTCAGACAGAGCATGTATGGGAGGCAACCCATTGATGTTCTCTCTCACATCAGTGTTTCTCTCTCTCTCTCTCTCTCTCTCTCACACACACACACACACACACACATCAATAAACATATCCCTAGGTAAAGATTAGAAAGAGGTATTTAAAAAAAGAATGGAAGAATGAACAAAGGTCCTGTCACAATCAAATCCACTTCAGGGGAACCCACCACCCCACTAACTCCCTGCTTTGACCCCATTCTTTGCTCTCCCCACAGGGACACCAGATGAAGCCCATGTTAGACAGCCCTGCTGACCCCACACACTCTACAGAAGACAGCGGGACCTTGGGAACAGAGCCAGAGGTGTATTACGCCTCCATCAGCTTTCAGAAATGAATCCTCCTCCAAAGGGAACCCAAACAGCATACACAGAGATGAGGACCTAGTCAAAAGCCAGCATGTCCATGTGAGAAAGCTCATTCTTGGAGACTTAATGTCCCCACGGGCAGGGAGTGCATAAACCACTGTACGTGCATTTCCTGCAATGTCAAAACTGTGTTAGGTGTTGCAACCAGAGGGACCTGGGATCAAGTTCATGCTCTTCTGTTTACTATGAATATGACAGCTGGTCAGCCATCTTATTCCTCCATGTCGCCATTCCCTGCTATGTGATTAGGTGTAAGAAGTTCGACCTCACAGGGTTGCTTGAGGGTTGAATAAAAGTCCATATGCAGAACACCCAGCAGAGGTCCTGGTGCACTGTGAGAGTGAGTGACATTTCACTTGGAGGCTGGGTGTGTCCTGTTCCAGACACTACATCTGCAACATGTCCGCCTCACTCTCTATTCAAATCCCTCCTGTGGGTTTCTTCCCATCATCTCTCTCCACTCCTGAATCTTCCCTTTCCATCCTGCCTACCTGCCACTAGTCCTGCTATGAGCAAAATCATGTATTGACATCTATAGAATTTCCTAAGACTCAGAGCTGACCAAAGTCAAAATACTGCACTATCTCCCCAGCCCAGAATACTTTACAAGGCTTCAGCTTGTTATTCTAGGTCAAGAGTCAAGGAAAAAATGTTGTGAGAGGACAGAAAGCAAATTTTTAGGCTTCGCAAGCTGTATGGTCTCTGTTGCAATGATGCAACTCTGTTTGCAGGGAAAACACAACCATAGACAATCTGGAAATAACTTAATGTCACTGTTTCACAATATTTTATTTGCAAAGGCAAGCAGCCCCCTATGTAGTGTTCTCCCCCCTGTTCAAAGTAATAGTTAATCTCACCTGGTCCACTTCTCCATCACCATATCCTGAGCTGTCAATCACTCAAGCCAGTCTCTGAGGATGCTTGTTGTGATGCACTTTTGTCTGTCTTTGAGCATCCATGTCCCTCCTCCAGGAATGCTCCTCACCATGTCATCCTCTGGCTAACACCTTCTTAGTCTTCAAAATTACATGTCTTCATTGAGATGGTGGAGGAAAGCAGGACTCCATAATCTTCCTCCTGAAAAACCTGGCATTTTTTCACTATTTTTTATCCTGACCTGAGAACATTTTTTTTATTGCTTTGGGAGAGGCAGAGAGAAACATTGATTGGTTGCCTGTCTCATACATGCCACAACCAGGGTTTGAACCTGCAGCCTGGGCATGTGCCCTGACTGGGTATCAAACCTGCAATCTTTCAGTCTACAGGATGATGCTCCAGCCAACTGAGTGATGACAGCCAGGGCAAGATAACTAGTATTTGAACTTAAAATCAAAGCAAACACAGTCCAAAATTTTCCTATAGCACCAAAACCATGGCAGGGAAGAAGATGCATCATAAGTTCATAAACTGACCCCTAAGGACAAGTGTAGTGTAAAACAATGTCTAATCCCTAAAACCCACTGCTGGGCACCCAGAAAAACAGCCGAGTCAGACTTCTGTTCATGATAATGTGAGGCAGGGGGATGCAGATCAACCGGTTGTTGAAACACTAACAATTGATAGGTAGACTTCCAATGCAGAGAGGATGGTGTTGACCCTTGTTCCTTACTCCTCCCCTCCACTCACAGCCACACACCCTGTAACTCGTGCAAGAGGCCACCAGAAAATTCTGAAGATAAGAAGAGGGTAAATTGGTTTAGGAGCTCAGGACTTGAGAGACAATGCAGAGGCAGGGCCTCTCAGTGCTCAGACCCAACAGAGGACCGATGCTCAGCTCATTGTTTCTCAAATGCTGACTGAGAATCAGGAGGCAGCCAGGTAGGTGCCTCCCTCTCCAGGTCCCCCTGACAATACCTCTGAGTCCAGCAAGAGGGGCCAATGGGAGCCAGGAAGTGTGTCCTTTCCCCGTGGGGACTGAGAGTATCCCCTTATGCCCAGAAGCACAGGGTGGGTGGAAAGAACTGGATAAAGTCTCCAGCATAGTGTCTAGTATTCCTGACCCTGACCCTCACTCTTCTCCTTTGTCAGTTGAGAGGGCCTCTCACTTTGAGACTTGTTGTGTAGGTTTTGTTTGTTTTGGTGCAGCCGGTATGAAGACAGTTACTTAGGAGTCATGGGGTGGGGGGAACAGAGTCTATGCAAGCACATCCTCCTGCCTGTGGCTCAGCCAGGTGGGGCAGACAGACATCATCCCCAGGACAGACAACGCCTGAGAGTGAACAGGAGAGAGGGGAGCTGGAGCAGAGAGAGCAGCCCAGCCCTAACACCCCAGGTTCTCGGCTCCACCCCAGTCCCATCCACCTTCACACCCTTTCCCCTTCTGGCCCCAAACTGGGACATAAGCCTCTGGGGTCAGGCCCTTCTGCAGAGTTGGGAGGCGGGTACCTCAGCTTGCATCCGGACCCAGTTTCAGCACTGTGGACAGAGGCAGCTGCGCAGCCTAGTCACCCCGGGGTTCAGCATCTCCTCGTGGACTGAGCGCCCCCTGGAGGCCAGGAATCTATCAAGCCCAGGGCAGAGTGGGAGGGGCTGGGTGAGTGTCTACTGACCTCCTATGTCAGTGATGCTGGTCACAGGTGTCGAGACCTCCGGGGTGCTGCCTTCCTCAGACGTGGGCTCTTACTCTGTAAGAAAGACAACTATATAACGGGTGATGTGCTAACTCATGAGATGGGAATAACAAAGCCAGACCCGGAGCATCACTGGAGGAGAGCATTCACCACTCAAAGTGGGGTCCTTCTGACACTTTACAGCTGTTCCAAGACCTTAGGAGAAATCAGGTTTGCTTTCAGCTTTTTATCTGCCCCCCAGCCAGATGAATACCTTCAAGCACGCTTTCTATCTTTGCCCATCCGAGTTGATGAAACTCTTACAGTCCGGGACAGGCTTTCCCTTTGTCTGGGTTTCTCATATTTCTGTCTGCAGCCTTCTGGTCTCTGCCAAGGTGGTCTCAACCACCCCAGACTCCCAGCCCCACTTCTGCCCAGACACTTCCTGCAGTTACTCACCCAGGCTGGCCTGAGCCCTAGAGTCAAAGAGTCACAGGAAGTGAAGTAAGTAGATTTATATGTTATATAGATTGGTGATAAGGAGTTAGCAGGAAAACAAAGCAGGAAAGTTATGTAGGAAATATGGGGTGGATTACATTCTTCACGGTGTTGATTGTGGATGTCACTTTTGAGAAGCTGAGCTTTCAGTGTGCACACATGCACACTCACCACAGGTGCCTCCCAGTCACACACACCTCTCAGATGTGCACACAATTCACACAGAAACCACAGACACACATATACACACATGTACACACAGAGGTCACAGATACTCATATGCACACAATAATCTACAGACAGACCTGCCTCAAATATGCAACACTTGTAAGGAACACACACACACAAACACAACAGGTCTGAACCCCCATGATTCTCACACAGGCAGCTTTGCAGGGGAAGATTCAGGCTGATGGTCAAGCCAAGCAGACCCGACATCCCAGCAGAAAGGAAGGTCAGGGACGCCCATGACTCTAGGTTCTTCTCTGCCATTCCACTGACCTTGTCATTCTCAGAAGCCACCCCCTGCCATCTGATGTCCCCACACCCCTAGTCCCTGAGGCTGTGGTCCTGCAGTCCCTTTGGCCTCATCACCCCACCCACTGGCCTGTGAGGGTAATACACTTGTGTCCACACTAAGACCAAGCACTGGGAGATGGGAAGGGAAGGGGGCAACATCTCCCCACGTTTGGAAAGACTGAGACCTGAAGCCAGGACAGGTGGGAAGTGAAGTGGACTCACCTGAAAGGAGTGAGGGGCAGGTGAAGAAGCAGGAGGGGAAGAGAAAGTGGGAATGAAAAGCAGGAAAAGAGCAGGTGGAGGAGGAGGAGGTGGATGTAAGGGGCAGGGGCAGGGGAGATGTGGAAGAGAGAATGGGGGAGGGGAGGAGGCGGATTCCCTTGGATCCTGGAGCGGAGATGCTGAAGGACTGACTGGGACAAGGGGCCTGCAGCTGTACCCCCTCTTATCCCCACCAGTGTCTCGGGCTCTGGTCCTGCTCTGTCAAATGGGGTGACTTGCCTCCCACACAACCCTGCTCCCCTTTGACCCCCCAGCTCAGCAGTCCCATCCCCCAGGCCCACCCTCTCTTCCACCTCAGGTTCCTCCAGCCCACCCTCCTCTTGTGTCAGCCCTGACCAGCCAGACTGTGACTTACTCCCTGCCCCCAACTCCAGGTCCAGCAGGGTCTGCCTCACACAGACCAGTCCCCAGAACACCTCGCTCCACAGAAGGGAGGCAGGTACCAGGGTGCAGGCGCAGTGATGGGCCTCTCCAGCAGAGGGAGCTGCCTGAGCACAGCCCACAGGGCTGCTCCTGCACTGGGGAGAGAAGAAGTGGGTGGCTGGGCTGAAGCTGCAGCCATGCAGAGTGCAGAGCTGGTGGAGGCGAAACAGAGGAGTTTCCTCACGGGGTTTCCTCCCCTTTCCAAGTCCTTCCCCTCCCTCTCTTCATCCCACCCCCAGAGCGGACCCATCCTACTGATCCGCCCCCTGTGGACGGTGTCCACTGTGGGCCAAGCCAGTCTGCTCCAAACACTTTACTTGTAGGAACACCTTAATCTTCTTGGCAACCCCTGTGTTTTCAGGCTCAGGCTGTCATAACACAGTGCCGCCACTAGGGGCATAACCACAGAAATTCATATTCTCACAGTTCTGGAGACAGGAAGTTCAACATCAAGGTGTTGTTAGGACTGGTCCCCTCTGAGGCTTCTCTGCTTGGTTTGCAGACGGTTCTTCCCCTGCAGTCTCTCCTCTGTGCGTGTCTGTGCTCAAAACTCTCCTTCTAAGGACACCAGTCCTATTGGATTAGGGTCTGCCCTAGTGACCTCATTCTGTCTTCATCCCCCTAAAAGACCCATCTCCAACACCAGGCACATTCAGCAGTAGTGGGGGCGATGAAATGAGCAGGTAAAATTTGGGGGTGACAGAATTCAGCCCACAGCACCCCGTGAGCCTGGGCGTCCGACTGTGCACAGGCAGTGAGGCCTTTCCCCAGGCAGCACAGTGAGCAGGAGGGAGCCAGGCTGGAGCCCAGGGCTGTCTGGCTGCAGAGCCTGCACCCCTGACCCCACCATGGAGGCCTCCACTCAGGAAGCCCAGGGCTGAGATGGCCATCAGGGGATGGCCACTGAGGGCCAGACTCAGAGTGACCACTGAGGATTGGTCAAGGCCAGCACCTGCCCTTACCTAGGGTTCCCCACAGACGACCAGGGTTGAGGACTGAGAGGCCTCCCTGTGACAGATGAGGAAAGTGAGGCTTGGAGGGCAGAAGAGCCAGGCCCACCTGACTCCAAAGGCATCTGCTGGCATCTTGCACTCAATCAACACCAGGGATGCCCGGGCAGGGGGGCTCCCAGCAGGCCAGCTGAGGACCACCTGTGGGGTCACAGGCTGCTGACCGCCTATGTGGCCTGGTCCCATGCACTCTGGCCTTTCTCACCAGGGGGCTCACTGTCAACTGCCCAGAGAAGCTGGGTTTCCTACTCACCCCAGTCTGTGTTCCCACCAACACACCAGGGACCACCGGGAGCTGGCATGGCCTGGGGCCCCTCTACCTCCTCGGGTGTTAGGGTCACACTCAGGGACAGGGACAAAAGCTGCCTCTGTCTCCACTTTGATTCCACACCCCTGAGGGAGTAGATGCTCTGGTGGACTGTGTGTTCATTCATTCGTCCGTCACCACCTGTCTCAACTGAAGGGCTATGGCACATTTCTTGCCTCACCGTTCCTGTCAGCACCTCCTGAGTTTCACACCTGAGGGACTGATCCTTTGCATCAGATAGAAGCTGTGTCAGCCAGGCAGTACCTGCTTTCCTGGGTGGACATGAGTGCCAGAGGGATAGGTGAGGACAGGGAGCTGGGATTGTTCGGCCAGGTCCTCCTCAGCATATGGGGCCCTGTCTGGACAGTGGAGAAACTTATTCTACAAAGGCTGGGCCAGCTCCCCCACTGGGGCTGCCCACTTCCTCCTCACAGATCGTCACCTTTCTCCCTTCCCCCTGGCTTCCTGTTGGGACTTCCTCTCAGTCCTGTGACACCAAGACCCTGACACTTACCCCAGAGATGCTGCTGCTGCTGCTGGCCCTGCTGTGGGCAGGTGAGTGCCCCAGGGGAGACCTTGTGGGCTGAGGTGGAGGCAGTGGCTGATTGGTCTTTCCCCACAGGGTCCCTGGCTGAGGATGGAGGATTCCAGCTGCAAGTGCAGGGGTCTGTGAGGGTGCAAAAGAGCCAATGCATCTCTGTGCCCTGCACTGTGATCTACCCCAAGAAAGGCTGGACTGACTCTACACCAGCTCATGGCTACTGGTTCCGGGAAGGCGCCAAGGCAGGCGTGGAGGATCCTGTGGCCACAAACAACCCCAATCGTAAAGTTGCGTTGGACACCAGGGGCCGATTCCACCTCGTGGGGGACCCCCGGACCTATAGCTGCTCCCTGCACATCAGAAATGCACAGAGTAGAGACACAGGGGGATACTTCTTTAGGGTGGAGAGAGGACCCTATGTGAAAGAAAATTATAAAAACAACATGCTCTCTCTTCATGTAACAGGTAAGAAATGGGGTCAAGGTGAGGGCACATGGCTGGGTCCTGAGGGCTCCCGGGCTGGGAAGGAACCTGATTCTCCTCATCCTGGGATGGTCGCAGGGGGACTGATGGGGACTGGATCCTGGGGCTGGCTTGGCCCCACCTTCAGTGCCTCGGTCTCTCTCTCTCTCCACCCCAGGTCACACACCAGCACCTGACATCCACATCCAGGGGACCCTGCAATCTGGCCACCCCAACAACATTACCTGTACAGTGTCATGGGACTGTGACAGAGAGACACCACCCGTCTTCTCCTGGATGGAGGCCAACCTCACCTCCCTGGGTCTCAGGACTCCCAACTTCTCAGTGCTCACCCTCACACCAGGGCCCCAGCACCACGGCACCAACCTCACCTGTCGGGTGGCCTTGCCAGGTGGTGAGATCCAGGAGAGGACTGTCCAGCTCAGCGTGACCTGTGAGTACCCAGTCAAATCACTGGGTCCCTGAGGGTGAAAGGAGTTTGGGCCCCACTGACCCTCCTTGTGAAAGTGAGTAGGAACACACCTGTGGGCAGGATGCTGGAGTCTTCTGGAGGAGAGAGGTGCTTCTGATACTTCTCCTATGTCTCCCCACAGACCCCCCACAGCTGCAGGGACCCTCCTGCTCGTTGGAGGATGGGGGTCTGCACTGCACCTGCTCCTCGAAAGCCCAGCCGATCCCCTTGCTGCGCTGGTGGCTGGGGGAGGGCCTGCTGGAGGGGAACCACAGCAATGCCTCCCACACAGTCACCTTCCACTCAGCAGAGCCCTGGGCCAACAGCTCCCTGAGTGTCCGTGGGGAGCTTACATCCAACCTCAGGCTCCGATGTGAGGCCCAGAACGCCCATGGGAAGGAGACAGGGACTGTCCTGCTGCTGCCAGGTCAGGGTGTGCCTGATGAAGCCCAGGGAGGGGGTGCACAACCCTGGACCCTAGAACACACTGAGTGGGAGGGAAAGTGTCCAGACTCTATGCAAAGGGGAACTGGAGTCCAGGCCCCAAAGACATGTGGCTGGGGAGGGAACCAGGGGACCTGGAGCCTGCAGTCATATGAATGGGTGGGGGACAAAGGAGTCCTGGATGGGACTGGGCACACTGGTCAGCATGGGTTTGAGAAGGCGGGGTGCTCAGAAACCTGCTTAGGGAAAGAGGAGCTCACCCCAGGTGTCTCGTCTCTGCAGGGAGACCAGGACATAGGACAGGAGTGATTCAGGGGGCTGTCGGGGGAGCTGGTGCCACAGCCCTGCTGGCCATCTGCCTGGGCCTCATCATGTGAGTGGGTGGTGACCCCAGGCTGGGCAGAGGCCTCAGGAGGTGGAGGTGGTGGTGTGTGGGGGTGGGGACCCACAGAATCTCCAAACCTCAAAGCCCAGAGTTATGACGAGGTAATCAATCCAGGAAGAGGTGTCACAAGGTGATGCAGTAACAGGAAGTCTGCCTCCCGGCATCCTGGCCAGGTGCACTGTGTTCCCAACACCTGGCTGCAGCTGCCTGAGAGGAGGGGCGTGTGCTCCTGCCCTGGTCCCTGCAGCCAGGCCTCAGCCTCCACACCTGCCTCAGTAAGCCCTGCCAGGCCCCCAGGTGGGAGCCCACTGGACTGACAGGCACCTTCTTTCTCCTCAGACTGAGGACCTACAGGAAGAAATGGGCAGAGAAAGCAGAGAGCCAGGAAGGCACCTCCCAGGTGAGTGCCGGGGGCCATGTTCCACCCAGTGTTTCTGTGGTGAACACAGGAGCTCCTCCTCTGTCCCCAAACTGGGCCCTCCCCCAGGTTTTCTGACAGAGCCCCTCAGATCTGAGGACTGTCCTCTCCCGCATCCCTCAGAGCCTGCAATTGGCCAAGTTCTGACCCATTTCCCTTGGAGGAAGGCCCTTCTCCTTTGCTTCCTGTCTGGCCAAGCCCTCAACCACTACCCTGGGTCCCTGACTCCATCTCCTCTACCCGAACATTCCCCACACAGCTGTGGTGCTCCCACCATTAAATTAACATCATCGAGTTTAACAGAAATGCAATACAAACAGCATTTATAACTTACGATGAATAAGTAGGAAGGAACATGAGATCAGCTTTTCTATCTGTAAGATGGGATAACATTCATATCCACGGAGAGAAGTCATAAGGATTATGTGAGATCAGTAATAAGAACAAGCTTTTATGATTAAAATTCGTTAATGGTACAAATGGATAAATGAGTGATTGGGTGAGGGAATGAGTCCTCGGGAAATGGGTGTGAAATGGACAAATGGATGAGACCCCCAAGCCCCAAGTACCCGTCTCCAGACCCCAAAGGCCAGCTCAGACACCCCTCTCTCCTCCCACTCAGGGTCACCTGAATGCACCCTCCTCCCAACACCTGCCCCCAGCACCGGCCGCCTCCCCCTCTGAGCATGAGCTCCATTACGCTGCTCTCAGTTTCCACAACATGAAACTACACAACCCCCAGGCCCAGGAGACCCCGTACTCTGAGGTCAAGCTCTGGAAATGATGGTGCACCCCCACCTACAGTAGCTGGCTGGGGAGCCCAGAGAAAGCATCTCTGCAAAGAAGGTGTGTCAGGGTCGGATTCCTAAACAGTTAACAGCCCTCTGAGCCAAAGGCCATGAATGGAAACCTGAAGTTCCTTGGAGTGGCTGAGGTTGCGGAGATTTCTGGGCTTGAATCCAGGCCCAGCTACTTACTGAGGGTGTTCCAGCAGGCAAGTCACTTCATCTCTGTGTGCCTCAGTTTCCTGCTCTGTAACATGGGGGATAATTTGATGACCTACATTGTTAGGTGAGAAAACATGCACCATTTGCATTAAGGACACTGTCATGTACTAAGTTCACCTCGGGATGGAGCAGAAATGTCACTTTTTGCACTACCTCTATCTTTTGTTTGGTTGATGATTTTTAAGAACTTGTGTTATCTTCATTGGGTAAAGAGGAACTTGTATTATTTAAAAATATTTCTATTTCTAAATGTAACTCTTTGGCAGGATAAGATATTTCCCAGTACAAGTATGTAACAAAGGTTCATCCAGAGTAAATAAAGACTGTGTAAAGATCTTCCAAAAATCAACAAGAAAAAGACAGACCACCCAAGAGAAAAAAACGGGATATGCTAACGGATAATAAGCACCTAGGAAGGCGGCAGGCTTCAGTAGTGGTCAGGGGACTGCAAATAGAATCTGTGGTGCTGTACCACCACACAGCCACCACACTGGGGAAAATAATAAAATACCAGGTGCTGAGAACATTGCACTGAGTGAAGAAAGAGCCAGTCACAGAAAGACAGGTACTGTGATCCCAGCTACACACTGTATCTGCAGCCATTAAACTCTGAGAAACAGAGGTCACAGGGCCCATGAGGAGGGAACATGGGAAGTCTCTGCAGAGTTTCTGTTTTGGAAGATGAAGAGGTTCTAGAGAATCATGGACAACCACGTGGGGAGACTCAACACCACTGTGCTGTGCAGTTAAAAATAGTGAAGGATTTTGTGTTTTTAACCACAGTAAAGAAAAGTAACATATAGTGGCTTCCAAGGGCCTGAGACTGGGGGACTGGGTGGGCTGTTTGTGTTGAACGGGTACAGAATTTCAGTTCAGGATGAAGAAGAAGTTGTAGAGGTAGATGGTGTTGATAGTTGCACAAAGTGAATGTACTTAAGGCCACTAAACTGTACATTTAAAAATAGCTAAGGAGTAAGTTTTATGTTGCACATGCCTTATAGCGATAAAAAGTTTTTAAAGATGATCAAATGTTGGTTGGGATGTGGAGCCACTGGAACTCCAAGACAGGCTGGTGGGGAGGAGACTGGGACGACCTCTTGGGAAACACTGAGCATACAAGCCAGCAGTTCCACTCCGGGGGCACACCTAACACAGATGTGTGCAAATGCTCCTGAAATGTGCACCTGGAGGTCCCCAGCAGCACTCCCTGTGAGGGCTGAGCAAGGCAACCTCCCCGAATTTTCATCAGTGGGTCCACATAGTGCAGATTATTTACACAGTGGAAGAAGCAAATAAGAACCCCACACCATGGGTGTGAATCCTACCTCCACATTATGTTGAGGAGGGAACCCAGACACAGAGTATGCGCTGTGTGATACTGTTGACATGAGGTTCAGAAGCAGGCAAAACTCATCTTTGGGCCCTGGCTGGTGTAGCTCAGTGGATTGTACATGGGCTACAAACCAAAGGGTTGCCAGTTTGATTCCCAGTCAGGACACATGCCTGGGTTTGTGGGCCAGGTCCCCAGTGGGAGACATGTGAGAGGCAACCACACACTGATGTTTTTTCCTCTCTCTTTCTACCTCTCTTCTCCTCTGTCTAAAACAAACACATAAAATATATATATAGTTTTAATTTTTTATTGATTATGCTGTTACAGTTGTTCTATTCCCCCCTTCATTCCCCTCCACCCTACCCCCCATCCACACCATTACCCTCCCTTTAGTTTATGACCATGTGTCTCAAGTCCTTTAGATTCTATATTTCCCGTGCTATTCTTGCCCCCCCCCCGTCTATTTTCTATCTACTGTCTATGCTACTTATTTTCTGTACCTTCTCCACCCTTCTCCTCCTCCCACTCCCCTGTTGCTAACCCTCCTTGAGATCTTCATTTCTATGTTTCCACTCCTGATCTAGCTGTCCTTGTAGTTTGCTTTCGTTTTAGGTGTGGTTGTTAACGTTTTAGGTGTGGTTGTTAATAACTGTGAGTTTGCTGTCCTTTCACTGTTCATGTTTCTTTAACTTCTTTTTCTTAGATAAGTCCCTTTAACATTTCATATAATAAGGGCTTGGTGATGATGAACTCCTTGAATTTGATCTTATCTGAGAAGCACCTTATCTGTCCTTCCATTCTAAATGAAAGTTTTGATGGATAGAGCAATCTTGGTTGTAGGTCTTTGGATTTCATGACTTGGAATACCTCTTTCCAGCCCCTTCTTGCCTGGAAGGTCTCTTTTGAGAAATCCGCTGACAGTCTGATGGGGACTCCTTTGTAGGTGACTGTCCCCTTAGCTCTTGCTGCTTCTAGGATTCTCTCCTTCATTTTAATTTTGGCTAATGTAATGATGATGTGCCTTGGTGTGTTCCTTCTTGGGTCCAACTTCTTTGGGACTCTCTGAGCTCCCTGGATTTCCTGGAAGTCTATTTCCTTTGCCAGATTGGGGAAATTCTCCTTTATTATTTGTTCAAATAAGTTTTCCACTGTTGGCTGTGCCTTTCCCCCTTCTGGTACCCCTATAATTCGCATGTTGGAGCATTTAAAGATGTCCTGGAGGTTCCTAAGACTCTCCTCATTTCTTTGAATTCTTGCTTCCTGACTCTTTTCTGTTTGGCTATTATTTGCTTTCTTCTGGTCCACTCCATTGATTTGAGTCCCAGTTTCCTTTTCATTGCTATTGGTGTCCTGTGCAATTCCATTCATTTCAATTAGTTTTGCCTTCATATATTTGTTTAATTTGTGGCTATAATCAACCAGTTCTGTGAGGATCCTGATGACCAGTGTTTTAAACTGTGCGTCTGAGAGTTTTGCTATTTCTTCATCGCTTAGATCTATGGGCTCTGGGGCTTTGAGAACTTGCGACATTTTTGGTCTGTTCTGGCCCTTTAAGTGTGAGAAGCGGCGCCTTGGACTCCCAGGTCGCTGGGTTGTGACACTGTATGTGGGGGCGTGGTCAGAGTGGGGAAATGGCAGCGCCCTCTGCTGCCGCTTGCCGCGGGGACCCGCCGGGGCCTGGTCCAACCGACCACTCCCTCGCCTGTCCGCTTGCGCACAAATGGGCGACCACAGTCAACACGCAGCACCGCTTCCCCACTGTCTCCTCCGCGGTCGCTTGCCTGGTGGCTCGCTCAGTCGCTCCCTAAGTCCAACCCTGCTCCTGGATTCTGCGCCTGAGTCCGTCTGACCGAGTCCTCCTGTGCAACCCCTCACCAGCCGCTGGTTTCGCCCCTTACCGGTCAGGCTGAAGAATTTGTTGTTAATGGACTTCCGAAAAGTTCAATTTTCCATGTTCTGGATGTGTTTTCTGTTGCTAATATTTAGTTGTCTCTAAACTTGGTTGTGTGAGACAGCATGACACATCCACCTATACCTTCATCTTGGCGGAAGTCTGAAATATATATATTTTAAAAACTCATCTTTGGTATCAGAAATCTGGAGCCTGGTCACCCTCAGTGGGAAGTGATGGAAATGGGGCAGAGGGGCCTTTCTGGGGAGAAGGAACCTCGGGGCTAAAGTGTGTTCCTCTCTACACAGAGGCAGGGGACACCTGGCAGCCCACACATGCTGGCGCCCCCGAAAGAGCAGACAGGGAGCTGACCCTGAGTCCTGCCCACCTTGGGGGCTTCCCTGCAGCACCATGACCTCTGAGGATAGACAAGTGAGTCTCCTGAGGGCCCCCCCTAATAAAGAGGCTGGTCAACCCCCTGCATGAGCAGGAGTCAGAGCCTCATCTGGGAGTCGTGCTGGGTTCCACAGGGTGTAGGATTCATAATGTTCCTGTGAAGGTCGGGGAAGAAGGGTAGAGTGGATCCCTGTGAGGAGAAGGCAGTCCTCACTTATTCATTTGTTCACTCACTCACTCATTCACTCACACACATTCATTCATTCACTCACAAGCACTCAGTGAGCATCTAAGTGTCTCTTCGCTGAGGAGAAGACAAGAGGGGACCCATGGACCTGGTCGGTGTCCCTGAAAAAGTCCCCACCACAGACACCCCTTCTCCCAACACAGGAAGGCTGTGGTCACTGGTCAGTGTATGACATTTCCTGTTCACATGCAGTGTATTTTCTCATAATATAAGTGTAGGATTTAAAAGAAAATCTAATAAGCTGAGGAACTGCAATACTGTTTTCCAAAGCAGATGCACAGTTTTATAACAGAGCAAAACAAAAGAGTTCCATTGTTTAATATCTGCTCCAACAGTTGGTATTTTCTGTTTTTTAGTTTTTTGATAATAGCAAACTTACAGAATCATGGTGGAAGCCCCTTGTGTGCTTTAAATTAAATTGTCTAATGTGAATAACGTCGGGGATAATTTCTTGTATTTATTGACCATTTGTGTGTCTTTGTAGAATTGTCTATTCAAATAATTGACCAAATTTTCAGTGCAGTTGTTTCTTCTGTTGTTGTTTAGTGACTTTTTTTCTACAGCTGGGTTGATATTTTGTTTATTGGTTTGTTTGAGGACTTTGAGTATATTCTGGATACAAGACATTCATCAAGTCTATATTTGCAGGAATATTTCTCCAAGTCTCTAACTTTTCCTTAAGTCTCTTAATGGTGTCCTTTATAGAACAGCAACCTCCTGTTCCCAAGAACATGTGAACATGTGCCCCGGGTGAGGTAACCCAGTAATGTATCAGGACATGGAAGAGCAGAGCAAACTAGGTCTGGAAGCAGGATGGGGACATTGATGGGGGGCTCCAGGTCACTTAGGCAGTGCTGAGGGTGAATACTGGCCACTCAAAGAGCGCCTGCTACCTGCAAACATTACCTGATGAAGAAAAGGGTCTTTGCAGATGGGATGGAGGTGAGGCTACTGACCTGGAGAGAATCCTCCCTTGTCGAGGTTGGTCACTGAATGTAGTCACACGTGTCCTCCAAGGGAGACACAGCAGGTGACTTTCTGCACCCAGAGCAGGATGAGGCAGTGTGGCAAGGGACAGGCTGAAGTGACCCAGACACCAACCAAGGACAGCTGGGAGTCCCAGCCTTTAGTAATCACAAAGGTGGACTCTCCCTTTGAACCTGTGAGGGCATGAGTCCCACGAACCACCAGGTTTCCACACATCAGAACTCATTTGTCATCATGGGGTTCAGGACATGGGACCCCAAGATGCCACATCTAGTCTTTCCCTGTTCCAGAAATCTCAGTCTAGAACTTAGAAAGGGAGAATGAAAAGATATTTTACTTCCTGCATGAACTTCTGGCACCAAGAACCAAGATAATGAAACTTTACAATAAAAGGCTCTGAATGTGTGTTAACTTGTCTCAATGGCCTCAGGAAACCAACACAGGCAGCAATTCACAGGGAACCTCTGGGAAAAATCCAAGAAGGAATTAAGAAAAGTCCTCCTTCTCCAGACCCACTCCTCTGTTCCTCTTTGCAGACAAACTTCTCAGAGGGTTTTCTGGACCCTGGGATCCCATATCCCCTCCTCCAGTTCTCCCCTGATCCTGTTCCAATCACATCTTCACATCTTTCCCGCCAACCAGTGAGACCCAGTGATGATGTGTTTTCTTGTGTCTTCTCTTTCCTGTTGGGCTCCAGGGCCTGTCCCCCCTCACTGCTGTCACCCTCTCACACTGTCACACATGTGCCCATCTCTAGTCCTGACCACTTCTTCTTCTCCATCATTCACACCAGCACTCTTGCTGATGTCCCCCGGTGGTCATGAGGTGGCTTCTCAGATAGAACATCCCCCTCAAAACCCTGCTCTGGTCCCTGAAACACAGGCCCTCCCTTCTGTGACTCAGTGCTGTAGTGTCTTCAGTGAGTTAGATTCTATCCTCCTGTCTCCAGAATGGCAGCTTCTGGATGACATGGATTTTGGTGCTGGGCTCACAGTCGCATCCCCAGCGTTTACAAGATCGCACACAGTAGGGGTTCAGTTGTACTACTGCCGAGACCATAAATAAACAAGTAACTATTATTTTCTTCAAAACCACATAAGAATTACACACACACATGAATATATAAGAATCTGAAGGGGAGGGCATTTCAGCAGAAGGAACTGCACATGCAAACTCTCAGTCACGAAGGCCATGACCTGGCTGGGTGTGGAGATTTTGTGAGCTCCAGAAGAGGGTGGAATCCATTGGAGAGTCCACAGGGCACAGGCCATGGCAGTCCTAAATCCAGCCTGTGGAATTTGTCCCTCATCCCCAGCCACGGAGAGGCAATATCGCCAATCACACCATGTCAGACGTGGAGAATAGGTGTCTACAAACACAGTCTGTTGGCCTGGGTTGAGGACTGAAGTGGAGGCAGGACATGGCTGGGTTCAGTCACCCAGGAAGAGATGAGGCCCCAGGAACAACCAGGGTCAGGTTGGGGAGGAGATGGGCGTTGAGCTGAGCTGTGATGAGATGGAAGGGTGGCCAAGACTTAGTGACTTATTGAATGACGAAAAAGGAAGGGAGGGAACAGTGTCATCTATGTGACTAAGACCCTGCAAAGAAGTGGGTTTGGGGAGGAAGATGGCAGCTCAGCGGTAACCATGCTGAGCAGAGCAATCCCAAGGACCATCCTGGAGGTGGGGTCAGGGGGATGTTGGGCAGTGAGATTCCTGGGTCACTCACCTGAGGCACTAACTGGATTCTGTGTTTGCATATTTCATGCCCTTTGTGGGCCTCATCACCATCCTCCTGTGGTACCTGACTCTGAGAGAAGGGACCAGGGTTTTCCAGTCTGGTTGGATCAGGGTGCAGTGGGCCAGAAACCCAACCCCCCTGTTTCTGTCTCAAGGTATTGAAGGCAGAGTAAATTCAGGGATGGCAGATCTGGTCCCACAGATTATCTTGAGCACAGTAGGTTCATCCCATCCTGGACACTCACGAAGGCTGTCCATGTTGGGTCCTCACCCCCCACCCCTTCACCTCCTGCCAGCACCTCACCAGATTTGTTGGGATCCCCAGCCCTGGTTCTGGACACAGCCACAAGTCTCCTGCCCTCCTCTTCCCTCCCGTCCCTTCCCCTGGAGTGGAGCTCACATGAGGATGATGATGCAGAGGAAGAGGAACAGGGTCTTGGCAGCTGCTACCTCGATGGCCACCAGTACCACCCCTGCCACAGGCCCTGATTTTCCTGCAGAAAAGAGGGACAAGGAGGGAATCACCTGCTCAATGGCAGTCCTGTGTCCTTCGGCTCCACTGGGAACCTGCAGGGTGTCCTCCAGACCTTCCTGCATCAATAGCCTCGAGACTGCCTGTGCCTTTACCCTTGAACCTGCCCTGACCCCCTGCAGTTGGGCTGAAAATAAAAGGCCTAATATGGAATTTATCAAAATAATACATTCTATTAATAAATTAATAGTGTAGAGAAAGTGAAAAGCCAACCTATTTAATGGGAGAAATATTTTCTATCCAGCACATATGAAGAACTCTTAAAGTCCTGGCTGGCAGCTCAGTGGGTCAAAGAATCATCACGGTGTGCCAAAGTTGTGGGTTTGATTCCTGGTCAGGGCACATGCAAGAAGCAACCAATGAATCACTAAATAAGTATAACAATAAATTGGTGTTCCCCTCTCTCTCTCTCTTTCTCCCAACCTCTTTCTTTAAAATCAATTTACAAAATAAATTCTATACCACCTCACGCTAGTCAGACTGGCCATCATAAACAAATCAACAAACAACAAGTGCTGGCAAGGATGTGGAGAAAAGGGAACCCTCCTGCACTGTTGGTGGGAATGCAGACTGGTGCAGCCACTGTGGAAAACAGTATGGAATTTCCTCAAAAAACTAAAAATGAAACTGCCTTTTGACCCAGTAATTTCATTGCTGGGATTATACTGTAAGAATCCTGAAACACCAATTCCAAAGAAACTATGCACCCCAATGTTCATAGCAATGTTTTATTATTTACAATAGCCAAGTGCTGGAAACAGCCTAAATGCCCATCAGTAAATGAGTGGGTGAAAAAACTGTAGTACATTTACACAATGGAATACACAGCAGAAAGAAAGAAGGAGCTCCTACCCTTTGCGACAGCATAGATGGAACTGGAGAGCATTATGCTGAGTGAAAAAAGCCAGGAAGTGAAAGACAAATACTACATGATCTCATTTATAAGTGGAACCTAATCAGCAAAACAAACAAGGAAGCAAAATAGAACCAGAGATATAGAAATAAAAAAACAATCTGACATTACCAGAGGGGAGGGAGGAAGGGAATAACAGGAGGAAGGAAGGGGAAGGGTCAAGTCAAGGAGCATGTATAAAGGATACATGTACAAGGACAATGGGGGACAAGGGTTGTGGGAGAGGGGGATTAGGCAGGGTAGGGAGTAGTAATAGGGGGAAATGGGGAGAACTCTAATTGAACAACAATTTAAAAAAGAAAAGAAACCTTTAACAAAACAATCATTCTTTTTTTATTATTGTTCAAGTACAGTCGTCTCCATCTTCCTGCCACCACCCCTACCTCCCACCCTCAACCCCACCGCCCTGGCCTTGTCCATGTGTCCTTTACACATGTTCCTTGATGACCCTTCCCCTTCTTTCCCCCGTTATCCCCTTCCTCCCTCCCCTATGGTCACTGTCAGATTGATTTTTATTTCCATGTCTCTGCTTCTATTTTGCTTGCTTGTTTGTTTTGTTGATTAGGTTCCACTCATAGGTGAGATGACATGGTATTTGGCTTTCACAACCTGGCTTATGTCACTTAGCAGAATGCTCTACAGTTCCATCCGTGCTGTCATAAAGGGTAGGAGTTCCTAGGTTTTTTCTGCTCCATAGTATTCTACTGTGCAAATGTACCATAGGGTGGTTTTTTTTTTTATCCACTCAGAAAACTACACAACACTGAAGAAAGAAATTAAGGAACACACACAAAAATGGAAGCACATACAGTGTTCATGGATTGGAAGACTTAACATCATCACAATGTCCATACTACCCAAAGCAATTTATAGATTCAATGCAATCCCTGTTAAAATACCCATGATGTATTTCACAGGTATAGAACAAACATTTCAAAAATTTATATGGAACCATAAATGACCCTAAATAGCTGCAGCAATTCTGAGAAAGAAGAATAAGTAGGAGGGATCACAATACCTGACATCAAATTATACTGCAAGGCCACAGTAATCAAAACAGTCTGGTACTGGCATAAGAACAGACACAGAGATCAATGCAACAGAATGGAGAGCTCAGAAATAAACCCATGCCTCTATGGTCAAAAAACATTCTTACAACTCAACAACCCAAAAAGTCAAACAACCCAGTTAAAAAATGGGCAAAAATGCCCTGGCTGGTGTAGCTCAGTGGACTGAGCGCAGGCTGCAGACCAAAGGGTCACCATTTCGATCCCCAGTCAGGGCACACGCCTGGGTTGTGAGCCAGGTCCCCAGTGGGGGCCACATGACAGTCCATCACACATTGATGTTTCTCTCCCTCTCTTTCTTTCTCCTTTGTCCTCTCTCTAAAAATAAGTAACTGAAATCTTGTAAAATATGAGCAAGAGATTTTTTTTTAATTTCTTCAAAGATGAATACAAATGGACAGTAACTCCACAAGAAAATAAATGGCTTCATTATTATTACACACAGATGCAAATCAAAGGTACGCTGCAGTGGCCCTTCACCCCCTGTAGTGACCTGTAATATTTTTCAAGGACAATAACAGTGCAGGTAAATGTGTGGAGAAATTGGAAGGCCTTTGGGAACCTGAAATGAAGCTGCCACCATGGAGATCAGTCTGCAGTTTCTTCTAAAAGTGACACACAGACACTACCATGTGACCCAGCAATTCCACTCCCAGGCATATGCCCCAAGAAACATATGTTCCAACAAAAAAAAAAAGCTTAACCAATATTCACAGCAGTGCTCTCACTGTCAAAAATGGAAACGCCCAAATGTCTCCCTACTAATGAATGGATGAGCTGAATGTGATACATCCACACAATGGGGTGTCAGTAAATACTGTATACAAAAGATGTGTTATAGAATTGTCCACCTGAGCCCCTATAATATTATTAACCAATATCACTCCAATAAATTCAATAAAAATAAAAACGTAGAAATTTAAAATATATAAATTAAACTATTAGAGGGGAATTAAAGCTTGAGCCTGGCTGACTCATCAGGAGAAGGAAGGTCAGGGGCCCCGAGGGGCTGCTCTGCATGTGGGTGGTGCCTTGTTCTCCTGGTGCAGCTGACAGGGGCCGGGAGAGTCCTCAGAACGTGCGGGCCAATGGGACAGCCACTCACAGTGGCCATGAGGGAGGAGGAATAGAGGGACACTGGGTTCACCCACAAGGGGGCGTCTGGTCACTGAGGGGAGTCCAGAGTGATGGAGCCACTGGCCCTGCCCTGACTTGGAAGAGGCCATGGTCCCTGCAGCCCATGACGGGCTCCTTCTTACCTGGGCTGTCTCCTGGGCTGATACTGATTGCTGGGCTCTGGGGGGCACCTGGGACAGGAAGAGGGGGTGGGATGGGGTGAAGTATGTGTAGGCATCCCCCCACCCCCAGAGGCAACAGCAATGCAGGACAAACAGGGCTGTGCCCTGTGGGTCCCTCCCTCCTCAGCCAGGCCTCCAGGACAAAAGCACCCAGGGTCCCCAGCTTGGATCCTCAGTCTCCCACCCCTCAGAGCCCTGGGCATGGGGCCCAGCACTCACAGGTGACATTGAGCTGGATGGTTCTCTCCACAGTCACACCCACTGCAGGGAACTGCACCCGACAGGTGAGGTTGGTGCCGTGGTCCTGGGGCCGTGGGGTGAGGGTGAGCACAGAGGACAGGTTATGAGTCCTGCGGCCCAGGGAGGTGTGAGCAGCTGACGTCCAGGAGAAGAGGGGGGGCGTGCCCCGCTCACAGGCCCAGGGCACAGAGCAGGTCAGGTTTATGGGGTGGCCACACTCCAGGGGCCCTGGGATCAGGATGTCAGGTATGTGGTTGAGGGCTGGTGAGAAGAAGGGGGGTCAGGGGATCAGGATCAGGGGTCCCAGGTGTTGCACTGAGAGAAGCCTCAGGCTTTGGTCCAGCTCCTCCCTCTGAGCCCCAACATGCTGTTCCCCCATCCCCCTCCCAGGATGAGGCCAGCCCAGCCCAGCCCCAGGGACCCCATGAAGTTCCCCTGTGGCCTCTCCTGGAGCCTGTTCCTTACCTGTCACCCTTACGAAGAGCATGTTCCGTCGGTGAAGATTGAATACATCATAGTCTCTCTCCCCCTGGAAATGGTACAGTCCCTCATCAGTCCTCCTGGCGTCTCTGATGTCCAGGGAGCAGTTGTGGTTCCCAGGATCCTCAAGGAGGAGGAATCGGCCCCTGGTCTCCTCCTGCACCTCTCGATCTCGGTTGCTTGTGGCCACTGGAACATCCTGGCCCCAGGTGGCCCCTTCCCGGTACCAGTAGCCATGACCAGAGTCAGACCAGTCGTGCCAGGAGTAGATGATGGAGCAGGGCACAAAGGCACACAGGCCCTCCTGCACCGTCAGGGACTCCTGCATTCTCACCTGGTATCTTCTACTGTGAACCAGGGACCCTGCCGGAGAACAAGGCTCAGCCACGACCTCCACCCTAACTGTCACCCCTCCCCTGGGGCACTCACCGGCCCATAGCAGGGACAGCAGCAGTGGCAGCATCTGTGGGGGCTTCAGGGCTGCTGTGGGTGAAAGGAGAAGGAAGGCGGTAAACCAAGGGTTGTGGGGGGCACATCTCTCAGAAGTTCAGGAGGAACAAGGCAACTCCCTGTCTACAGAAGAGGAAGCTCTGAGCTGGAGCTCACCCCTTCTCTGCACAGAGTGGGCAGCCCCCCTCCCCGGCCACAGCCCAGAGACCCCAGGGACGTGGGTCCTGGCCTCCAGGTTCCAGGTGGGTGAGGCTCATCCTGACCTAGGAGGGGGATAGCAGGGGTCTCTGCAGATCCGAGGCTTGACAGATGATGGGTGGGGGCCTGAGTCCTCCTGCCCAGGCTGAGGTGCTGCTGGTGCCTCAGTCTGCACTGGGAAGTGGTCGCTTCCTAGCCCGCAAGGCACAGTGTCGTCCAGACCTGTAGTTCCGCATTGGGGACGTCTGTCTGCCCACTCAGGAGGTGTTTGTCAATGTCTGGCCACATTTGGTTGTCATGGCTAGGGAGGAGGGCATAACTGGAAGCTAGTGGGTAGGGTCCAGGGACATTTCCACACATCCTGCATAGGACAGCTTCCGACAACAAGGCCAAAGGTCAGCAGTGCCAAGGTCAAGAAACCCTGATCTAGTCCCCAGAGTCAGGCAGGCATGGGCTGTGGTGATGTGTCAAGCAAAATAAAAGTAACAGTCTTAGTAAAGTGTAGGAGACAGCCATTCATTCATTCATTTATTCACTCATTCATTCTTCTCTCCACTAATTCATTCCTTCACTCACAGTTTCATTCATTCATTCATTCACTCAGCCATTCATTCACTCATTCATTCCCTCCTTCCTTCATTCATTCATGCACCCTTTCTTTCATTCACTTATCCATTCATTCATTCACTTATCCATTCATTCATTCACCCATTTACTTATTCATTCATTCATTCGACAACCACAGAGCGAGCCTGTGCCTTGTGTGGGGGCTGGAGGCAGAAGGGGCCCAGCGGACCCCATCCATGCCCTGAGATGCTCCCCACTTGGAGGAGAGACAAACAACCTACAGGACCTGCCTGGTGGACATCGTGATGGTAAAACACAGCTGGGCGGTTACTGGAGGCTCCGTGGGCCGGTGGCTCCTGGGCACGGAGAGCAGACTGGCCGTGGCCTGGACTCTCAAGGGACAAGAAGGGGGATTCCAGCCGTGGGCCCAGGACAGTGCAGAGTTGCAGTTTAGAGGGGAAGAGCGCTCTGCTCTCTCCCTGCTCAGGGACACTTGGCCAGTCCTGATGCCGTCCCCGTCCTCCAGGTCTCCCTTCCCTGTCCCCTGCCCCACCACCCCTGCTGGAGGCCACCCTGCCCCACCCAGGGCAGCTGCCTCGGGCAGTGCGGACACCTGCCTGCCCGTCGTGCCATCAGCTCTCCGACTGCCAGATGGGGAGACCGCACATCTGTTCCCCCACGCATTCACTGTGCGGGGGCTGGGGGTGGACAGGCAGACACTGATGGCTGGTGGGGCCATGGTGGGGTGTAGTTCAGGGAGCTCTCGAACCCTCCCTGTGGAGGGGTCAGCAGTGGTTGCACAAGGAGGGGACTTCAGTTGCTCTTGTCCCAGGCCCCAGGCTTGTCCACATCCCCCTTCCCAGAGTCTCTCATCCCAAGAACCCCTGGGCCCCACCTACTTGATGAACAGGCCCCAGGCCCTGCATCAGGGCCGCATCCCTTCTAGGCCCGGGGACCCCAGGACAAGCCCCACACACACCTCTGTTCTGGCAACAGCAGGGCCCAGATGGTCCGGGTTCCTGGCATCCTGAGGCTGAACCCAAGAACAAGGTGGAGCTGTGGAGACTCGTCCCAGCTGAGCTGAGGTCGCTGCTGGTCTGGACTGGCTCCTACCCCTTCCCCATTCTCTCTCACATCTCCAGAGCAGGGGCCGCCCACACACCAGCTGCCTACACTCACTTGGCACCGAGAGGAGACTCAGGGACACTTGGGCACCAGCAGGTGCTACACTCAGGAGGTGAGTGCCCCTCTGTGTGCAGTCCCTTCCCAGGGCAGCACCACACTCTGGGGGGGGGGCGGGGGAGGAGTCCCAGCAGGGGGCCACGGTGAGAGCTGAGCTCAAGACAGTTAATATTGAGCCAGTTAGATTGACAACAGTGTGAGTTCCATACAGTCGCTGCCAGGAAGGAGGACCCTGTATCGTGCAGGCCTCTGAGGGCTGCCCCCAGAAGCCACCTGAATGAGTCGCAGCATGGGTTGGGGTTCGGCAGTGAGGGGTCTCTCGGTTCTTGTGGGGGGATTGGAGAGGCTTGACTGCATGACTCTGCAGGCTGACAGTGAACTCAGTCAGCTCAGGATTTCATAAACACGTACCAAGGACCGGGCATTTCAAGCAAGAGAAGTGTATTTAAGCCTGGAAAGTCCAAGTCTGTGTGTCAGCAGCTTTGGTTCCTGGTGTGAGCCCAACTTCTGGCTTCCTGGTGGCCTACTTCTCCCGGTCCTCACGGGGACTTTTTATTTTATTTTTTGCATGTGGGAAGAGAAAGAGGAAATTGCTTTCTGTCTCTTTTCTTATAAGGCCATCAATCATAGGGGGCCACTGTCACGAGCTCCTTTAATCTCAATTATTCTGAAATAACAATCGCATCATTTCAATGTATGGATTTTGGGGGGGCCCGATTCCGTCTAAAGCATCCAGATTCCACTGGGGTCCCCCCATTCCGTCCCTCCTTGTCCTTATGGTAGGCAGTTCCATGCCTGTCATGTGCAGAAACAGTAAACGTGTAAGTATATTCTGTGTCTTCTCTCAGTTTGAAACACATGTGTCCCAGCTCCAGCATCCAGGTGCTGGCGATGCTCAAGGCACAGCTGTATTTCCCAGGGTCCCCCAGGGGGCGGGTGGGCCTGGAGACCCAACCCTGCAAGATTTGATCTAGGTGGGTTGTGGCCACTAAGGGTCGTCCTTACCTGGCTTGTCCCTGTTCTGGGACGACAGACACGGCGGCGGCTCTGGAACGGGGCATGCCAAGCCCTTTCCTGGCTTCGTCTCAAGTCTGAGTTCCCTCTTTCAAGGAATCAAGAGCTGCAGAGCCAAGAGGAAGTCCCGACAGGTAGATGTGTTGGTTTCGGTATGCGCAGAAGAGGAACCTCAGACTGGCTCTGCACCACAACCAGGCTGTCTCGGGAGATTTGTTCACTTCCTCCTTTTTCAGAGGGGTCACCGCAGTCCCGAAAGGGCGCCAGACTTGCCACATGAACCCGGGGGTCACGGTTGCGCCCTGTGTCCTGGCTGCCTGCCCGTATCCTGTCCTTTGCTACCTGCTTTCTGCACTGGAGACCACGCCCCCTCATTATGCTGGCTTCTCTCTCTCTCTCCATAAGTTCCAGACATGCAACTTTGTAACAGCCCCCCATACAAGACAGAACGACTGGATGTGTTCTGGGCTGCGCAGACCACCTTCCTGTGGGAATCTGCAGAGGCAGAAACTCAGGTTTTAGCCACTAGATGGCAGTATTGACCTTTCAATGTCTGGTCCTCCTCCAGCGACCATTGGAATCAGGTGAGAGGGTATCTGAGCCTTCTGGTAATTAGTGGAAAATGGTCTGCTTAATTGCCTAAAGCCAATTAGTGTGTGTATTTAGTGTCAATTAATTACCGTTCTACATACTCTACCTACAATACATCGTTTAAGCTTTATGACCACCCACTGGGGTCTACAGTGACTGATTTCCACTGTAGGAATGATAATGAGGTCACAGGTGTATCTCTTTTTCAAGAACAGATTTATTGAGGTATCATAGATATACAAAAATGGCACATATTTAATGGATGACATTTGATGCATTAGGACATATGCATACACCTGTTTAAACCATAATTATAATAAGGGTTAGAAATCCATCTATGACCTCTCAGTGTTTCCCGTTGCCTCACGTCTTTTGGGGTTTGGTTGGCTTTAAGAAAATGCAACGTGAGATCTATTTTCTTAACAAAAGCTTTGAGCACACGATACAGCATCGTGAACTGTGGGGACCATGTTGCACAGATCTCTGCAATGCATTCATCTTGCATCAGTGAAATTTTATCCCCGTCAGAGAGCAGCTCACTGCTTTCCCTCCCTCCAGACCCTGGAAGCCACGACTCTCGTCTCTGCTGCTATGAGTTTGAGTGTTTTAGATGCTTCACAGAAGGAGCATGATGAAGTTCATCCTTCCGTGCCTGGCTTTTTCCATTGAGCATCATGTTTTTAAAGAAATGCTTAAGAGAGTTCTTCAAGTGGAGAGGACAGGACGTTAAATACAGTCAGGCACTGCTTAATAAGGTCTGAGAAACGCGTCACCAGGCGATTTTGTCATTGGGCGGGCGTCACCGAGCGCACTGGACAAACCTGCCCTGACTGGAGATTGAACCGACAACCTTGTGGTTTGCAGGTGGGCACTCAGTCTACTGAGCCCCACCAGGCAGGGCTTACCCTCTCTATCTTAGGCATCCGTAGGAGTCTTTAGACCAAGAGGACTGTTGCTGTGGTTCAAGACTCCACGGCTCCCCCAGTGGCTGGATGCTCTGGAGACAAGGGGTTTTTCCAGAGAGGCACAAAGACAGGTCTGGCGTGAGTCATTGGGTTCCATAAAGATTCCAGGTGAACACTCCCGGTGGGCTCCAGACCTAATAAACGGGGAGGAGTGCCTAGTTTATGAGTGTACATTCTGTTTGTGCCAAGCACAACCTTGCCCTGGGAGGGGCTGTGGCATTTTCCTCTCTTGATTAGAAGGCTCAAGGCTGGATTCTGGCAGTATAAGCCCTGAAAGCTGAGTTTTCACTTTTTATATAAAAATGGTGCATATGTTGGTAGGAGATTTGTTGGTATGGCTCACAGGCAACGCAAGTACCTGGTTTCAGCTTTGGTTGCCAAGGCATTCACTTCAAAGATGTTTTTTTTTGGGGGGGGGCATTATCAGCCACACAACTAGATAAGAGCCACTCCACCTCTCCCCACAAGGCTCTGTTTTGTTTTGTTTTTTAAGATTTTATTTATTTATCTTTAGATGGGAAGGGAAGGAGAGAGGGAGCGAAACATCAATGTATGGTTGCCTCTCATGGGTCCCCTGCCAGGAACTGGTCTGCAACCCAGGCATGTGCCCTGACTGGGAATCGAACCACAATCCTTTGGTTCACAGCCCACATTCAATCCACTGAGCTATGCCAGCTAGGCAAGGCTCTGTTATTTTAAAGATCTTGGTTAATTTTGATAATGGACCATTTAGGCTACTTGGGCTTCTCTCTCTCTCTCTCTCTCTCTCTTCTGGCATTTAAATTTCTGCTATATGTTTTAAATTCACCAATGAAGTACCTCTCTTCCTCCTTTCCTCCCTTCCTTCCCTTGACCTTGCTGTGTGACCCCAAGGATGCTGTATAATTTCCAACACCTGTAAGTAATAAACGTTTTGGGGTTTTTTTTTGGCTTCCTCAAGGTCAGCCAAACTCTCTCTCTCTCTCTCTCTCTCTCCCCTACTATGAAGTCTCACATAACACAAGGTAATGATGGGCATGACAGCTATGGCCTTTGCCATCTTCTATAGGTTAGTCACTGGTCCCACCTGTGTACACTATGTGGCCTTGAGACTTTGTCTTTCCCTTGTGATCCTCAGCCTCCTCACCTGCAGAACAGGGGTGTTATTGTAAGGGGTGGTCTTTCCCTTTGATCTAGCCTCCTCTGCAGAACAGGAGTGACATCTACCTGTTGTAAACTGGGAGGGAGTATTGGTAAAGTAAATGGGACTCCAGGCAATTGTTAGGGAGAGTCCAAACACGCCTCTCCCTGTGAATTCTACTCATGCACGGCTCTTTGGATGGGATGTCCTGATCTGGGGGGAGGGGGTGCAGAAATGACCATGCAGCCATGTGTTTAGCCAAGAACTCACCACTATTGCAGGGGACGTGATAGTGACGGCTCAGCACGTAGGACAATGGGCTAGGCAAGCGCCTGCATCTTGGATGCTTCATGTCCACTCCCTGCTTTTCTGTCCCTCTTAGTTCTCCAGAGATGCTCTCCTGCCAAGACTCCATTTCACAAACTCCTGGTTTGTCCCCAACATATCCCCAAACCCCACCTTTCACCTTCTCCTTCCTACACAGCATTGGAAGGTGATCCCATTCTCTCAGGCAACAGCAGCTCGGTGGTAGAGAACATGGATTCTGTGGCTGTCTTCTGCAGCACCAGTGCCACCAAAATCCCGTGGTATGTGAATGCTTTACAGGTGTCCAGCAATGACAAGATGACAATGTCACCAGACAGCAAGACCCTCATCATGCACTGGGTCCACCGCCATGACATGACAATCCAGTGTGGGATAGACTCCGCCTTTGGGGTTTTTTTAAAAAAAAATGAAGTGACCTTTCTGACTGTGGCCTGTAAGTGGTCTGAGGTCATGGTCGTGAAGCCAAGGGTGGGCTTAGGATCTCCCAGGGATGGAGCAGTAAGACAGACAGAACCAGAGAGAGGTAACCTCTTGGGCCAACCTGCAGCCAGCTTGATCTGGGTCCAAACCCAGCTCGGTCTAGTTAGCTCTTTGGACGTGATGGAGAGGATGATTTCTGACTTTGGCACACTGCTCACCGGTTGCAGGTTTGAACCAGGCTCAGGCCCCAGGGACCGAAGCTGCTTGGGGAAATTCTTTCGGGGCCATACGGAGATTTGCTTCACCCTTTTGTAGGTCCGTAGGGGACCATTAACTCCCCAGTCCTCTCCTCTGAGCCTCATCTTCCTCGTGTATAAAGTGGATCAATCACACAGGTTGCTGTGAGAGTTAAGTGAATGTTTTATGTATTTAGAACAGTGTCCAGCATGCAGCTAGTATGATGCATTTGTGAGGCATTGGTTTTTACTCTATACCTATTTTATGAGGATGTAAAAGACTGGCCCATATAGTACATGCTTGATAATGGGTGACATTATTATTATTTCCGCTGTTGGCCCAGCTGTGTTGCCTGGAGTAGGTCTAGGGGTCCCCTTGGGGTACAGAATCAGGTACCTCCTACCAAGGGGAGAAGGACTTCCTGTGGATTTAGGGAAGGAGGCAGGACCCCAGGAGGTCAAACACAGAGCTCTGGTCTCTGCAGATGGACCTGACAGAGTGGCACTGAACAGTAAGCCCACCTCTGAGTTCAGAGGCATCCTGTCTGCTGAGATTGGCTCCCAAGTGCAGATGGACTGTACCTCCACTTCCCATCCCAAACCCAAGTACCGCTGGATCCACAATGGCTCCTTCCTGAGCTCAGGGGCAAATCTCAGCTTCCCGAGTCTGACCTGGGGGCAGATGGGCAGGGACAGATGCATCGTGGAGAACTCTATGACCCAGCTGACCATGTACAAGGACATCTGGATCCAGAGGGCCTGTGAGTGCAGCCGCTCCCGCTCTGGGGCTCACACCCTTTGAATCTTCCCACATCCATGCCTTTGCCTAGCCACCATAATCAGGAATGCTGTCCCCACCTCGCCATGCCCTGCTCACGATAGCTGGGTGAGATCCTCCTGTTCTCTGAGGTCAAAGCCCAAAGCTCCCTCCTCTATGAAGCCCCCTGAGTCTTCATATCAGAGTTGGGGTGAATTCCAGGGTGATAATTTCAGCCTGCCAACGTTGAATGACCCATTCTAGGTGCCATACACACCATTCCCACCTGTGCAGTGCTCATAGTCTCCCTCCAGGGAAAGTAAGTGCCTCTGATGGGCATTGCCTCATTTTACAGGTGAGAAAACCAAGGCTTGGGCAGTCAGAGTGCTTTATTCAAGGTTCTAATCAACTGAGGAGACAGGATTCCAACCCCGGCAGGCTGGCCACACAGCCCATGCCCTGGCCATCACCCCGGGCTGGTTCTGAAATGAGGAAGTGAGAGGACAGGAGGGGAGGTGAAGCAGAGGACACAGAGGCTTGTCATGGGTGTGGGACTGAATTTGTAAATGGGGAAAGCACCTCTTCAACAACTGCATGATCTTTGGCTGCCTCAAGGAGAGACCCAGACGTGCCCAGAGAGGGAACAGACATGCAGGGCAGTAAAAAACAGGGACACTAGAACCCAGTGGCCCTGGTTCAAATGCTAGCTCTGCCCCTGCTTGTCTTCCAGAAACAGGAGCACCCTGGCTGGGGGGCTCGGTTGGAGCATTATCCCATGCACCAAAAGTTTGTGGGCTTGATTCCCAGTCAGGGCACATACCTAGGCTGCAGGTTTGATCCCCAGTCGGGATATGTACAGAAGGCAACCTATCTCTCTCTCTCTCTCTCTCTCTCTCTCTCTCTCTCTCTCTCTCTCTCTCTTATCAACAAACATATTCTCAGGTGAGAATAAAAAAAAAGAAAGAAACAGGGGCAAACAGCTACACCTCTCTGAGACTTGTTTTCCCATCTGTGGGGTCAGGGTAATAAAGGGGCCCTGCACACCAAGGCTGATGCTGCAAGAATGAAATCAGACATTGAGCAAGAAAGCACATGAGAAGCTATCCTCCTGGCAGTTCCCAGAGAAAGCCACAAGCAGACATAGATGTTAGCTAAGACATTTATTCAGGTCACACCACATTATTTACTAAGCACATACTGTGTACCAGACATGATGCATTTAATATTTGTGCTATGATGTTATTCATGGCTTTCTGCTGCACAGAACTATGAACTTCAGGAGGATAGAGGTTGGGTGAGCTCTCTGCCATTTGTCTCCAGTCCTTAACAAGGTGCCTGGGATGTAGCTGCAGTTCACTGAATGGCTGGGCTCTCCATGCAATGAGTTAATGACCTTGTAGAACCAGAGCACCCCCTTGCCCTGTCACTCTGTCCCCTTACATGGGTCTGTTCTTCTCTGGAACACTTATTGCTGTCTGCAGTATTAGACATCTCTTTTTTTAAATTTTTTTATTGATTATATTGTTACAGTTGTTCTATTCCCCCTTTCATTCCCCTCCACCCTACCCCCCATCCCCACCATTACCCCCCTTTAGTTTATGACCATGTGTCTCAAGTCCTTTAGATTCTATATTTCCCATGCTATTCTTGCCCCCCATCTATTTTCTATCTACTGTCTATGCTACTTATTTTCTGTACCTTCTCCTCCTCCCACTCCCCTGTTGCTAACCTTCCTTGAGATCTTCATTTCTATGTTTCCACTCCTGATCTAGCTGTCCTTTTAGTTTGCTTTCGTTTTAGGTGTGGTTGTTAATAACTGTGAGTTTGTTGTCCTTTCACTGTTCATGTTTCTTTAACTTCTTTTTCTTAGATAAGTCCCTTTAACATTTCATATAATAAGGGCTTGGTGATGATGAACTCCTTGAATTTGATCTTATCTAAGAAGCACTTTATCTGCCCTTCCATTCTAAATGAAAGTTTTGCTGGATAGAGCAATCTTGGTTGTAGGTCTTTGGATTTCATGACTTGGAATACCTCTTTCCAGCCCCTTCTTGCCTGTAAGGTCTCTTTTGAGAAATCTGCTGACAGTCTGATGGGGACTCCTTTGTAGGTGACTGTGCCCTTAGCTCTTGCTGCTTCTAGGATTCTCTCCTTCATTTTCATCTTGGCTAATGTAATTATGATGTGCCTTGGTGTGTTCCTTCTTGGGTCCAACTTCTTTGGGACTCTCTGAGCTTCCTGGATTTCCTGGAAGTCTATTTCCTTTGCCAGATTGGGGGAAATTCTCCTTTATTATTTGTTCCAATAAGTTTTCCACTGGTGGCTGTGCCTTTCCCCCTTCTGGTACCCCTATAATTCGCATGTTGGAGCGTTTAAAGATGTCCTGGAGGTTCCTAAGACTCTCCTCATTTCTTTGAATTCTTGCTTCCTGACTCTTTTCTGTTTGGCCATTATTTGCTTTCTTCTGGTCCACTCCATTGATTTGAGTCCCAGTTTCCTTTTCATTGCTATTGGTGTCCTGTGCAATTCCATTCATTTCAATTAGTTTTGCCTTCATATATTTGTCTAATTTGTGGCTATAATCAACCAGTTCTGTGAGGATCCTGATGACCAGTGTTTTAAACTGTGCGTCTGGGAGTTTTGCTATTTCTTCATTGCTTAGATCTATGGGCTCTGGGGCTTTGAGATCTTCTTGCAACATTTTTGGTCTGTTCTGGCCCTTTAAGTGTGAGAAGCGGCGCCTTGGATTCCCAGGTCGCTGGGTTGTGACGCTGCATGTGGGGGCGTGGTCAGAGTGGGGAAATGGCGACCCCCTCTGCTGTTTCTGACAGCTGGGTGAGGATCAGCGCCTTAGGTGGTTCACCTGGGCGGGGCCACTCAGAGTCGCTGGGTTATGATGCTGTATGTGGAGGTGGGGTCAGAGCAGGGAAATGGCGGCGTCCTTCACTACCACTTGCCGCAGGGACCCGCCGGGCTCCGGTCCAACCGCCCACTCCCTCGCCTGTCCGCCTGCGCACAAATGTGCGACCACAATCAACACACAGCACCGCTCCCCCGCTGTCTCCCCCGTGGTCGCTCGCCTGGTCGCTCGCTTGGTCACTCACTACGTCCAACTCTGCGCCTGGATTCTGCGCGTCTGGATTCCGCGCCTGAGTCCATCGGACCGAGACCTCCTGTGCAACCCCGCTTCACCTGCCGCTGGTTTTGCCCCTTACCGGTCAGGCTGAAGAATTTGTTGTTAACGGACTTTTGAAAAGTTCAATTTTCCGTGTTCTGGCTGCGTTTTCTGTTGCTAATATTTAGTTGTCTCTAAACTTGGTTGTGTGAGAAGGCACGGCACATCCACCTATGCCTCCATCTTGGCGGAAGTCCCCTAGACATCTCTTTACTTACTCGTTGACTGTCCAGTTCCCAGCTACAAGGTCAGTCCCATGAGGGCAGGAAGTTTGTTTAGTTCACCGCTGAATCCCTAACTACCTGGACAGTGCTTTGCCCCTTGGAAGTACTAACACATCTTTGAAGAACAGGTTTGTGGGTGAGTGAAGGGAAGACTCAGTCATGGTCCTGACCTCCATGTATCCTCTCCTTCCAGGGCAAATGCCTGTTGTTAGAACAGGCTTCTACATGACAGGACCCTTGGTGGTGTTTTTCATCGTGATGACAGTCTTAGGTGGAGTCTACACCTGCAGAATCCTAGTCTACATTCTGATCAATCATTTCCCCACCAGATGCTCATTGCCTGGGGTCAAGGGTGGAGTGCTGGTTGGGGTCTGGGACTCAGGAGCCAGCACTCCTTTGAAAAGGGGGGAGGCAGAGCAAAGAAGGAAGGAACATGCCAGAAAATGGATTGTCAGGGACCATGTGGGGCAGACACATAGGTCTCAAGGGCCAGAAGCCAACCAGGAGAGAGGGAGTGTTACAAACAGCCATATCTCTAAAATAACAGTAGGGTTTCATCCAGTGACTTATCTTCGTCCCAGTTCCTTCGTGTTTACAATGCAGGTATTGAAGCCCACCGAGCAGGGCAGGTGTGAGAATGTGTCTGGTACATGGCAGTCACCAGTTCCCAAGTGAAGTGGAGGCCAGCTACACCAGGGGAGGAGATTGGGGGGGTAGATGATTAACACCTGGGGTTAAGTGCCAGCTCGGTTTCCAGATGGCTGGGTGATCCCAAGCAGATCATTTCTCCTGTCAGATTTTTCTAGCCACACGTGGAAGATGTGAAGGGTAACACCTGCCATGAAGGACAAAGGGAGGGTTAGACACAGGTCTTGGAGGGGATTCTCAACATTCTTGGCCAATTGGACTAGCACTTCTCAGCCTCAACACTATCAATACTTAGGGTCATAAGATTATTTCAGCTGTGGGGGGTTAAGGCTGTCCTGTGTGCTGTAGGAGGTTTAGCAGCATCCTCGGCCTCTGCCCACCTGATGTCTGTCTGTAGCAACAACCACCAAAACCCCCAGTTTAAACAAACAAAAATGACTGTAGGCATTACAAAGGTCCCATGGTGGTGGCCGGGGGGGAAGGGGCAAATTGCCCTGGTTAAGGATCACTGTAATGGGTGTTAAAAATAGCATTGATGATAATGATGTTGATAATGATGATGATCAGGAAGAGAAGGAATTAGAAGATGAAAAGTATAAGAATAGTGGTGATAATGGTGATGATGACAGTAATACTAATGGTGGTAATGATTCTGGTGAATGGGGTTGTGATGGTGATGTTGGTGATAATGATTATGATAGAGGTAATCATGGGGACAATGGTGATGATAGTAATGCTGGTGATGGTGGTATTGGTTATGGTGATGATGGTGAAGATTTTAAAAGATACGTCCTTTTTATTGCTTTAGTATTTTGATATTGAGCCTATTTTTTAAAAGATTTTATTTATTTTTAGAGAGATGGAAAGGGAAGGAGAAAGAGGGAGAGATACATCAATGTGGGGTTGCCTCTCACATGCCCCCTACTGAAAACCTGGCCCACAATCCAGGCATGCGCCCTGACTGGGAATCGAACTGATGACCCTTTGGTTTGCAGGCCAGCACTCAATGCAATTGCCACAACTGCCAGGGCCATATTGAGCCTATTTGTGATCATTGTATGGTTTCTATATCAAGAAGATTATAGTTTTGGCCATCAATGTTACAGTGGGGAAATTAGCCCACTCGTGCTTTAGTTTGCCATCTGTAAAATGGGCGTGATACCGATACCAACCTCACAGGGCTATCTGCTATGGGAATCAAGGAAGGTATTACTGATAAAGACCTTGGAACAAAGCTTGCCATGCAGTAAGCACTCAGTAGAATCCTAGATGCTGCTCTTAATACCATCATCGTTGTTCAGCGTAAAATTTCTAAACTGGTTATGATCAACTCTGGGGAGTTTACGAATGTTTCCAGGAGATGTGGTTCAGTTCTTCTTCTACATCCTAAAGGAAGCCTAGCCAGGCATGACCCCTCCTCACCGCCAAGAGTCAACCCAATATTTTCACTGTCCTATTCCCTCTAAGAGACACTTTCTCTGAGGTTTCCAGTCTGACATGAGAGCAGGGGGGACTGGGAGTCAGAGAGGCTGGGTTTAGAATATTGATCTCTCTCCCCCTCTCTCTCTCTCTGTCTTTTTTTTTTTTTGCCATGTGACTTTGGGCAAGTGATGTTATTGCTCGCAATCCCTGTGTCTTCACCTCCAAATTGGAGTTAAAGCATCTACCTGTGTAACTGTTGAGAGGGCTCAAGATAATTTCTATAAATCATCTACCATAGTGCCTGGCATATATTGTAACAGATGGGGAATAAATTATCATCATCATCATCATCACCAGTAATTAGGCCAGGGGGTGCCCACTCCTTCCCCAGGTATACGCTGCCTCTTTCCCCCCCACCCATCCCCTGCCCCATGGCATCTTCCTGCAGTGACCTTAAGACCTCCAAAATATTTAAAAAGTGTGTGGGATGTTGAGGGCTCCTGGTGCAGAGGTTCCACCTCCAGAGTCATCCCTTCCTAGTCCTGGGGTCCTGCTCCCAAAAGGGTTGTGTAGCAGAAGCCAACCCCTCATCTACCCAGGACTCCCCTGCATTCTCTCAGTTTCCTATGGACCTGAGGTGTAACTTCTCCCCTGGTCTCTCCCCATAGGACAAATGGGGGCCTGTGAGAATCCACCTTCGACCCGGAGGACAGGACCAGATGGTCAAGAAGGTAAGGGAGGAGTGGTGAAGGGCTGAGAGTCCCCCCAAAGAGGTGGGCTAGGCTATGGGGGGGGGTGCTGGTACTCATAGGAGACCGTGAAGCGATGGGACACCAACAGTCACACTGAGGTTGGGAGACAGAGGCTCCTGCAAAAAGTCTGGAGACCCCGCCTAGGACCTGCTGTGTGATGTCACAGGCAGAGTAGCCAATGGCTGCTCCAACTGTTGATCAGAGCCAGCCAATGGGCTGCAGCTTGGGGCGGGTCATGCACGGAGCACTGTGCTCTAATTCTAATGCGTCTTCCCTGCCAGCAAGTATGCTTCTAATGCCCTGGCTTTGCTAACCTGACACCAAGGTCCATCTGAGACGCTATAGACACGTCCCAACTCGGCACTGTCATCGGCAGGGAGACAGCACAACCTCCAAAGGCCCGACAGGCGATAATTGCTTGTGTGGGCACAGCACACGTTGAGCTAACCTGTCACCTGTTGGGAACTGCACTGGGAAAAGGTGACTACGTTGTAGAAAAGGCTCACAGCTTGATGAATTAGAAATGCTAGTGCAAAGCAGCATCTGATAGGACCATTATTGTTGAACACGTGGATTAATTTATTGATATAGTTATAGTATGTGCAGTATATGTGTGCGTGCCACAGTTTTATGTGTACACATAAAACTGTATATATAGACACCTGTACACATGTTGTGGAAAAATGTTAATTATTAATAGTGCTCTCTCTTAACTTCCCTCTTTACACTTTACTGTATATTCGAACATGTGTTTTTCTCACAAAGTACATACATTGCTTTTATAATCTGGAGGGGGAGGGCAGGAATCAATAAAGTTAAACGAGCGTGAAGTGAGTTCAGACCCCATAATGCTATTTTGGGAAGTTTTTTTCAGAGCTGTCTTTATGGACGTGCCCCAAAGTATATAAACAAATGTGTTCATTACTCTGGCAGTTACAATTGAAGAAAGAAAAGGGAAGGAAAGAAAGAGGGAGGGAGGAGGAAAGATGGAAAGAAAGGAGCAGGGAAGGAGAGCGATGGACACAGAGAGAGACAGGGACTCCTTGATGGCTGAATCTATGGACGTGTGGAGGTGAATTTTCAGATCGTGTTGTTTGATTCATTAGATGGCTGTTCGATCAGCTTGGATACATCTCATTCATTTGGTTTGTCTTTTATGGGGAACATCATGAGCTCCTGCTTGACTTGCATCTCAACCCAGAAGTTCACCCCCTGAGCCCCACTTTCAAAGACACACGTGGATGAAGGCTGGGTGGGGCATTCCAAGGGGTGGGACCTCAGTGTGCCAGGGACTGATGCTGGTCACTTCCAGAGTCAGGAGAACTTCCTGGTGGGAACTTTTTGTTCAAAGCCCAGAAACCCAGCCAGGCACTCAGCGTACATACTGAGCCAGGCGCTCTGATAGGATTCTATTTCTGTGATTCTCACCACACACTCTCAGGCAAAGCTTCTCCACTGATTTTGCAGGGCAGGAAACGGAAGCACAGAAAGGCAGGAATCTGACTACTGTCACTTATTTAGTAAAGAAGCAGAGTGGGGATTTGAACTCACAACTCTTTGGGTCCAGAGGCAGTGTTCTTTCCACTATGCGTCTAACTCATCACCCAGAGGGCTTTTAATTCTACAAGAATCAGCCCCTGTTTTTCTTTTTTTCTTCTTTGCTTGCAGGAGCTGTGTTCCTCAAGCCAGGGCCACACACCTCCACCGTTCTCACTTGGAAATCTTGATCTCAGAGTACTCATTTTCAGGCACCTCCTCCCGTTCCTGAGGGTCCCTAGGCGCCATCTGTTGAAATCTCAGGGTTGCATATTGAATCTCTCCTGTTTCCTCCAAGGCAGGGACAGCCATAGCTGTGGGAGGGTGGTCTGTGAGGCTGCCTGTCCCGGGTTCAATCAGGGGACCCTGAGTGGACAGAAAGGGGAAAAAAGTCAGAGTGAAACCGCGGGGACAAGATGAGGCAGAGAGTATCCAGGAGGGAAGCCTATGAATGGATATGTCCATTCACCCCACACACATTTTTTTAAAGATTTTATTTATTTTGTTTAGGGGGTAAGGGAAGGAGAGAGGAAGAGAGATGTCAACATGTGGTTGCCTCTCATGTGTCCCCTGCTGGGAACTGGCTTGCAACCCAGGCATGTGCCCTGACTGGGAATCGAACCGCAATCCTCTGGTTCGCAGGCCCACACTCAATCCAGCCAGGGATCCAGCCTGAGCTACACCAGCCAGGGCCCCACACACATTTTTGTTGAGAGGTCCTTCACTCATGCTTTCCTCAAATAGTCACTACTTTGTGAGTACCTTATTTGGTGCTTGCTAATCTCATTAAATTCCCACAACAACCTGACAAGGGAAATATTATCATTAGTTCCATTTTATAGATACGGAAACTGAGGTGAAACCAGATACTTGGCATGCTCAAAGTCCCTGGTGAAACCAGGATCCAATCCAGTCCTTTCTGACTCCAAAGCTTTGTGCCCGATGAAGCCTCTACCCCAACCCCATGGGCAAGGCCCTGAGCTGGGCACTGGACATACTGCAGTGGGAAAGGCAGACACAGGCTGACTTCTTGCAGCTTCCTCTTTAATTAAAAGAAGCAGCAAAAAAAAAAAGTTAAGCAAATAAATGTCTAATTGTGAATTGTGATATATGATGGACAGTAACTGGATGTAACTGGATACGTGACAGAGAAGTACGGGGTCTTTTTTTTTTTTTTTTCAGACATGGCACCTGCTCTTGGGAAGCTCACAGTTGAGAGGGAAGAAAAGTCAGTCAAAAAAAAAATGATGCTCTGGCCCTGACAAGTGTGACTCAGTGGCTTTGGCATCATCCCTCAGACCAGAAGGCTGGGCACATGCCTCTGGTCAGGTCCCCAGTTAGGGTTATGTCAGAGGAAACTAAGTGGTGTTTCTCTCACACATTGATGTTTCTCTCCTATTCTTTCTCCCTTCCTTCCCCTCTCTCTAAAAATAAAGAAATAAATTTAAAAAAAAGAAATTATGTTCTCTGATAGGCAGAATAACAGCCCCCAAAGATATTTACATGCTAACCCCCGGAACCTATAAGTATGTTACATTACATGGCAAAAGGGACTTTGCAGTTGCAATTAAGCTAATACTGATGTGGGAAGATGATCCTGGATTATTTAGCTGTGCCCAATGGGATCACAAAGGTCTTTACAAGGACAAGAATGAGGCAGAGAGAGACTTCAAGCTACAAGTACTATGCTTCTGGCCTGGAGAACAGGGCCACCAAACTAGGAATGCAAGCAACCTCTCGACACCAGGGAAGGCAAGAAAATACAGGAGCCTCCAGGAGGAACTCAGTCCCACCAGCCAACACTTTAATTTTAACCCAGTGAAATCCATTTTAGACTTGTGACCCCCCCAGAACTGTAAGATAGTAAGTGTATGTTGTTGGAAATACTCACTTTGTGAACTTTGTTACAGCAGCAACAGGAAACTAATACAGACTCACACAACAAAAAAGAAACAGATGCTAGACAACAGAACAGGATGCTTCAACAAAATTGACATTTTCACCCCTCTCATTCCTCTTGGTTGTTTCAATTAAGACACAGACACACAACCAGTTCCCACGCTGCTATTATCAAGAACACCCATGACCTCCGTGAAATCCATGTGGTCATCTTCCAGGCCTCACCTTTCTGGACTCTGCAGCTGCAGGCAACTTGGTTGCACACTTTTTCTAAACAAAAGCCCTTTCTTGCTTAATTACAAGATGTCAAGATTTTTCCGGGTCCATCGGCTTTGCTGGCATCCCCCTTACTGGTTGCCTGACACCTCCCTGACCCATAAATATCAGAGCAGCCCCAGACTCTTCTCTTCAGCATCACTTTGTCATTTTAGTCAGTAGATGGGCTTAATTCATCTATGGGTGGGTGGTGCCCAAATTGGTACCTGCAGCTCATTTCCCTTCTCTGCAACTATAGACTTTGATCCAACAGCATACTTGAAATCCCTATCCCCTTGTCCAAAAAACACACAAAAATCAATGTATTTATGCTGAACTTCCTTTTCTTTTTAAATTTTTTTATAGGGGAAGGGAGGTAGAAAGAGAGGGAGAGAAACATCATTATGTGACAGATACATCCATTTGTTGCCTCTTACACACCCCCAACTGGGGACCTGGCCCACAACCCAGGCATGTGCCCTGAGTGGGAATCAAACCAGCAATTTTTTAGTTCACAGGGTGGCATTCAGTCCACTGAGTCACACCAGCCAGGGCTGAACTTCCTTTTCTTTCCTGTATTTGTTCCTCTTACAAAGGCTGTCTCAACCTCAGTGATTGATATCTCTATTTCTGGCTGCTCAGAACAACAATGTAGGAGGCACTCTTGACCCCTTCTTGGCAATCATATCATGCTCCCAACCTATTAGCAAATCCCTTTAGCCTTAACTTCAGAATTCATCCTGATTCTAATCAGGCTGCAACCCCTGGCAGCCTGGTCCCAGCCACCATCTCCTGCCTGCAATATTTCACCTGCCTCCTTTCTAAGGTCCCTGCCACACAGCCTCTTCTGCACCCAGCAGCCAGAGCTTTTCATTGAGAACAAGAGTTGGATCATGTTCTTCCTCTGCTCAAAGATATCCAAATGCCTGTACACATGATTTACATACACGCTGACTCCTTCAAACTCACTTCCTGTTTGTTGGCCCCTGCCACCCTTCGTCTAACCACATGGCCTGGTTGCTTCTCCATGCACTGCTCAGCCTCCTGTTTCAAAGCATTTGTACCTGCTGTTCCCACCACTCAGAGCACTCTTCGATCATACAGTCAAATGGCAGACTCTCGAGCCTTTGCTCAAACATCACTAACAAAAACCACGAGCCAACCTATGGAGTAGGGAAAGATATTTGCAAACCATATATACAATAAGGTGGTTAATATCCAAAATATATAAGGAACTCATGCAACTCAAAAACATTTTTAAAAGCTATTCAAAACTGGGCACAGAATTTGAATTAGACATTTTTTCTAAAGAAGATACACAAATGGCCAGAAAGCATGAAAAGATGCTCAACATCGCTAATCATTAGAGAAATGCAAATCCAAACAACAATGAGATATCACTTCATATCCATTCGTGTGGCCACCTGGTAAAAATCCAAACTAAAACAAAACAAAAAATAACATGTTGGCAAGGATGTGGAGAAACCGGAAATTTCTGCAGTGGGAATGGGAAGTGGTATAGCTGCTGTGCAAAATGGCATGGAGGCTCCTCAGAAAAACAAACAAACAAACAAACAAAAAAACCTGGTACCATATGATCCAGCAACCCTACTTTTGAGTATTTATGCAAAAGAATTGGGAACAGCATCTTAATTTATTGCAGTGTTATTCACAGTAGCAAAGAAATGGAAGTAACTCAAATAGCCATTGACAGATGAAGAGGTAAAGAAAATGTGATATATATATATATATATATAATTCCATCACATGCTACAACATGGACATAATGCTAAGTGCAATGAGCCAGTCAGAAGAGGACAAATCACTATACAATTCCAATTATAGAAGTTATCCAGAGAAGTTAAACCCATAGAAATAGAACATGAGATGGTGGTTGCCAGGGGCAGACATAGTGGGGGAAGTGGGTAGATGTTATCCAACAAGGGCAGAGTTCCTGTTTTGCAAGATGAAAAAGTTGTAGAAAGATGTTGTTTTACCATACACTTAAAATAATGAAAGTGGTATGTTTATGTTATGTTTTTTTACTGCCACAAATAAAGCACACACACACACACAAAAAAAAAACCTTCATAAACCATCTTCCCTGCAGCCCCTCTTCCCTGTGCTCTGCATTTTCCCCAAAGTATGTGTCTCTTTTTTACATTCTATTCATGTATTTGTTGTTTGGTTGTTTGGTTGGTTGGCTTAGGTATATCCCTCTGTCTAGAATAAAACTTCATTGAGCTTAAGATGTAAAAAACCATTTTTTTCATGGGTCCCTGGGACCTTGTCATTTGGTTTGTGCTCAATAATAATAATATTTCCTGAATGAATTAATAAATGAAAGAATTATTTCACTCTGCTGCTCAAACCCCTTCAGAGGATTTTGGTCACACACTGAATGCAATAAGTAAAGTAAAAGTGTGATAGTTATATAGTAAGATAAAGATGGAATGGGAATGAATGAGTAGAAACAGGAGGGAAGAGTGTTTGAGAAGGGAGGAACAGCCCATGCAAAGACCCAGAGGCAACAACAACCTTGGTCTGCTTGCTAACAATAAAAACTCCAGTGTGGATGGAATGAACTTTTGTAGAATGAAAAGGCAGGGGGCTGGCAGGAGAGTGAGGCTGGGATTAGAGTGAGTGCAAAATAAAAAGTAGTGCCCAAAACCTTGTAGTTGAGAGAAATTATATTTTAATGCAAGGTTTTAAAATCAAAATGAATGCCAAAAAATCCATGGAGACAAAAATATCAGACATTTAAACAAACTCAAGATTACTATGAGTGTCCTCCTGAACCAACTGGAGCTTGAGACAGGAAAAAAAAAGTGTGTGTGTCCCCTTTATCTATGTTTTACATATTTTTAATGGCTGGGTTTTTCCCAGAACATGAAAATAACTAAAATATTGTTGAAAACCTAAGCCTGGCTGGTGTGGCTCAATGAATTGAGCACCAGCCTGTGAACCAAAGGGTCACCAGTTCAATCCCCAGTCAGGGCACATGCCTGGGTTGTGGCCAGGTCTCCAGTGGGGGACATGAGAGGCAACCACACATTGACGTTTCTCTGTTGGGGGGGGAGGGGCTTCACCAAAGGCTATCACAGGAAAAATATTTTCAAAATTAACTTTCTTGTTTTTCTCATTTTTAGCTGAGAATGTTGCTATGTTTGACTATTTTTCTTGACTAAGTTATGATCTTAAATAACTTTTAACTAATGTCAGTATATGAATTCTGTCATTGTTTAGATTTTTGATATTTTGCTTATCATAGATTTTTTATTGATTTTGATTTTTTAAAAAATCATGCATTGCAATACCAAAAATATTAATGGCAACCTAGGTGTCCATCAATAAACAACTGGATAAAGAAGACATGTTACACAGGTACAATAGAATATTATTCAGTCATTAAAAAAATGAAATTGCAGCATTTGCAACAACATAAATGGACATAGAGGGTATTATGCTAAGTGAAATAAGTCAGACACAAAAGGACTAATACCATATAATTTTCATATGTGGAATCTAGAAAAGAAAAACAAAATAAATGAGCAAATAAAACAGAAACAGACCCATAGATACAAAACATAAATTGACAGCTGCCAAAGAAGAGGGAGCAGGGGGTCTGGGTGAAAAAGGTGGAGGAATTAACAATAAAAACTTGCAGTTACAGAACAGTCACAGGGATGTAAAGTACAGCATAGAGAATACAGTCGATAATGTTCTAATAACTATGTGTAGTGTCAGCCTTGGTACTAGAATTATGGTGTCACCACTTCATAAGTTATGTGAATGTCTAACCACTATGATGCACACCCCAAACTAATATAATATGGGATTTCAAGTGAAATTTAAAAATTAAAAAGCATTTTAGGACTTCCAGTCAAGATGGAAGCATAGGTAGATACACCTTTGGTTTGTGCTACCTCGCAAAACCAAAAGAAGGAAAACATCAAATTTAAAAACAAAAAAATAACCAGAACTGCCAGAAAATCAAACTGAATGGAAGTATAACAACCAAGGAGTTAAAGAAACATTCACCCAGACCAGTAAGGAGGGGTGGAGATGGGCAGCTAGAGTGGAGAGGTTGGAGGACCTGGGCAGGCAAGGTGGCAGCTTGTGGACCAGGTGAGGCAGCAGCTAGTGGACAGGGTGGTCCCACATTTGCATCCAGATAAACCAAGAGGAAAAACTGAGGGGTGAGACAGACCACACAAGCCCGGTTTCAGCTCAGGGAAAGAAAGCTTTAAAACCTCTGACTGGAGAAACCTGTGGGGGTTGTGGAAGTAGGAGAAACTCCCAGCCTCACAGGAGAGTTCATTGGAGAGACCTACGGAGTTCTAGAATGTACACAAACCCACCCACCCAGGAATCAGCACTAGAAGGGCCCAATTTGCTTATGGGTAGCAGGGGAAGTGACTGAAAGCAGGATGAGAGCTGAGCAAGCAGCAGTGTTCCCTTTCTGACCTGTCCCTCAATACAGTGCCAAGAGACAACGATGTGAGTTACCCAGCTCTGGCGAATACCTAAAGCTCCACAGGTGCACTGAGACAAAAAAAGTATGGCCCAAATGAAAGAACAGATTAAAGCTCCAGAAAAAATATAACTAAACGATGAAGAAGAGATAGCCAACCTATCAGATGCAGAGTTCAAAACACTGGTAATCAGGAAGCTTGCAGGAATGGTTGAGTATAGTCACAAAATAGAAGAAAAAGTGAAAGCTATGAAAAGTGGAATAAAGGAATATGTACAGGAAACCCACAGTGAAGGGGAGGAAACCAGGACTCAAATCAACCATTTAGACCAGAAGGACAAAATAAACATTCAACCAGAACAGAATGAAGAAAGAAGAATTCAAAAAAAAAAATGAGGAGAGGTTTAGGAACCTCCAGGACAACTTTAAATATTACAACATCCGAATCATAGGGGTGCCAGAAGGAGAAAAGAAATACCAAGAAATTAAAGACTTATTTGAACAAATAATGAAGGAGAACCTCCCCAATCTGGCAAAGGAAATAGACTTCAGGGAAGTCCAGGAAGCTCAGACAGTTCCAAAGAAGTTGGACCCAAGGAGGAACACACCAAGGCACATCATAATTATATTAGCCAAGATCAAAGATAAGGAGAGAATCTGAAGAGCAACAAGAGAAAAGGAGACAGTTACTCACAAAGAAGTTCCCATTAGACTGTCAGCTGATTTCTCAAAAGAGACCTTACAGGCAGGAAGGGGCTGGAAGGAAGTGTTTGAAGTCATGAAAGGCAAGGACCTACATCCAAGATTACTTTATCCAGCAAAGCTATTGTTTAGAATGGAAGGGCAGATAAAGTGTTTCCCAGATAAGGTCAAATTAAAGGAGTTCATCATCACCCAGCCCTTATTGTATGAAATGTTAAAGGAATGTATCTAAGGAAAAGAAGAAGATCAACACTACGAACAGTAAAATGACAACAAACTCACAATTGTCAACAACTGAACCTTAAGCATATACAAAAACAAAAAGAAACTAAGCAAACAACCAGAACAGGAACAGATTCATAGAAATGGAGATCACATGAAGGGTTATCAGTGAGAAGGGGAAGCAGGGAGTGAGAAGTATAAATGGTAGGTAGAAAATAGACAGGGGGAGGTTAAGAATAGTATAGAAAATGTAGATAATAAGGAACTTATACGTATGACCCATGGACATGAACTAAAGGGGAGGAATGCAGGTGGGAGGGGATGTCCAGGGTGGAGGGGCATAAAAAGGGGGAATGGGACTACCGTAATAGCATAATCAATAAAATATATTTTAAAAAATTAAAATAAAATAAAATATTTTAAGTTTTAAAGGAAAAAATTGTTCATTAAAACACTACTTATCTTAATTATTGAGATTTTTGGCACTCCCTTGAGTTTTACATCTGAGACAAATGCCTCACTCACCTCACCCTAACCACAACCCTTCAGGAGGGGTGGGCATTTGTGTGGCCAGAACATACGCAGAGATGCAGACTGAAGAGTCTGGGCTTTATTCTGAAGGTCAGGGGCTAGCACACTACAGCCCAAGGGTCAAATGGGCCCACTGACTGTTTTTGTAAATAAAGATTTATTGAAACACAGCTGTACTCATTCATTTACAGATGGCGTATGTCTGCTTTCACACCACAGCAGTGGAGCTGAGTGGCTGCGACAGAGATTGTATGGCCCACACGCCAAAAATATTTACTCCCTGCCCTTTTATAGAAAAAGTTTGCCCCTGCCCCCCCCCGTTGGGTGGCTCAGGGGGTTGGAGCATTGGAGCATTGTCCCTTACACCAAAAGCTTGCAGGTTCAATCCCCCATCAGGGTGCATGCAAGAAGGCAACCATCGATGTTTCATTCTTGCATCAGTGTTTCTTTCCATCTGTCTCTCTCTCTCTCTCTCTATCTACCTCTATTGCTCTCTACCTCTCTCTCTCTCTCTCTCTCTCTCTCTCTCTCGTCAATAAGCATATCCTTGGGTTAGGGTTAAAAAGAAGAAAAATAGAAAAGAAAATATTTTCCAGCTTCCGATCTAGGCAGTGGGGACAAACAGATGTTCAGTGGCAGAGGAGGTGGACTGACAGCCTTTGTACAATCGCCGTGTAGCAGGAAAATGAGGGGACCCAGGAAAAGATCCAGCAGCTTCGGCAAAAGTGGGGGTCAAGATGGAGAGAGGGTCACCGGTGGTAGCTGTTCTTAGGAGGAAAAGATGTGGTGAATTTGGGGTCATGGGAGTAGAAAGGAAGAACAGAGAGAAGGTTCGTACTCTGTTCCTGGCCTGAAAAAAAGAGGAGGGGGCTGTCGTGCTGTGAGCAAGATGGGGTGGTGGGATCTGGGTGGAGGAAGAGATGCGGAGAGCAACCTTGGCCGTGCAGAGCAGAGCAACCCAAGGGGCCATCCTGGAGATGTCCAGGCAGGATGCTGAATGATGAGACGTCCAGGTCACGTACCTGAGAGATTGTGCTTGTGGTGGCAACTGCACCCTCCATGCCTGTGTCCCCCGTGTCTGCTGCTTGCCTCAACGCTTTCTTCCTGTAGGACCTCACTCTGAGTGAAGAGACCAGAGAGTGATTCAGTCTGGCCAGCTTGGGGTGCAGTAGACGGACTGATGCTTCCTGTCTTTTCTCTCTTAAGGGGCTGGGGGTGACTGAGGTGGTGTGGGGATTGAGAATGCGGGCTCCCCTCTCCTGGAACCAGAGGTTTGTGACACCACCCAGGTGCCAGGGACCTGCTTTCTGCCCTCGCTTCAGATTCTGGACCCCCCACGTCCCCCCAGCTCTGGGTTCCGGGGTTCCATGGCCTCCTGCCCTCCGCAGACCAGGGCACGTCCTCCCTCCCCACGGCTGGAGCTCACATGATGGCGATGATGCAGAACAGAAAGAGCAAAGTGCTGACGCCTGCTCCCACGATGGCCCCCAGCGTCACTCCCGTTAAAGGCCCATGATTTCCTCCTGAGAGATTGAACTATTACTGGTGATATCCATCAGAGAACACAGTCTTTTCCCCTCCCACTCTCTGAGGGACGCTACACTTCTGTTTTCTCGCTCCATTGTCGGAAGCAAAATACAAGAACAAGGGAGAGGGTGGGGTTGAGGGTGAGGCTAGGGAGGCCTACAAGAGCTGGGTCCTGGCCTGGATTCATTTCAAATGTACACAGTGTGATCTTTGTGAAATTTATTGTGCATTCCCTTTTTGTGAAGAAGAAATACTGCTCTGTGCTAATATCTTGATTACTGAGGTTTCCTTGGTTTATCAATGTCTCATTGGCCCAATTCACATCGTGGCCTGAAAAGCAAGGACTTTGTGTCCCAAACCTGTCCAAGACCCATAGCCTCTCCCAAGACCCAGCTCCATCCTCTTGCTTCTCCCTCCCAGCCTCACTCCAGTCCACAGTTATGGCCAGGCAGCAGGAAGACAGAAACACATTGGTTCCCATGGAAATTTCAGGCTTCATAGCCTTGCCCACACCAGAGCTGAGCTCCCCTCTCTTGTTCAGGGGCTGCTGGATGGATGTGGGGGTGCGGTGGTTGCTGACTTCCCCCAGCCACTCCCCAATCCCCTGGTGCACTCACTGGGCAGAAGGAGGTTCACAGAGAGGTGCAGGGAGCCCTGAGGGTTCTCAGCCTGACAGGAGAATTTCCCTTCATCTCCAGCCTGCACTCTGGGCAGCTCCAGGACCCCAGGCTTAGGGGAGCTATGGATACAGTCCCTTCGTGTCCAGCTCAACTGGGCAGGGGGGTTGCTGTCAGCTTCACAGACCAGACGCAAGTATTCACCCTCCATGACTTCAACAGATGACCCATCCTCCAGGACTCTGGGTGCTGCAGAAAGAGAGAAACAGAGGGTCAGAGTGACACCGAGGGCAGTGGAGAGTCTGACAAACTCTGTCACCCCTGCCTGGTGGGAATGACTGTCTACCTTCTGTGCAGAGCAGCTTGACCACTTCTCTCAAAACGAGAAAGAACATGTGAAGTAGCTGTATTCTGACTTTAGCAACTTATCCCACAGAGGAACACAGGCACAGGTGGGAGAGCAGACACAGGAGAACTCCTTGCAGAGTTTAGGTTAGAACAAGAGAAGACCCATGGTTCTCCACTGGTAGATGACATGGACATGGCCACAGCCCTCCGTGCTGTGGAATAAGCCACTGTCATGGGGAGGAAGGACGACATTGATCCTACTGATGTTGAAGGACCTGTCAGATCCTTCAGGTGGACCAACCAAGGTTCACAGCAGCACGTGGACACTGTTCATGTGCCCAGAGGAGATTGGGCATCTGAGGACACACTTCAGCACCTTCTCAACTGTAGGTCCTGTGACTATATTACCTGTTTAAAACTTATCAATTAAACTATCAGAGGGAAATTAAAACATGAGCCTGGAGGACTCATCAGGAGAGGGAAGGTCAGGGGCCCTGAGGGGCTGCTCTGCATGTGGGTGGTGCCTCGTTCTCCTGGTGCAGCTGACAGGGGCCAGGAGAGTCATCAGGGTGGGGTGGGGAGGGAGTGATGGACCAGCTGCTTGCAGAAGCCTGGGGGGGGTAATCTCTGGGTTCCCCCACATGGGGAAGTCTGGTCACTGGGGTGAACTCAGGACAAGGTAGGACCCACATTGCCCTGGTTTGGAAGAGGCTCTGCTCCCCACAGCCCATGACAAGCTTCTTCCTACCTGAGTCGTTTCCTCGGAGGAAAGTTACAGTCATGTTCTGTGGAGAGTCTGGGACAGAAAGACATTGGGGACCAAAGTCAATGGTGAGATCAGGGCACATTGGCTCTTTGCCCCCAGAAGCTGCTTAAATGGGGGAAAGGAGGAAGCAGGCATGCCCCTGACCCCATCCCAGAGCAGATTCAGGGCCAAGCACCCAGTGTCTGAGGCCCTGACCCCCACCCATCCTGCTGCCCTCAGGCCCCCATCAGGGACCCCATGTCTGGGTCCAGTTCTCACAGGACACATTGAGGTGGATTGTCTTCATGGTCACTCTGGCACCAAGCAAGGTCACCTCACAGGTCAGGGTGGCACCATTGTCCTGGGGCCGTGGGGTGAGGGTGAGCACTGAGGAGTTGTGGGTCATGGGGACCAGGGAAGGGTGAGTAGCTGATGTCCAGGAGAAGAGGGGGGGCGTGCCCTGCTCACAGGCCCAGGGTACAGAGCAGGTCAGGTCTGTGGGGCGGCCAGACTCCAGGGTTCCTGGGATGAGGATGTCAGGTGTGTGGGTCAAGGCTGGTGAGGAGAAGGATGGACAGGGCATCAGGATGAGGGTGCCATGTGCAGCCCTGAGAGAAACCTCAGGCTTTGGTCCAGCCCCTCCCTCTGAGCCCTGACAGGCTGCACCCCCAATTACCTCCCAGCATGGGGTCATCCCAGCCCTGCCCCAGGGTCACTTTGAACTTTCCCTGTGGCCTCCTCTCCAGGAGACTGTTCCTTACCCGTCACATGCACGGTGAGTTTCTGCTGTATGAAAGAATGTTTTAGCTTAATTCCTCTCTCCACCCGAAAAAAGTACGACCCATCATCTGTCTTCCTGGCGTGTCTGATGTCCAGGGAGCAGTTGTGGTTCCCAGGATCCCCAGTGAGGAGGAATCGGCCCTGGGTCTCCTTCTGCACTTCACGATCTTGTTTGTTCGTGGCCACTGGAGCATCGTTGTGTACATGAGCTCCTTCCAGGAACCAGAAGCCATAAGCTGGGTCAGCCTCAGTCCAGCCTTCCTGGGGGTAGGACACACTGCAGGGCACGAAGACACACAGGCCCTCCTGCACTGTCACCAACTCCTGTACTTGCAGCATGTATTCGGGCTTCTGAGCCAGGGACCCTGCAGAGAAGGAAGGGTCAGCCACAGCCCCCACACCACCTGCCCCACTCAGACCCTTGGGCACTCACCTGCCCACAGCAGGGGCGGCAGCAGGGGTGGCAGCAGCAGTGGCAGCAGCAGCGGCAGCAGCATCTCTGGAGGTGTCTGGGTGCCTGTGTGTGTGTGAAAAGGAGGAAGACAGCGGGAGGAGGGTGCATGGTGACCACAGAAGCTGAGGAGGAACATGGGGCCTCCTTGTCCACAGAGGAGGAACCTCAGAGCTGGAGCTCTGCCCCTCTCTGTGCACAGCAGGCAGACACCCTGCAGCCCATAGAGTTTGCACAGCTGCCTGGACAACCCTCCCTCAGCCCCCCTCTCCCACTGCAGCTCCCACAGCAGCAGCCTCTCTGGGGCTGGCAGTGCCATGTTCCCTCTGGGAGAGTTTGGTTCTCAGGGTGCGTCTCTCACAAACTAGAACTAAGTATTGCAATAGTGACAGAAGGCTGCACAGGAAGGTGAGGGTGAGGTCACAGCAGTGACACTCATCAGAGAAGGTGCAGAGGGACCCTGTCAGGGGCAGGACAGCCCTTCCAGTTCAGCCATCTGCTCCCCACATCTACTCCTGAAAGCCCTGAGGCCAGGGAGGGTGACAGACTACCAAGTCACACCCCTCTGTCTGTGGCATACTTCCTGCTTCCCTTCATGCCCTCCTCCAGGGAGGGCACTTCCTGTACTTATTGTTGATGGTATTACACATGCCCCGCATTTCCCCCACTTTACCCACCTCCACCCAGCCCCCACAACACCCTGACCTTCACCACACTATTCTCTGTGTCCTGGGCTTTGCATATATGTTCTCCTAACCATTTTTTGAGAGAGAGGGAGGGTTGAAGGGAAGAAGAAAAGGAGGAAGGAAAACATCAATGTGCTAGAGATACATAGATCAGTTGCCTCCCACATGTCCCCAGCTGGTGACCTGGCCCACAACACAGGTTTGTGTCCTGACTGGAAGTTGAACTGGGGGCATTTGCTTCACAGTCCAGTGCTCAGTCCACTGACCCACACCAGCCAGGACATAGCTAAACTTTTTATCTCCTTTCACCCAGTCCCCCTCACCTTCCCATCTGAGGTCTGTTGTCTGGTGTATGTATGCATGCCTCTGGTTCTATTTGTTCATCAGTTTGTTTTGTTCACTGATTCCACCTAGAAATGTGAGATCATACACTGTTTGTCTTTCACTGACTGGCTCCTTTCTCTTAGCATAATAATCTTCAGGTCCATCCACACTATCACAAGGGTAAGAGCTCCTTTTTTACAGCTGAGTAGTATTCCACTGTGTAAATGTACCAGTGTTTTTCATCCACTCAACTGCTGATGGACACTTGGGCTGTTTCCAGATCTGGCTATTGTAAATAATGCTGCAATGAACATAGATGTATATATATTATATATGATGGGTGGTTCAGGATTCATAGAGTATATATTCTGAGAATTAGGGTTGCTGGGTCAAAAGGCAGTTCCTTTTTTACTTTTTTTGAAGAAACTTTATGGTGTTTTGCACAAGGGCTGCACCAGCCTGCCTTCCCACCAACAGTGCACTAGGGTCACATTTTCTCCACTTCCTCTCCAGCACTTGTTGTTTGTTGACTTATTGATGGTAGTCTTTTGGGCAGGTATGAGGTGATACCTCATTGTACTTTTAATTTGCATCACTCTGATAATTAGTGACACTGAACATCTTTTCATATGTCTGTGGGCCATCTGTGTGTCCTCTATGGAGAAGCATTTGTGTCCATTCAGGTCTTCTGTCCATTTTTTAAAATTTATTTTACCCTCACCTAGGAAAATTTTTCATTGCTTTTAGAGAGAGAGCAAGGGACAGGGACCCAGAGAGAGAGAAACATCAATGTGAGAGAGAAATGCTCATTGTTTGCCTCCTGATGTGCCCAGAATGGGGATTGAACCTATAACCTAGGTAGGTGCTCTGGCCAGACCTCAAATCCACAACCATTTGGTTATGTGACAAAGTTCCAACCAACTGAGCCACACCAGCCAAGACCCTCTGCCCATATTTAAATTGGATTGTTTATCTTCCTGGTGTTGGGTGGTGTAAGTTCATGACCTATCTGGAAACTAATCCCTTACCAGATATATCACTGGCAGTCATATTCTCCCATACCCTGGTTTCCCTTTCCATTATGTGGATGGTTTTGTTTGCTGTGCTGAAGTTCTTAGTGTGATGTGGTCCCATTTCCTTATTTCTTCTTTGCTTTGCTTCCCTTGCCCTTGGGGATATAACAGAAAAAGTATTGTTGTGTGAGATGTCTGCAATTTTACTGCCTGTGTTTTCTTCTAGGATTTTTATGGTCTGGTGACTTACATGTTATCCATTTTGAGTTTATTCTTGCGTATGGTGTAAACTGGTGATCTGATTTTATTTTTTGCATGTATTTACCTAACTTTGCCAACATGCTTTTTAAAAATTTGACTCATTATGCCATTACATTTGTTCTATTTCCCCCTTCATTCCCCTCCACCCTGCCAACCCCTCCCTCACCATTCCCCCCCTTTAGTTTATGACCACATGTCTCAAGTTCTTTAGATTCTGTATTTCCCCTACTATGCTTACCCTCTCCCCTATCTATTTTCTATGTATGGTCTATGCTACTTATTTTCTGTACCTTCTCCCCCCCCTTCTCCTTCTCCCACTCCCCTGTTGCTAACACTCCATGGGATTGTTCTTTCTATGGTTCACGCCTGATCTAGCTGTCCTCTTAGTTTGCTTTTGTTTTAGGTGTGGTTGTTCATAACTGTGAGTTTGCTGTCCTTTCACTGTTCATCTTTTTTATCTTCTTTTTCTTAGATAAATCCCTGTAACATTTCATATAATAATGGCTTGGTGATGATGAACTCCTTTAACTTGATCTTATCTGAGAAGCACTTTATCTGTCCTTCCATTCTAAATGAAAGCTTTGCTGGATAGAGCAATCTTGGTTGTAGATCTTTGGTTTTCATGACTTGGAATACTTCTTTCAAGCCCCTTCTTGCCTTTAAGGTCTCTTTTGAGAAATCTGCTGACAGTCTGATGGGAACTCCTTTGTAGGTGACTGTCCCCTTATCTCTTGCTGCTTCTAGGATTCTCTCCTTCATTTTAATCTTGGCTAATGTAATTATGATATGCCTTGGTGTGTTCCTTCTTGGGTCCAACTTCTTTAGGACTCTCTGAGCTTCCTGGATTTCCTGGAAGTCTATTTCCTTTGCCAGAATGGGGAAGTTCTCCTTTACTATTTGTTCAAATAAGGTTTTCACTCATGACTGTTCCTCTTCCCCTTCTGGTACCCCTATAATTCGGATGTTGGAGCATTTAAAGATGTCCTGGAGATTCCTTCGCCTCTCCTCATTATTTTGAATTCTTGTTTCTTCATATTTTTCTGTTTGGTCATTTTTTTCTTCCTTCTGGTCCGCTCCCTTGATTTGATTCCCAGTGTCCTTTCCATCACTATTGCTTTCCTGTGCATTTCCCTTTATTTCAATTAGTTTAGCCTTCATATGTTCCTCTAATTTGTGGCTAAAATCAACCAATTCTGTGAGCATCCTGATCACCAGTGTTTTGAACTGTGCCTCTGATAGGTTGGCAATTTCTTGTTTGCTTAGATTTATTGGCTCTGGGGCTCTGAGTTCTTGAGCCATGTTTTGATCTGTTTGTGCCTGTTATGTTTGAGGAGAGGCGCCTTAGGTGTTCACCAGGATGGGGCCACCCAGGTTGCTGGTTTGTGATGCTGTATGTGGGGGCGGCGTCAGAGAGGGAGCAATAGCAGTCCTCTCTGTTTTCTCCTGGTTCACCTCACCACTCGCCCCACCCCGGCCTGTTTATCTGCACAAATATGTGACCGTGGTCAGCCTGCCCGCTTTGCACTTGGGCCTGCTAGATCTTTCTCAATGCTCATCCCTTCACTGGTTTATCTGTGAGCAAATGCATGACCCCGGTCAGCCAGCCTGTGCCCCCCGCGCCTTCACTGGGATCTGCCTGCACGCCCGGGTCAGGGGATCTTTTTAGCCTGACCTGCTCCGCTGCTATCTCTGCCCCTCTCGCTGGTTTAGCTGAGTGGTTTATTGTTGTCGGACTCCATATTGTTTGATTTTCTGTGGCTTGGCTACGTTTATTGTTGCTAAAACTTTATTGTTTTTAAATTTGGTTGTGCGAGAAGGTAAAGTGTTTCCACCTATGCCTCCATCTTGGCCGAAGTCCTCCCAACACCCTTTTTTTGAAGAGACTGTTTTGACTCCATTGTATGCTCTTGACTCTCTGTCAAATATTAAATGTCCATAAAGCTCTGGGCTGGTTTCTGGGTGCCGTGTTCTCTTCCATCAATAGATGTCGCTAAAAGCTCCACCAGAAAACTTCTAGATCTAATGAATTAATTTGGCAAAGTAGCAATACGCAAAATTTGTATGCATATATCGGTGGCCATTTTTATAGCAATAATGAATTATCAGAAAGAGAAACTAAGAAAATAATCCTATTGACTATTGCAACACAAAAATAAGGTACTTGGAATAAATGTAACCAAGAGAGTAAAAGACATGTACAGAAAACACTATAAGACATTGAAGAAAAACAGAGGAAGATACAAATGAGTGGAAGCATATACAGTGTTCACAGACTGGAAGAATTAACATCATGAAAATGTGCATACTACTCAAAGAAATCTAAAAACCAAATACAAATCCTGTTAAAATAACAATGGAATATTTCACATATGTAAAACAAATATTTTTTAAAAATTGTAAGGAACCCTCCAAAACATTCCCGAATAACCTCAGCGATCCTGAGAAAGGAGGACAAATTTGGAGCAACAATCTATACTACAAATCCATTGAAATGAAAACGGCCTGTTACTGGAACAAGAACAGGCATACAGACCAAAAGAAACCATTTTATGCAAAGTAGAAATGGGTCTCTCTAGCCAAACCCCCTAGTCACAGGCTGTAGGATGTGAGGGGGTCAGCCCAGACAAGACTGGGGCTCGGAAACGTGGGAGATGGCCTGGGTCCAGGGGGGCTGAGGAAGCCAATTATCTTTCCTGCCTCAATATCTACATGGTGGGCATATTCTCCCCACTCACAAGGTCACACACTGTCCCAGGAGTCACCTTGTCACTCACACCCTGGTTGGAGGTGGGGTCTCAGTAAGACAGGGAAGGGGGGACACTGGGGTAGAGAGTTGGGGCTTCTGTGTGTTAACACACACCAGGGACATCAAAGAGAGACCCACTGGCAAGATGCATGGTAAACAGAAGCTGGGATTCTTTGTGCTGAGGCGTTTGATAGGAAAGAGTGTGCAGAAAGGAAGGAAGGAGCAATTTCAAAACAGGTAAACACTTCCCCCTTTGTGGTGGCTGTTTGCATCACTGGTACCTCACGGGCCATAATTCTCATTGCTTCAGAGCATGGCTGGGTCTTCCAACCTCGGGGGCTTTGCCAGTGCAGACTCGGCCCCCAGCACTCTGTGGGGAGGACCCTCAGAGTGAGGAATGCCAGCCTGGGAGTCCTCTGCCCACAGGGACATGAGGACATGCTGAGAGAGGAGACACACACCTCTTCTCACAGATGGTTATTTTTCCACTGTATGGCTGGAGGGGTCTACAAGAAAGTGGGAGGACCCATATGAGGCAGCACCTCCTCTGACTCATGTCGGTGTTCTTGATACATTTTGGGGGGGTAGAAACATAAGACATATACAGAGGAATGCCCCCATAAGAACAACTCAGTGACTCATCAACAAATAAACACTCTTAAGGACATAGAGATGCATTTACTTTGCTCTGACAGGCATGCATCAGTGAGTTGGGTGGCATCCTGCAAAGCAAAAGGTCACCCATTATTCCTGTTGGAGCACTTGCCTGGACTGTGGCTTTGGTCCAGGTTGGGGTGCTTATGAGATGCTACGTATCGATGTTTCTCCCTCACATCCACGTTTCTCTCCCTTTCTCACTCCCTCCTTCCCTCTCTAGCACTAAATAAGTCAATAAGAAAGAAACATAACATTGTGGGCAACCCAGGACCTGTCCTGGATCCACCATTATCACCAAATCCAATCCCACAAAAGGAGCCCCTGTCCTCACTTTAAATTTAATTGTGTCCTTGGTCTCCTTTGTGTTTTTATTGTTACCCAAGCATGTGACCTTTAATACTACAGCTTTGCATACATTTTAAGAACCTTCATATAGAAAATATTAGAGACTGTTCAGGGACCCATCAAGTTCAGGAATCTGCCCATTCCATAATATGTCCCTCCCAGAACCTTTCCAGACAGCATGGACTGGAGTCAGAGCTGTGATCACCAAGGAGGGAGGCAGCAGGGTGGAGCATGCATAGACATTCCCACACTATCACTGAATCCTGCAGTTTCCATATGTATCCTACCTGCAGCCCCACATCCCTCCTGGGCCCCTGTTCTGACCAACTCACTCTCTCCCAGCAGGACTCGGTTGCAGCATCTCTGAGGTCAGATGGGATGGACCACATCAGTCTGTTTTTAGCTGTCCCAGATTTGCAGAACAATGAGAGAAAGAGGCACAGAGAAACCACAGACAATCTAACTGCCAGCACAAGAGGAACCTCTAACCCACAGGCCATCAGATCTGGGAAGCCTTCTGGCTCCACCTCTTTGATCTGCAGAAGACACAGAGGTCCAGAGTGTCGAGGGAATTGCCTAAATCACAGTAGTGCCCTGTCTCATGCACCACTGTGCTCACAGGTAGCCTCTTCATCAATGTTTGCCTGCTCAGGATATGTTGGGTTTGCAATCAGGATGCTTGCCCTGGCTGGTGTGGCTCAGTGGATTGAGCAACAGCCTGCAAACCACATGGTCACCAGTTCTATTCCCAGTCAAGGCACATGCCTGGGTTGAGAACCAGGTCCCTGGTGGGGAGCACATGAGGGGCAACCACAGATTGATATTTCTCTCCCTCCTATTCCCCTCCCTTTCCCTCCATATAAAGATAAATAAATACAATTTTTAAAAAGAAAGAAAACAGGAAGCTTCTGTTAAGCTGACAGGGAAGAATTGTCAACTCCTCCCATGAGGTGAAGAAGGAAATTTTACTCATTCATTCATTCAACAACCATCTACACTGTGCCCTCAGGCTTCCAGTAAAGGGGTGAGTAGGAGAGATCTAGTCCTTAACTTTGAGAAGAGCAACAGCTGGTTGGCAGACAGGCAGGTTACCTGACACTTCCGGTTGTGTAGGACGGGTGGCTGTGAGGGGGGAGGCACAGGCTGGGGCTGAGCTCAGCTCTCCCTCTGTGGACTGGAAGGTGAGCTATCGGCGAGAAATAGCCAGTGTGGACAAGGTAGGGACTCTCCAGAAGTCACAAGGGACATCCATCCTGCAGGTGATTCTGGGAATTCCTGGGCTCAGGTGAGCTATTCCCAATCCCACTGTTCTCCCACTGCACTGGAGATACTGCACCAGCTACCCAGTGAGGTGCTGCTTGTGACCCAAACCACCTCTGCCCCAGCACTGGCCAGTCTACCACCCATAGGAGGCGCTCCATCTGCCCAAAGCACACAGGTGGCTCCTGGGGATCCCTAGAGAAGGGTGGCGATGCTGTCCGTGGTGCTGATGCGGAGCTGAAGCAGGAAGTGGTGTGTCTCACACTGCATGCAGCCTGTGTATGCTACTATACTGACTATTTGCCGTGTATGCCAGTGTAAGGTCACCACTACTGGGCCATGAGCTGCAGAGATTAAACATTACTTGTGGTTGTTTCTCTGAGGGTATTTCCAGGTGAGATGAGAATATTAAATTTGTGGGCTCAGCAAAGGGAATGCCCTTCCCGAGTGTGGGGGGGGCGGGGCAGCATGTCCAATCCACTGAGGGCCTGAACGGAACTGAGACCAGACTAATATGTGTGCATAGTATTTATGTGATTATGTTTCACATTTTCATTTTCAACACAGGCAGTATAAAAATGTGGTAAAGACATGTTATCTTCCCCTTCACTCTTAGTCAGTGTTTGTGGAGTGGATGCTGCCTTCATTCCACTTCTTTGAGACTCAAGTGTCCAAGGTGGAGTGACCCCAAGGGGAGAGAAAGAGGGTGCAACTCACATAGGGTTCACCAGAGACTTCCTGGGGTCCAGAACTCTACGGTCTCTTCTGAGACTCCAATGCGTGTGAGAGTTCTTTCCGACAACCCAGAGATGTGTCTTGCATTGAGGTGTGTCCCAGAACCAGACCTCCTAACAATATAACAGAAGACACTAAGGTCAGGAAAACCTCAATTACTGAACCAGGGATAAATAAGGCGTCTTCTCTTGGAAGTGTTCTCATTAACTTCACTCAGGTCTGTTCACTCATCCGACTAGGACGATGTCTCTATTGGGGAATCTCAGTAAAAATTGTCAGGTTTTCTCAGCCTAACATTTCTCCCCATAGTCCTGCTTTTGGACAAAAGGTGAATCTTCTGGATCAGGAAAATTCCACTGCCGTACTACACTGTTATCTCTTCGTTTGATTCTGTGTAAGAGTGTATTCTTTTTCAATGTCTGGTAGAAATATTGCTGGGGAATGTTTGGCTCCTTTTATTGAACCAAGAGTTTATGTAATGCATAGCAAGTCTTAGTGCTTCTAGCAATATAGTAAGTCGTGGGCAGGAACTTGCTTTTTTGAGGGATAAAGATCCTGCACACAGTGAACACACACCTTGTATGAGGACCTGCATACAGTACTTTCCATGTGTCATAACACCCTTGTGAGATGGGGTTGGTCTCCCCTCATCAACAGCACAGGAAACTGAGGTACAGAGAGGTAAAGTGACTGATGTTCTTGTTGTCACGCTCTTAGAAGCAGTGAAGTTAGAACTCAATCCAATCTGCCTAAAACTAAAGCCCCATTACTGTCCACAGCTAAGAATATCCATAATATCATTTATAATCCAGTAACTAGAGAAGTATTTACTCCATAAGAATCAGTGTCTGAAGTCTTGCTTTACCAGAGAAGCTCTGGGCTCCTCAACGAGGGTAGCATCAAACTCTGAGTACTTAAAGTACTCAGCACTTTCGTGATGAGGCTATGCCTCTTGGCCTCCAAGACTTCTGCTTGTGAGAGCTGAGGGAATGGTGGAGATCTTGAATTCATGATGATTTGATCAGGAAGGCTTCTGGGCAGAACCCTGACTCTGAGAACATGAGAGCAACCTATAGCTGACCTCCTCCTTCCCATCCTTGCTCCCACACACCCAGTGCTACTCTGAAGTGGCAGAAACCCCAGTACCAGCTAGTCCCAAAGAAGAAAGATTTTTTTTCTCATTTGTACTGTGTTCTTGAGAGGTGTGATGTTGAGAGGCATGGAGTACTTGAGACATAAATGTAAAGTTCTTCTTTAGTCATTAAAGGTGTAGTAGGTGTTGGCTCTCCCCACATCTAAAGACACAAAAATAGCGAAGGTAGATTCTGGAATTCCTCCTGTCCCTCTCCTTAAGCCCCGGTCCCCAGGAACCAGGCATTGAGTGTCCCACACCATGAGCTCTCCTGGGTCTGCCTAGTGTGCTCAGGGCCCAGGGGTTCCTGGCCCCACACACATAGGAGACACTGAGCTGGATGGTTTTCTGTGATCACGCAACCTTCAGGGATCATTATGCATAAAATAGTTGATACCAAATTTTTGTCCTGGTGGGCTGATGATGTAAAAATGTTTTGTCTCTGCATACCCTTACTTTGCTACGACAGAGTAAACTCTCCCCTCCTCCCAGCCTTATTGTGAAGCAGGTTGCCTGTGATGCAATGAACATGACTCAGCATGACGAGAATGCCTGTCCTCCCAGTACAGATGATAGACCTGGTGGGCTCCAGGCACCAGGATGGTGCTGTTCGTGGTGCTGAAATAGTGCCGGGTCCTGTGCTCAGAGATCGCCCAGCCATGAAAGGGGTCTCATGTCTCTAGCACAGGATCCAAGCCTGGGAGTGGTCAAAAGTGGTGGTCTGCCTAAGAGAAAGAAATGTGAAGACATGTGGACTCTCCTATCAGTAGTCTGGTGTTCCCTTATCCTTCTCTCTGCTTCCTGAGTCAACCAAAATGATTCTTCTTGGAGCTATCCTGGTTTGGGGGGTAGACTTGAAAGTTGCAGTGTGGTTCCACTGACTTCATTTAAAGAGGAGTTTTCAGGGAGAAGACAGAACTTTGAGGAAGAACTTGCCTGGGGGATTGATTGTTAGTGGTTGGTCAGAGATGCAGAAGGACCAGGGATGGTAGATTTTTGTAGGCAGGATAAACAGACTCAAGGAAGTAAAGGGAGCCTACAGTGGCCCTTGATTTGTGGATAAGGAGGCCACAGATGTCTGTGGGAGGTGGTTTTAGACAAAGAGAGGGAAGAAACCAAGAAGTAGGGGTTTAGGAGTGAGGGGGCTTCTCATGTTGTCTCTGGAGCCACAGGCACCCACTCTCACTCTGGCCTCAGAGAGAATAAAGGGGAAGCTCTGTGCATCCCAGTTCAGAATGAGCTCCAGGATGTCTCAGGACACAGGCTGCGTTTAGGGCATCCAATTAGCTGAGGGGCAGAACACTTCCCTGTTGGTCCTGGTGTGCCTTCTTTGCTTTATAGCATTTAATTGACTAACTTCTTTAGATAACATGTGATCGGGAATGACCAAAAACACACAAACTTATTTATAAAAATAGTTTAGTTATTCTTACATGTTCAAACTTCAATCATTTTCAATTTACTGTCCATTGGATGCAATACATTTATCAAGCCTTTTTATTCCTCTGCTCAAAACAGTATTTGAACTTGCCTAATTTAAAGCTTTTAGCACTTCTGCCATTTTTTGTTACATCTCTTTCCATTGGCAATACATCTCCTTTTAAGGACTGTTTTCAAGAGACAGCCAACTACAACAACAAAAAACAATTACTCAGGGAAAAATTAAAAGAATTGCAATGGGATGGCAGGAGGATCATGCCATTTTTAGTAAAATGGAGCTGAAAACTCAGCACAGTGTGGCCAGGTGCACTCACAAATCACCCACCTGTAAGTGGGCAAAGGCATTGAAAGAGTCTTCAAACAAAATCGCCGTATATAGTCTCTCACAACAACACCCCATGGCGCACTGAAACACATTGGTTTCTAGAACACTCACCTAGTGGTGGAAGCCAGGTGCACTCCAAAGGCATGCCCTCCAGAAGATAATTCCAATTGGGGGGCTCCCCTCATGTAATATATTATTACTAAATACATCTCTACGTTGGGAAAACAAGTCTTCTCACCATCCTCAGGAATTTGTTCAAACATCAGAGTTCATACTCTCAGAGGCCCCAGATTATCCCCTCATGTCACCTGATCTTTTTCTTGCATCTTTCCTCCCTAAACACATATGACCATTCAGCATGCTCTAATAATTTTATTTAATTAGCTGCATCCATCCTCTTGTCTTCAGAATGCCAGCTTCTAGATGAGAGAAAGTTTTGATGCTGGGTCATGGTTGCGTCCTCAGTGCCTACAACAAGGCTGCCACCTCCTAGGTGTTCAGTTATACTTCCTAAGGGGTCTGTAAAAATTGGGCTGATTTTGGTTTCTTTCAGAGCTACCCAGGATTCACACACACATGAACACACACACACACACATAACATGAGTTGACTTTTAATTGATTGGAGTAATGGTCAGCCCTTGGAGATGTAGGAAAGGGAAGGGCATTTCAGCAGAAGGAACTACACATGCAAAGTCTCAGAGACATAAAGGCCCTGACTCAGCTGGTGTGAGATGGTGTGAGATTCAGGGACATGAAGGAATTTGTTTAAAAAAACAGTCCAGCAGTGGACAGACCATGCCAGGCCTTCATCCAGCCCCTGCTGATTGCACCTAATCTCTGGCCATGGAGAAGAAATGCTGCTGGTGAAACCCTGCAGGAAGTGGATGGTACATCTCAGGCAACAGGATCTGGAGGTAGAAGGTTGGTATGTTTAAAACTCAGGGAGAAGAGGAGGCCACAGGAACTACAAAGGCTTTGAAGTGGAGGAGAGGGCATCAAGTTCAGCTGTTATTAGGAAGAAGGATGGACAAGTCTTAGTGACTTCCCAGAATGGGGAGAAGAGAGGGAGGGCAAAGTGGAGAAATGCCACCCAGACCTAGTATTAGAGAAGGCAGCCACCAAGTCTTCACTGTCATGGTGACCTGAGCAGAGAAGTGCATTGGGGGAGCAAGGTAGCAGCTCAAGTTTTACAAATGCTGAGTGGAGGAATGCCAGGGACCATACTGCAGGAGGTGTCAGAGGGATGTTGGGTGGTGAGACACCTACCATACTCACCTGACAGATTAACTTGAGACAGTGCTGGCTTTCTCCATGACCTGTGTGGGCCTCGTCACCTTCATCAAGTGGTACCTGACCCTGAGAGAAGAGATCAAGGTCTTTCAGTCCATCTGGTTCAGGCTACAGTTTGCAGCAGACCCAATCCCCTTCTCCCTGTCCAGGAAATGGAGGGAGACTGAAGTAGGAGAGGGCTGGTGTGACCCCACAGATTGTCTGGAGCACAGCAGGTACCTCCAGCCAGGACCCTCACAGTAGCTGTCCATGGTGAGACCTCACCCACCAATGCTGAACTCAAGACAGTCCCACCCCTGATTTTTGGGCATCCCCACCTCTGTTTATAGACTCAGCCACATGCCCCCTGCCATTCTCTCCCCTTCCTCCCCACTGGGGTAGAGCTCACATGAGGACGATGAAGCAGAGGAGGAGGAGCAGTATCTTCACAACAGCTTCCACAGTGGCCACCAGTACCACCACTGCCATAGGCCCTGATTTTCCTACAAGAAAGAGGTTGTGGACAAAGTCATCTGCTGAACCACAATCCGGTGTCCTTCCACTGCCACTAGGAATCCGAAGGTCACCTTCCAAGCCTTACTGCATCACTGGATTCCAATGACATTTGCCCTCACCCCTGACCCTGATCTGTCCACCAGTGGTTCCACAGATAGTAAAAGGCCTAAGTTGGAATTCAGCGAAATAAAACATTCTATTACTAATTAACACTATGGACAAAGTGAAAAGCCAACCTGTTTAATAGGAAAAATGTTTGCTAATCATCGAATTGATAAGGATTAGTATCTCCAGTGCAGATAAACAACTCTTACAACTGAACAACCAAAATTCAAATGGGGCTTCCTTCCAGTCAAGATGGTGGCATAGGCAGACATGGCTCCCCTCTTTGCATAAACACAGCAAAATTACAACTAAAATATAGAAAAACCATCACTCAGAACCATCAGAATCGAGTTGAATGGGAGTCTGACAAACACAGAATTAAAGGAACCACATCCATCCAGACCAGGAGGAGCGGCAGAGACATGGAACAGGCTGGTCTCTTACCCATGTGTGGTAGATAAACAGCCCACAGGGATATCTCAGGAGCAAGCAAACCTAGCCCCACTCTGGGCGCCCCCAGTCCAGGGTTCCAGTGCCACAAAGGTAAGTCCCTACAACTTCTGGATGCAAAAATCAGGGGAAATTGCATCAGTAGAAGAAAATGCTGGATCACTAAGCACTTCCTCTTAAAGAACCTACACACAGACTCATCGACTCTGACTCACTCCCTCTGAGCTCAAGTGCCAGATGGCCCCTAGAAGGGCCCCAGCGGCATACTGAGAGAGGCTGAAGTGCCTGGCATCAGGGAAAGTATTGGCCATTGCTCCTTTTCTGAGCCCTCCCTCCACTGATCCACAGAGCCGGCAGGCTGGTGCCATACCTGAGACTCCATCACCTGGTTAACACTCTTTGACCCACCTTGGAGATCTCCAGAGACTCTGCCCCACCCAACTTATGGGTCCACCCAACCTGCTTTTCCATATGAATAGCTGACCTTGGCTCATGGTTCACAACTTCCCAAATGCTATCAAACAAGCAACCGCTGGCTTCAGTGAACCCCAGGCCTGGCACTAGCAGCAGCCAGATTAGATTCACACATTGGTTTCACCTGGGAATCTCCAGGCCAAACACAAGTGACAGCCTTCTCAGATTGCTTTATAACCCAGGAAAGGTGGCCACAGGCAAAACACCAGTGGGGGCTGACCTTGGCCTGCACCATCTGGAATATCCCAGGGCCAGTGCACCCAGTGGACAGCTATAGACCATGTTGGAGCTCCACCATCCTGTCCCTGCACAGCTGATCCTCCACAGAGGGCAGAAGTTTGTGGTAAGTGGTTACAGCCAGTCCTTGCAGCTGACTGGCCTGGGTAAATCCCTTCCAGTGTTCTGCCAACAGAAACCAAGGGTCAACTATATGAGAAATTGTACTCAGTCCACCCAAAGGGCATGCCTCAAATAATAAGTTTCAGTGAGAAGGGAGGCTGTGCCACTGGACCCTACAAAAAAACCTACTATATTAGGCCATGCTACCAAGACATGGAGCCAAAGAAGCTCTACCTAAAACATAGAAACAAACACAGGAGGGCTGCCAAAATAAGGACACAAACATAGCACCATTTATAAGGATGCTCAAGAAACTTAGTGAGGACCCCAGCACCATAAAAAGATCCAGGCAGAAATAAGGATTCATTAATTGAAATAGAAAACAATTTACAGGGGAACAAACGTAGTGTGGATGAAGCCAAGAATCAAGTCAAACATTTGGAACATAAGGAAGCAAAAAACAACCAATCAGAAAACAACAAAAAAGACTACAATAAAAATGAGAGTGGTATAAGCAGCCTCTAGGACAACTTCAAGAAGTCCAACATTCGCATCATAGGGGTACCAGAAGGAGAAGAAAACGGGCAAGATATTGGAAATCTATTTGAAAAAATAATGGAAGAAAACTTCCCTAATTTGGTGAAGGGCAGAGACATGTAAGTCCAGGAAGCACAGAGAGTCCCAACCAAATTAGACCCAAAGAGGACCATACCAAGACACATCATAATCAAAATGCCAGAGGTTAGAGTTAAAGAGAGTATCTTATAAACAGCAAGAGAAAAGCAGAGGGTTGTTTACAAATCAGTTTCCATAAGACTATCAACTGAATTCTTTAAAAAAAAAAACTTTACAGGTAAGAAGGGGTTGGCAAGAAGTAAAGTGATGAAAAGCAGGGACCTACAACCTACATTACTCTATCCAGCAAAGCTCTCATTTAGAATGGAAGGGCAGATAAAGTGCTTCCCAGACAAGGTAAAGCTAAAGGAATTTAAGATCATCAAGTCATTATTACATGAAATGTTAAGAAGACTTACTTAAAGTGGAGAAGAAGGCCAAAACTATGAACATTAAAATGCCAACAGACTCACAGCTATCAACACCTGAACCTAAGAAACAAAAACAAACTAAGCAAACAACAAGAACAGGAACAGAATCACAGGTATGAGGATCATTTGGAGGGTCAGCTACTGGAACAGGGGAAATGGTGCGGGGATCATGAACCATAACTGGTAGGCACAAAAGAGGCACAGAGGGGTGAAGAATACATAGGAAAGAGAGAAGCCAAAGAACTTACACGCACAACCCATGGACATGATCTAAGGGGAGGGATTGCCAGAGGGAAGGGAAGTGCCAGATGGAGGCAGGCAAAGGGAGAAATATTGGGACAACTGTAACAGCATAATCAATAAAATATACTTAAAATGAAAAAAGTCAAACAAACCAATTAAAATTGGGTACAAAACTTGAAAAATGTTTTCTTCAAAGATAACAGAGAAATGAACAATTAATTCATAAGAAAATGAACGGCATCATTTTTCTTGCAGAAATGCACATCCAAACCACAGTGAAACAGCCCCTCACTGGTGGGGGTGTGAAATGGTACTGCCACCAAATGGAACACAGTTGGGAATTTCCTCCAAGAGTTACCCATACTAACTATGATTCGACTCAGCAATTCCACTCCCAGGTATATGCCCAAGAAAACAGAGAACATGTTCAAACAGACTGAAAGTGACAGGAAGGAAGGAGAGAGAGGGTTAGTTGTGGAGAGAAGGGGAAGGGACAAGACAAAGAATATGTATGAATGATCAAGGAAAAGGATTACAGTATAGGAATTAACTGTTGGAGCTGTGGGTAGGAGAGAGACAGGAGGGCAAAAGGGGGTGGGAATTAAGACAACTGCAACAGAAAACAACAATAAAGAAATGAAAAGTTAAGCAACATTCACAGCAGCATTATAATAGCCAAAGAGGGAAAACACCCAAAATGTGCATCAGCTGCTCAGTGGAGGAACTGAAAATAGTACATCCATACAATGCAACATTATTCAGTTTTGCATTCATTTTTATTTAAAGGAAATACTCGGTTATGGAAATATTACTCTTGATTGCTGAGGTTTCCTTGGTTTATCAATGTCTCACTGGCCCAATTCACATCCCGGCCTGAAAAGCAAGGACTTTGTGTCCCAAGACACACCTGTCCAAGACCCATCTCTCTCCTAAGACCCACCTTCGTCCTCTTGCTTCTCCCTCCCAGCCTCCACTCCAGTCCACAGTTATGGCCAGGCAGCACAGGAACTCATTGGTTCCCATGGAAATTTCAGGCTTCATAGCCTTGCCCAGACCAGAGCTGAGCTCCCCTCTCTTGTTCAGGGGCTGCTGGATGGATGTGGGGGTGCAGTGGTTGCTGACTTCCCCCATTCACTCCTCAATCCCCTGGTGCACTCACTGGTCAGAAGGAGGTTCACAGAGAGGTGCAGGGAGCCCTGAGGGTTCTCAGCCTGACAGGAGAATTTCCCTTCATCTCCAGCCTGCACTCTGGGCAGCTCCAGGACCCCAGGCTTGGGGGAGCTCCGGATCCAGTTCTTTTGTGTCCAGCTCAACCGGGCAGGGGGGTTGCTGTCAGCTTCACAGACCAGACGCAAGTAGTCACCCTCCATGACTTCAACAGATGAACCATCCTCCAGGACTCTGGGTGCTGCAGAAAGAGAGAAACAGAGGGTCAGAGTGACACCGAGGGCAGTGGAGAGTCTGACAAACTCTGTCACCCCTGCCTGGTGGGAATGACTGTCTACCTTCTGTGCAGAGCAGCTTGACCACTTCTCTCAAAACGAGAAAGAACATGTGAAGTAGCTGTATTCTGACTTTAGCAACTTATCCCACAGAGGAACACACGCACAGGTGGGAGAACAGACACAGGAGAACTCCTTGCAGAGTTTAGGTTAGAACAAGAGAAGACCCATGGTTCTCCATTGGTAGATGACATGGACATGGCCACAGCCCTCCATGCTGTGGAGTAAGCCACTGTCATGGGGAGGAAGGAGGACGTTGATCCTACTGATGGTGAAGGACCTGTCAGATCCTTCAGGTGGACCAACCAAGGTTCACAGCAGCACGTGGACACTGTTCATGTGCCCAGAGGAGATTGGGCATCTGAGGACACACTTCAGCACCTTCTCAACTGTAGGTCCTGTGACTATATTACCTGTTTAAAACTTATCAATTAAACTATCAGAGGGAAATTAAAACATGGGCCTGGAGGACTCATCAGGAGAGGGAAGGTCAGGGGCCCTGAGGGGCTGCTCTGCATGTGGGTGGTGCCTCGTTCTCCTGGTGCAGCTGACAGGGGCCAGGAGAGTCCTCACGGTGGGGTGGGGAGGGAGTGATGGACCAGCTGCTTGCAGCAGCCTTGGGCCAATAGAAGGGCACTGGGTTCCCCCACATGGGGAAGTCTGGTCACTGGGGTGAATTCAGGCTGAGGTATCACCCACACTGCCCTGGTTTGGAGAGGCTCTGCTCCTCACAGCCCATGATAAGCACCTTCCTACCTGAGTCATTTCCTCGGAGGAAAGTTACAGTCATGTTCTGTGGAGAATCTGGGACAGAAAGACATTGGGGACCAAAGTCAATGGTGAGATCAGTGCACATTGGCTCTTCACCCCCAGAAGCTGCTTAAATGGGGGAAAGGAGGAAGCAGGCATGCCCCTGACCCCATCCCAGAGCAGATTCAGAGCCAAGCACCCAGTGTCTGAGGCCCTGACCCCCACCCATCCTGCTGCCCTCAGGCCCCCAGCAGGGACCCCATGTCTGGGTCCAGTTCTCACAGGACACATTGAGGTGGATTGTCTTCATGGTCACTCTGGCACCAAGCAAGGTCACCTCACAGGTCAGGGTGGCACCATTGTCCTGGGGCCGTGGGGTGAGGGTGAGCACTGAGGAGTTGTGGGTCATGGGGACCAGGGAAGGGTGAGTAGTTGATGTCCAGGAGAAGAGGGGGGGCGTGCCCCGCTCACAGGCCCAGGGCACAGAGCAGGTCAGGTCTGTGGGGCGGCCAGACTCCAGGGTTCCTGGGATGAGGATGTCAGGTGTGTGGGTCAAGGCTGGTGAGGAGAAGGATGGACAGGGCATCAGGATGAGGGTGCCATGTGCAACCTTGAGAGAAACCTCAGGCTTTGGTCCAGCCCCTCCCTCTGAGCCCTGACAGGCTGCACTCCCAGTCACCTCCCAGGATAGGGCCATCCCAGCCCTGCCCCAGGGTCACTTTGAACTTTCCCTGTGGCCTCCTCTCCAGGAAACTGTTCCTTACCCGTCACACGCACGGTGAGTTTTTTCCGTGTGAAGGAATATTTTAGCGTAGTTCCTCTCTCCACCCGAAAAAAGTACGACCCATCATCTGTCTTCCTGGCGTCTCTGATGTCCAGGGAGCAGTTGTGGGCTGCAGGATCCCCAATGAGGAGGAATCGGCCCTGGGTCTCCTTCTGCACTTCACGATCTTGTTTGTTTGTGGCCACTGGAGCATCCTTGGTTGTATGAGCTCCTTCCAGGAACCAGAAGCCATAAGCTGGGTCAGCCTCAGTCCAGCCTTCCTGGGGGTAGGACACACTGCAGGGCACGAAGACACACAGGCCCTCCTGCACTGTCACCAACTCCTGTACTTGCAGCATGTATTCGGGCTTCTGAGCCAGGGACCCTGCAGAGAAGGAAGGGTCAGCCACAGCCCCCACACCACCTGCCCCACTCAGACCCTTGGGCACTCACCTGCCCACAGCAGGGGCAGCGGCAGCAGCAGCAGCAGCAGCAGCATCTCTGGAGGTGTCTGGGTGCCTGTGTGTGTGAAAAGGAGGAAGACAGCAGGAGGAGGGTGCATGGTGACCACAGAAGCTGAGGAGGAACATGGGGCCTCCTTGTCCACAGAGGAGGAACCTCAGAGCTGGAGCTCTGCCCCTCTCTGTGCACAGCAGGCAGACACCTCACAGCCCAGGGAGCCTGCACAGCTGCCTGGGCAACCCTCCCTCAGCCCCCTTCTCCCACTGCAGCTCCCACAGCAGCAGCCTCTCTGGGGCTGGCAGTGCCATGTTCCCTCTGGGAGAGTTTGGTTCTCAGGGTGCGTCTCTCACAAGCTAGAACTAAGTATTGCAATAGTGACAGAAGGCTGCACAGGAAGGTGAGGGTGAGGTCACAGCAGTGACACTCATCAGAGAAGGTGCAGAGGGACCCTATCAGGGCAGGACAGCCCTTCCAGTTCAGCCATCTGCTCCCCACATCCACTCCTGAGAGCCCTGAGGCCAGGGAGGGTGACAGACAACCAAGTCACACCCCTCTGTCTGTGGCATACTTCCTGCTTCCCTTCATGCCCTCCTCCAGGGAGGGCACTTCCTGTACTTATTGTGATGGTATTACACATGCCCCACATTTCCCCCACTTTACCCACCTCCACCCAGCCCCCACAACACCCTGACCTTCACCACACTATTCTCTGTGTCCTGGGCTTTGCATATATGTTCTCCTAACCATTTTTTTGAGAGAGAGGGAGGGTTGAGGGAAAGAAGAAAAGGAGAAAGGAAAACATCAATGTGCTAGAGATACATAGATCAGTTGCCTCCCACATGTCCCCAGCTGGTGACCTGGCCCACAACACAGGTTCATGTCCTGACTGGAAGTTGAACTGGGGGCATTTGCTTCACAGTCCAGTGCTCAGTCCTCTGACCCACACCAGCCAGGACATAGCTAAACTTTTTATCTCCTTTCACCCAGTCCCCCTCACCTTCCCATCTGAGGTCTGTTGTCTGGTGTATGTATGCATGCCTCTGGTTCTATTTGTTCATCAGTTTGTTTTGTTCACTGATTCCACCTAGAAATGTGAGATCATACACTGTTTGTCTTTCACTGACTGGCTCCTTTCTCTTAGCATAATAATCTCCAAGCCCACCCACACTATCACAAGGGCAAGAGCTCCATTTTTACAGCTGAGTAGTATTCCATTGTGTAAATGTACCAGTTCTTTTCATCCGCTCAACTGCTGATGGACACTTGGGCTGTTTCCAGATCTGGCTATTGTAAATAATGCTGCAATGAACATAGATGTATATACATTATATATAATGGGTGGTTCAGGATTCATAGAGTATATATTCTCAGAATTAGAATTGCTGGGTCAAAAGGCAGTTCCTTTTTTACTTTTTTTTGAAGAAACTCTATGTTGTCTTGCACAAGGGCTGCACCAGCCTGCCTCCCCACCAACAGTGCACTAGGGTCACATTTTCTCCACTTCCTCTCCAGCACTTGTTGTTTGTTGATTTATTGATGGTAGTCTTTTGGGCAGGTATGAGGTGATACCTCATTGTACTTTTAATTTGCATCACTCTGATAATTAGTGACATTGAACATCTTTTCATATGTCTGTGGGCCATCTGTGTGTCCTCTATGGAGAAGCATTTGTGTCCATTCAGGTCTTCTGTCCATTTTTTTAAATTTATTTTACCCTCACCTAGGAAAATTTTTCATTGCTTTTAGAGAGAGAGCAAGGGACAGGGACCCAGAGAGAGAGAAACATCAATGTGAGAGAGAAATGCTCATTGTTTGCCTCCTGATGTGCCCAGAATGGGGATTGAACCTACAACCTAGGTAGGTGCTCTGGCCAGACCTCAAATCCACAACCATTTGGTTATGTGACAAAGTTCCAACCAACTGAGCCACACCAGCCAAGACCCTCTGCCCATATTTAAATTGGATTGTTTATCTTCCTGGTGTTGGGTGGTGTAAGTTCATGACCTATCTGGAAACTAATCCCTTACCAGATATATCACTGGCAGTCATATTCTCCCATATCCTGGTTTCCCTTTCCATTATGTGGATGGTTTTGTTTGCTGTGCTGAAGTTCTTAGTGTGATGTGGTCCCATTTCCTTATTTCTTCTTTGCTTCCCTTGCCCTTGGGGATATAACAGAAAAAGTATTGTTGTGTGAGGTGTCTGCAATTTTACTGCCTGTGTTTTCTTCTAGCAATTTTATAGCCTGGTGAGTTACATGTTATCCATTTTGAGTTTATTCTTGTGTATGGTGTAAACTGGTGATCTGGTTTTATTTTTTGCATGTATTTACCTAATTTTACCAACACCCTGTTTTTGAAGAGACAGTTTTAACTCCATTTTATGCTCTTGACTCTCTGTCAAATATTAAATGTCCATAAAGCTGTGGGCTGACTCCTGGGCACCATGTTCTCTTCCATTGATAGATATCACTAAAGGCTCCACCAGAAAACTTCTAGATCTAATTAATAAATTTGGTAAAGTAGCAGCACACAAATTTTTTAATTCATATCAGTGGCCTGTTTATATAGCAATAATGAATTATCAAAAAAGAAACTAAGAAAATAACCCTATTTACTATCGCAACACAAAAGTAAGTTACCTGGGAATAAACATAACCAAGAAGGTAAAATCCCTGTGCTAGAAAAACTATAAGGCATTGAAGAAAAATGGAGGAAGATACAAACAAGTGGAACCATACACCATGTTCATAGATTGGAAGAATTAACATCATTAAATTGTCCATAACACCCAAAGAATACTGTAGATTCAAAGCAATTCCTGTTGAAATAACAATGGAATATTTTACATATGTAGAACAAATATCCCAACAATTTGTAAGGAACCCTCCGAAATATCCCCGAATAACCTCAGCAATCCTGAAAAAGAAGAACAAATTTGGAGTAACAATCTATACTAAAAAGCCATTGTAATCAAAACAGCCTGGCACTGGCACAAAAACAGGCGTACAGAGCAAAAGAAATCATTTTATGCAAAGTGGAAATGGGTCCCTCTGGTCAAGCCCCCTAGTCACAGGCGTAGGATGTGAGGGTGTCAGCCCAAAAAGACTGGGGCTCAGAAACGTGGGAGATGGCCTGGGTCCAGGGGGGATGAGGAAGCCAATTATCTTTCCTGCCTCAGTATCTACATGGTGGGCATATTCTCCCCACTCACAAGGTCACACACTGTCCCAGGAGTCACCTTGTCACTCACACCCTGGTTGGAGGTGGGGTCTCAGTAAGACAGGGAAGGGGGGACACTGGGGTAGAGAGTTGGGGCTTCTGTGTGTTAACACACACCAGGGACATCAAAGAGAGACCCACTGGCAAGATGCATGGTAAACAGAGGCTGGGATTCTTTGTGCTGAGGGGTTTGATGGGAAAGAGTGTGCAGAAAGGAAGGAAGGAGCAATTTCAAAACAGGTAAACACTTCCCCCTTTGTAGCGGCTGTTTTCATCACTGGTACCTCACGGGCCATAATTCTCATTGCTCCAGAGCATGGCTGGGTCTTCCAACCTCGGGGGCTTTGCCAGTGCAGGCTCTGCTCCCAGCAATCTGAGGGGAGGACCCTCAGACTGAGGAACGCCCACCTGGGACAGTGAGGGCGTCCTGAGAGAAGAGACACACATCTCTTTTCACGAATGGTTACTTTTTCACTGTGTGTCTGGAGGGGTCTACAAGAAATTGGAGGGTCCCATGGGAGGCAGCACATTTTTCAAGCCATGTCGGTGTTCTTGATACATTTTGGGGGCAGAAACATAAGAGAAGTGCCCCCACAAGAACAACTTAGTGAATCATCACCAAATGAACACTTTAAATATATATATTTTATTTAGTTTTTTCTAGAGAAGAAAAGGAAGGGAGAGAAACATTAATGTGTGGTTGCCTCTAGTGCACCCCTTACTGGGGACCTGGCTCACAACCCGTCCATGTGCCCTGACTGTGAATCGAACCTGCAACCCTTTGGTTCACAGGCCCACTCTCAATTTACTGAGCTGCACCAGCCAGGGCCAAATGAACACTCCTGAAGACACCGAGATGCATTTTCTTTGCCCTGATTAGCATATGTCAGTGGGCTGGGCATCAGCCTGCAAAGAGAAAGAAAGGTGCTTGGTTGGATTCCTGTCCCAGGCACATGCCAGAATTGTAGGTTCAGCTCAGGTCAGGGTGCCTATGAGGGGCAATTGATACATGTTTCTCCCTCACATCCTCATTTCCCTCCCTTATTCTTTCCCTCCCTCTCTCTCTCCAGTAGTAAATAAATAAATAAGGAAGAGGATGTTGTGGGCAACCCCAAGTCCACAAGACCCATTGTTATCACCGCAATCCAGTCTCCCTAAAGGAGCCCCTATCTTCACTTTAAAGTTAATTGTGTGTTTTATATTCCTTGCTTTTTTTATAACCCCAGCATAGCAGAGATTTGCACATATTCTTTAAGACTTGTATGTAGAGCCCTGGCTGGTGTGGCTCAGTGGACTAAGCACTGGCCTATGAACTAGGCTGTTGCTGGTTCGGTTCCCAGTCAGGGCACATGCCTGGGTTGTGGGCCAGGTCCCCAGTGAAGGGCGTGCGAGAGGCAACCACACATTGACGTTTCTCTTTCTCTCTCTCTCCCTTCCTTCCCCTCTCTCCAAAAGTAAATAAATAAAATAATTTTTTTAATAATTTTTTAATAGCAAAGGTAGGTTCTAGAATTCCTCCTGTCCCTCTCCTCAATCTGGTCCCCAGGAACCAGACTGAGTGTCCCAAGTCCATTGAGTGTCCCAAGTCATGAGTTCTCCTGGACTGCCTAGAGTGTTCAGGGTCCCAGGAGTCCTGGCCCCACACTCATAGGAGACACTGAGCTGGCTGGTTTTCTATGACCATGCAACCTTTAAGAATCATTATGCAGCAAATAGTGGATGCCAAATTCTCAGCCTCCTGGTCAGATGACACAAAAATGAGGTGTTTATGCATATCCTTCATTTTCTCTGGTATGGTAAACTCTCCCTCCCTTCCAGCATTATCTTAAACTAATTTGCCTGTGATGCAATGAACGTGGCCAGGCAAGGAGAGGATGACTGCCCCAGACTTGCTCCGGCGACGGGATGGTGCTGTTCGTGGTGCTGAAATAGGGCCCGGTCTGAAGCTCAGAGATCGCCCAGCTCTGAGAGGGGTCTGATCCATCAGGCATAGGACCCAAGACCTGGAGTGGAGAACGAGTATAACCTGCCTAAGAGACGAGGATGTGGGGGCAAGTAGACTATTTTATCAGTAGGCTGGAGTCCCCTTATGCTGCTCTTTGCTTCCTAGTTCATCCACAGGGATTCTTGTCCAAGTCTGCCTGTCCTGCTGTGGGGTGAGGTACGGAGTCAGGGCAAAGTTGGAAGTTGCAGTGTGGTTGCACTGAGCTCATTTAAGGAGAAGTTTGCAGAGCAAAGAGCTAGCTGTAGAGAAAATGACTCCTGGGGAATTGATTGATACAGTTTGGACAGAGATGTAAGAAGACCAGAGAAGGTAGGTTTTTGCAGGCAGGACAAAGAGAGTCAAAGAAGTAGAGAAAGCCCTAAGTAGACTTTCATTTGTAGATGAGGAGATCAGTGGTGTTTATGAAGAGGTAGTCTTAAAGAAAAATATGGGTGCCCAGCCAGACTGCTAAATTGGTTGGAGATTCATCCTGTACACCAAAAGGTTGCAGGTTCAATCCCAGGTTGGCACATGTATGGGGGACTACCAATTGATGTTTCTCTCATCCATGTTTCTCTCTCTCTCTGCTGCTCTACCTTCCTCTCTCCAAAATCAGTAAAATCGCCCCGGCTGGTATAGCTCAGTGGATCTAGCTCAGGCCTGCAAGCCAAAGGGTTGCTGATTTGATTCCCAGTCAGGGCACATGCCTGGGTTGTGGGCCAGGTCCCCAGTTGGGGGCACATGAGGGGCAACCACACATTAATGTTTCTATCCCTCTCTTTCTCTTTCCCTTCCCCTCTCTCTAAAAAGTAGTCTTTTAAAAAAAAGAATACATATTTCCTGTTGATGACTTTTTTAAAAAAATTAGAGAGGGGGGAAACCAGGCATAAAGGGGCTGAGGAGTGAGGGCACATCTCATACTGTCTCTGGAACCTCAGACACTTCACCTCCACCCTGGAATCAGAGAGAATAAAGGGGAAGCTCTGTGCACCCTGACTCAGAATGAGTCCTTAGGCAGTCACAGGAGAGACAGGCTGTCTCTGAGGTCAACTATGAGATAGGAGAGACTGTGGGGCAGGACACCTCACTGGTCATGTTGTACCTTTTTTGCTTTTTAGCATGTAAGTGCCTGGCCTGTGTAGATAACACAATTTATATAAAACAAAGTATATCCTGTACTGAACTGTTGCCAGAACTTTTTTTTTGGCTGTTCCTTGATTAGACCATCCCACCCCTTAAATTCTCTATATCCTTGAATGTGTAGACACACACACACACTTCCCCCTGTAGGAAGCACAACATAGAGACTGAAAACAGGGGTCAGGAAACTGTACTGCCCAGCAGCCTAATCTGGCCTGCTGCCTGTTTTTATGTGACCCGCATGCAGGGAATGATTTTACCCTTTTAAATGTTTGGGGGGGAAGCCTGGCTGTTGTGGCTCGGTGGAGTGAGTGCCAGACGGCAAACAAAAGGGAAACTCGTTCATTCCCAGTCAGGGCACATGCCTGGGTTACTGGCCAAGTCCCCAGTTGGGGACGCATGAGAGGCAACCACACACTGATGTTTCTCTCCCTCCCTTCTCTCTCCAAAAGTAAATAAAATCTTTTTAAAAATAAATATTTGGGGGGAAAGGAAACAATTTTCTAATGCATGCAAACTGCATGAATTTTAATTTTTTACTTTATTTTTATTGTTGACACTATCACAGATGTCTTCATCTTCTGCTTTGCCCACCTCCACCCAGCCCCTCCCCTTACTTCCCTCTGGCCATCACCACACTCTTGTCTGGGTCTGGGGGTCATACATATGTTATTTCCATGTCCATCAATAGTTTTACTGGAATGCAGCCCCCTCATTCATTTCTGTCCATGTCCACAGCTGCTTTCACCCTCCAACAGCTGAGTTGGGAGAGACTCCATGGTTCGCAAGGCCTAAAACATTTGCCACTTTACAGATTTCTGCTTTAGATCCAGGCAGTCTGAGGAAGGACTTACCGCTGAACCAGAATTCTACAGCTATTAAGTAGAAACTACAGTGGTACCACCTCACAGGTAACATAGAACATTGAGACTCAGATGAGAACCACAGCCATATCTGCCAGGCACTGTTCTAAACTCTTAACAGGTGTCATTAACCCAATTTTTGAAAAAAGTTTTATTTATTTAATTTTAGAGCAGGGGAGAGGGAGAAAGAGAGGGAGAGAAATATCACCAGGCATGTGCCCCGACTGGGAATCAAACCAGCAACCCTTTGCTTCAGAGGCCGGCACTCAATCCACTGAGCCACACCAACCAGGGCTGACCAGTAATGATCCTTCATGGTAATTTCACCGAGGTCATCTATCCTGAAACTGAGGCATTGTGCTTCCCAACATAAGGAAAATATGGGCTACATAATGCCTGCCATGTCCCTCAGGTCAGCACTCACCAGTGACCCACACACCTTCACGCTCTGCACCTTTTGGGATTTCTAAGTCTCCGCTGCCTTCCTCAGGAGGACCTTTGAGGCCCAGTTCTGGTAATCTGGGTTTAGGGAGCCTGAGTCTCAGTCTCCCCACCCCAGGACCTTTGATCTCCCGAGTCTCAGAAATCCCAGTTTTTGGACTCCTTAGCCCCCTGGATTTGAGTTTCAGGGGCGCGGACGCCTTTAGCCACTGGAGGGGAGATGGAGTCTCCAGGCCCGTGGGTCTGGATGGGGAAAAGTTGTCTCTGCAGCCCTGGTTTTCTCTGTCTCCAGGCCTTGGGGCTCCTGGGTTGGAAAGAAGGGTCCACGCCTTTGGGCCTGTCTAGCGGGTCCAAGTCTTCAGGCCCTGGGATTACTGCAACTCCGAGTCTCCATGATTCTGAGCCTCGGGACTGACTACAGACCTTCAAAGGTCTGGGCCTTTGGACCCCTCAGTCTTGGAGTCGGGGTCTGTAGAGTCTCCTGGTCCCGTCGGGGCCTCTCTCTCTCTTACCCTCCATCATCGAACTCCACCTCCATATGCTAGGAAATGTGTACCGGGTTATCTGGTCCGGGCCTGTGCAATGGACTGCAATCTTAACCACCACCCAAAGCCAGCCAGGCACATCCACAGAGACCCCCCCACCCCACCGCATCCCAACCAAAGTGACTGACAGTTGACGCACTTGCAGTGATCTCAGCTCGCACACTGCTCCCTCTCCCCATTTGACAGTCTGCAGCCACCAGGACCGCCTCTGCGAGCAAGCACAAACCCACTCCGAGCCCCCACCCTCGGAACGTCTGCCCTGCGCAGGCGCTGTCTCTTGCTTTTACCCTGGCGCCCAACCCCCGCCCTCCCACTTAACCCCACCTCCAAGTGATCATATGCTCTATAGTCTCTTAAAAAGCTCATGATAATCCCACAAAAGCAGATAATCTGCTGCCTCTTGGCCTTTCAACAGTCCTGCACCGCGACTGCGCTTTACCGCAGCAAAAGAAATATGTGTCTGCCAACTCCCAAGTCTATGCGCAGGCGCAGAAAGAAAACGTGGAGATGGGGGCGTGACAGGAGAGAGCACAAGGGTTTCTGGGAGTTGTAGGCCAAGCTGGATTAGTAGCCCGAGATGCTTGGAGCAGAGCTGTTGCATGGGGTTCTGGGAGCCGTAGGCAAGACATCCCGATGCCTGTGGGAGTTGTAGTCTCCGCAGTCACTTCCGCCTCGGGCTTCCGCGTTGTCTGACAGGCCTTCCCAGCCCCGCGTTCAGCACAGGTGAGTATTTACTCCTGGGCGGGTGGGCCCGTGGGCGCCCCTCTTTATTCCGATGCTTTGTAAGAATTCAGGGTCTCTGGTATTGCAGACTCGCCTTTGTGACTTCCCAACGCTTGGATCCCCTGAGGCCTTCTGGCCAGGTTCTCCACTTTGGATACTGTGGTTCGCCTGCCTCAGTCTCACCCACCCCCTCCCCCATCCCCCTGCCCCCGCCTCTAATCCGGTGCGTTCGGGAGGTCCCTATTCTACCTGCGAACCTCGGTCATTATACATGTCTCACACTGTGCATCCCCTGACGTGGCAGCAGCCCCAGGCATCCGAGGGGTGCGTGTGCCCTGGGGGCACTTATTATTCCCTCATCCTACAGATTCTGTGTGCCAAAACCTGTGTACCACGTGGAGGAAGACAGTGCTGGGGAGGCAGACACAGTGCCTGCCTTTAGTGAGCTCACAGAACAGTGGGGGAGTCAGATCTGTCGCCATGCCAGGTAGAACCATGTTTAGGCAGGGATGGAGGCATACCAGCTGCTCTGCGAGCCCAGAGGACGCGCCTGACCCAACCTGGGGTCCACAGAGTGTCCAAGGGGAAGATGCTTAACAGGGACTTCAAGCATCTGGCATGTCCCCCATGGAGTTCCTGGTCGTCCCCCGCTTCTGCTGCCCGTCGACTAAATGCTCCCACCATCCTCCCTGGTCCTTTGGCCAACACCTTACTGGTCAGCCCTGGCTGGTGTGGCTCAGCGGATTCAGTGCCAGCCTGTGAACTGAAAGGTCAACAGTCCGAATCCCAGTCAGGGCACATGCCTGGACTGGCCGCCAGGTCCCCAGTAGGGGGCACCCAAGAGGCAACCACACAAGGATGTTTCTCTGCCTCTCTTTCTCCCTTCCTTTCCCTCTGTCTAAAAACAAATAAACAACAACGACAAAAGGGGTGAGAGGATTTGGAGAAGACACTGGGCAGCATCCCGTCGGCTTTGTGGGGAACAGTGGGTGTATCACAGCCTGCTCCCCCTGCGCACTCCCTGGGTCTGTTTTGGGCAGGGTCTCAATGGAGGCAGCTTCCTGGGAGTCGACTCGCCATCCGGAATCCGCTTGTAACCTGCTCTCTTTCTCTCCCAGTCCAGGAGAAGCGGACCCCTCTCACCCAGCCCAGACCGCGCAATGCCGGCCCCGCCGTGCGCCTCCTGCGGCAAGGCCCGCGCGGCCCTGCGCCGCCCGCGCTCCGGCCAAGCGCTGTGCCGCACCTGCTTCTGCTCCGCCTTCGAGGCCGAGGTGCTGCACACGGTGGTCGCGGGCCGCCTGCTGCCTCGCGGCGCCGTGGTGGCCGTGGGCGCCTCGGGCGGCAAGGACTCCACGGTGCTGGCGCACGTGCTGCGCGAACTGGCGCCCCGCCTGGGCATCTCGCTGCAACTGGTGGCGGTGGACGAGGGCATCGGCGGCTACCGGGACGCGGCGCTGGCGGCAGTGCGGCGCCAGGCGGCGCGCTGGGAGCTGCCCCTCACCGTGGTGGCCTACGCTGACCTCTTCGGGGGCTGGACGATGGACGCCGTGGCCCGCAGCACGGCTGGCTCAGGCCGCAGCCGCTCCTGCTGCACCTTCTGCGGGGTGCTGCGGCGCCGGGCGCTGGAGGAAGGGGCGCGTCTCGTGGGAGCCACGCACATCGTGACAGGTGAACTCACGCGCTGGGATAGGAGGGACTTTGTGGGAGGGTCGGGCGCGTGCTCGGGCAAGGGTGGGCGCTGGAAGGAGGCTGAGGCTCACGCCCAAGAAGTGAAAAGGCGCCCCTGGGTGTGTCATAAGTGGCGGGTCTAGCATAGTTCAGGGCCGTGGTATGTGCACGTCCCTGGGACGGTGTGGGGCAGGCGTGGCAAGATTTTGAGTCATTGTCGTCACCTGGGTGCGCACGCGCACACAAATAATGGCAAATGGAGAGCCGGGGCGGGGTTCTCTTAGGGCTGTGGTTCTCCGCATTTTTAAATGGCACTCTGTAGGTTTTCCCTCACAAAAGGAGGGGCGTGCAGGGGTGTCTCCCTTCTGTCGTCTCCAACGCAACGGGGTCTTTTAACTCCTTTTCTCCCTCGGCTTCACCTCTCTGATAACTCTCTTCTTCTCTCCCAGTCATTACTTCAGCAAATGAATATTGGCCATTTACTGTGTGCCAGATTCAAGCCGTGTAGCCCAGAGCAAAGCTCCAAACCTCGGTTTCCTCTTTGGTTAAACGGGGGCATTAACACCATCTGGGTCCCGGAGATGCTGAGAACTAGATGTGTGGAGCACTTAGACTGGAGGCTGGAAAGCAGTGACCCTGATTCAAACCTTCGCTCTTAGGCTCAACCCAGTCCCTGCTTCTGCCCGATTCTCACGCGCTCACTGCAACCTGAGCGCTAACAAGAAAAATTAACCTTTGTGAGTTTGCGGCAGGAGGACCCAGTGGGAAGAGAAAGGCGGGGACTAAGGAAGCGTTTCTGGGTGAGCCGGGACCTGAAGGCTGCGTGGGTGACTAGTGAGGGATGAATGGAGGTTGGAGAGATGGTTCTCAGCAAAGGAAACCGCTTATGCAAAGGCCCCGAGGCGAGGATGTGGGGCCGATGGAGAAGCCCCGAGAAGAGCCGTATTTTACTGCAGAGACTCGGGTGTAAGATGAGAGGATGTGGAGGAAACAGGGATTTGGCTTAAATTCTGTGGCGACTGTCCGGTCGTTGGTTTCCCGCCATCCGCCTTTGCAGAAGCACCTGTGTCGCCAGCGCTGCTGAGGGTCTCGGGTGCCGTTTCGACTCCTCCCGTTCGGTCTGAAGCACACTTTTAACTGAGGCTGGCATGATGTCTGTAGCGTAAAGCACTTTACTGCCTCCGTGAAAGGGCATCTAGCCCAGGGCCTGCCTGGCCCAGTCGGTGGGTGGCCGTGAGGGCACCCCAGTTGCTCCGTGGGAGCGCGTGTCTGTCCCCTCCTGTTTCTTGCTGTGTCCACCTTCTGCCTTCACTGACTGCCCCACGGTCCCCGGGGCCGCCATGGCCTGCACCCCTTGCCCCCACCTGCCGGTCTCTTTCTGAGTTCTGGCTGCCCCACGGTGTCCCCATGACCAGCAGCCCCCCGCGCCCCCTCCTGACCTGCTCCCCTTCTCTCCCCCAGGTCACAACGCCGACGACATGGCGGAGACCGTGCTCATGAACTTCCTGCGGGGCGACGTGGGCCGGCTGGCCCGGGGCGGCGGCCTGGGCTCCGCGGGCGAGGGGGGCGCCCTGCCGCGCTGCCGGCCGCTGCAGCTGGCCTCGCAGAAGGAGGTGGTGCTGTACGCGCACTTCCGCCGCCTGGACTACTTCTCCGAGGAGTGCGTCTACGCGCCCGAGGCCTTCCGCGGCCACGCGCGCGACCTGCTCAAGCTGCTGGAGGCCGCACGCCCCTCGGCGGTGCTGGACCTGGTGCACTCGGCGGAGCGCCTGGCGCTGGCCCCTTCGGCCCGGCCCCCGCCCGCCCGCAGCTGCTCCCGCTGCGGGGCGCTGGCCAGCGGCGCGCTCTGCCAGGCCTGCGCCCTTCTGGACGGCCTGGACCGCGGCCGGCCCCGCCTGGCCATCGGCAAGGGCCGCCGGGGGCTGGACGAGATGGGGCCGCGTGGGGCGCCTCGGGAGCAGGTCCAAGCCCCAGCCTCCGAGGCCGTGCCCTCCTTCTAGAGACCACAGTGTTCTGTTGGGATCCGACCTGGGAGCTCAGGGAGCCTGTAAATGACACTGTGAATAAACCCCAGTTACCTTTGCCCAGGGCTTCCGTGTGAAGTCCGGAGGGGGGACGGAACCGCTGAGCTGTGACCCTGCGGGAGCTGGGGCCTGAGCCCCTGGGTCCGAGGGAGGAGGGGGCCGAAGAACTTCCCACTCCCGAGCGAGTGCGAATTGGGGGGCTGCTTGCCTCGTACCCCTGCCAGGTTCTCCGCCAGCCCTAGCCCTTCCTGAGCATCTGCTGTGTGCAGACTTTTCCTGTTTGCCTGTTGCAGGGTAAGCAAAGCCACCGGCGTTGATGGGCACGCGTCATTCACTGTAATCCTGGTGCTTCTCCGAGCCCAGTGCACGCCGCAGGCCCCGCCCCCTCAGTTCATTCCCACCGTCTCATTGGCTGTAGCCTGAGCACCAGCAACCGGCCTGAGGTCGCCTGGATGGAGAGGGACGGAACTGGGGGCTCACACCAGGGTCTGCCTGGGGCTCTTGTCCCCCACCCCCTCACACCTGAATCCCTCCTGGTGGCTCTGTGATGGATGAGGAGCAGCTGGGTGGGTTTCCCAGACCTCAGCTTCTGGGGGCCGAGCTGAGTGAGCCCGGGTCAGTGATTTAACTTCTCTGGTCTTCGGTTTCCTCCCCTGAAAATGGAATCGAAGCACTGTTGTGAGGATTTGACGAAGCACTCCATAAATGGCGCCAGCTTGGTTGTTCGCATTAAAATTTGGACACCAGGGGCTCTGGGTTTCAGGATTGCCACTTTGCTGGTCCAGGCAGGCCTTAAGCCCACAAGCTTCCTGCTGGACCCCTGGGGAGACGTGGTGTTTTCAGCCCCACCTCTCAGCTTTCCTAGGCTGGCCCCATGTCTGGAATGCCTTCCCCTGACCATCATTCTGCTCAAATCCTCCAGGGTCCTCCTGGAAGCTTCCCGGGTGGATTCTTCCGCCCTGTTCAGACCCCACCCACAGGGTCAGGCCTTCGTGTCTGGCCACTTGTACTCTTCTGGTCTCGTTTTTTCCTAATTAGATTAGGCTGGAGGACAGGGACAAGATGGCCCTGTCTCTTCCACGAGTTAAACAAACATTTGTTTAATAATTCATTCAAAAAAAACGTTTATTGAGCCCTGGCTGGTTGTAGCTCAGTGAACTGAGCGTAAGCTGTGAACCAAAGGGTCATCAGTTCGATTCCCAGTCAGGGCACATTTCTGGGTTGCAGCTGAGGTCCCCATTGGGAGCTCCTCTCCTTCTCCTTCCCTTCCCCCCTCTCTAAAACTAGATAAGTAAAGTCTTTTTTTTTTTTTTAAGTTTAATTGAGCACTTTGTCTGTGACCTGTGTCTTGGGTGTGAGAAATTCCTCCAGGGGCTAATGCTGTCATGAGCAGAAGACAAAAGCCCCGCCTCCTCATGAAGTTCAAGTCTGTGAGCCGCAGACAATCAGCAAATGGAGGACTCACACAACCACATGGTTAAGTCAACAAGTAAAATAAGGGGGGAGATGGCAAGAGCCAGTTTCCATAAGCATCAGGGCAAGGCCGCTTTGAAGAGGCAGCATTTGGACAGAGGCCAGAATAAGGCAAAGGGATGAATCTTAAAGCCGCCCTGGGAAAAAAAACTTTCTGTCTGGAGGGACAAGTTTTTCCTGCTGCTGGAGATGGAAATAAGCTTGGGAATCCAGGGAACAGCAAGGAAGTGTGTCCACAGCAGAGTAGATGGGAAGAATAATAGTAGGCGATGAGATGAGACAAGGCAGCAGCCAGGGAAGGTCAGGCTGGGTCTTTAGAGGCAATAAATACTACAACTATTCTAAGAGTGATGGCGAGCCCTTGGAGGACTTTTCACCGAAAGAGGCCAAGATTCGATTTCCATGGTCTGAAAAATCACTCCAGCTGCAATGAGGACAATGGACTGTAGGGGGCGCAAAATGGCCAACGTCAATTGAGATGACTTTTTTTTTTTTTTTTTTTTTTTTTTTTAATCCTCACCTGAGGATGTTTGTTGATTTTAGAGCACAGGTGGCAAACACAGGGCAGAGGGCTGAATCTGGTCCCCCACTTTGTTTTATCCGGCAGGGCACCTTGTTTCTACCCTGTGGCAGCGCCGAGTTCCTTGCCCCTACTTGAGGAGTAGTTACGTTTATGGAGTCCTAAAGTTACATTCAGCCCTTTAAAGAAGGCACGCGCGAGGCTGATGTGGCCCCCAGTGAACCTGAGTTTGACACCCCTGTTTTAGAGCGAGAGAAAGGGGGAAGAGAAGAGGAGAAGAGAGAAAAGAGATGAGAGAGAAGCATCAATTGATTGCCTCCTGTGCACACTCAGACCAGGGGCTGAACCCACAGCCTAGGAACTTCCCCTGACTGGGGATCGAACCTGCAACCTTTTTGTGTACGGGATGATGCTCCAACCAACTACGCTGCCCAGCCAGGGCATACTTTTCTAAAATAATATTTATTTTTTCAACTATGGTTGACATACAATATTATATTAGTTTCAAGTGTACAACATAGTAATTATTCAGATATATAATATATAATGATTCTATAACATCTATATAATAACCATTATATAATATAATTTATTATAATTATACAATATAATTTATTGTATATAGTATTTATTTTATGTATTATGTAGCATATATTATTTTATTGTTATTATGTAATATAATAACTTACAAAGTGAATCCCCCATAAGTCTGGTACCCACCCAACGCCACGCGTAGTTACCACAGTGGGGTGACTTTTGCATTCCAGACACTGTGGAACTTTCCTCCCTTGTCAACTCAGAGATGTGATGGGCTGGGTTTTGGCCCTGATTTTACAAAGGATGAACTTGTGGCTCAGAGGAAGGAAATGACTGGAAAGTCACACAACAGCAAGTCAGTGGAGGAAGCAGGACGCCTGACCCTTTCGCTGCGCTGCCTAATTGGAAGCCAGAGACCTGGGTCCTTGTAGGTCAGCCACGGATTCACCACATGGCTTTTTCCTTCTGTTCAACTGGGTTTCTCTCTCATACCTAGGGCGGTGGGTGAGATTTCTGTTGTGGTTCAGAGCAGCGATATCCAATAAAAATATAATTTGAGTCATGCATGTAATCTTAAAGTGTGTAATAGCCATATTTTTATGGGGGGGAGCAGGTGACATTTAAATAACATTTTTAACTGTTTTTAATTTATTTTTAGAGATAGGGGAAGGGAGGGAGAAATAGAGGGAGAGAAACATCAATGTGTGGTTGCCTCTTGCGCACCCCCTCCTGGGGACCTGGCCTTCAAGTCAGGCATGCGTTTGATTCACTGACTGGGAATCGAACTTGAGACCCTCTGGTTTACAGGCCGGCGCTCAATGCACTGAGCCACACCAGCCAGGGCTAAATAAATAACATTTTTTGACACACTATACACAAAATATTAGGATTTTAACATGTAATCCATTTAAAAACTTCAATTTATTTCTTCTGCTAAGCTTTCGAAATCCAGTGTGTATGTTACACTTGCAACCTGTTTGGATTCAGGCTCCACCACCGTTAAAAGCACCTGTGACTTACGTTTGAGGGCCCTACTTGGGAGATGGGAACGATGCTATTCTCAGCCCTGGCCACAAAGGGTCGCTGTGTTCATGCCTGTGCATTGAGCGGCTGTTGCTTGTGAAGCAAGCTCTCTCTTCCCACTGCCGGTTTGGGGCTCTCGGATCTCTCCCTGGCCTGAGCCAGCCTCCAAGGGCGAGAGACACAGTCTAGGAGAAATCTGAAGGCCCCCACATGAACACTGGAAACCGTCCTTGGCCTCAAGGCTCGCCTGTTCATTCATTCACTCATTCATTCATTCCACAAATATTTATTGAGCACTTAATTAGTGGCAGCAGTTAACAAGCAAAAACCTGCCCTCATGGGAGAGGCCCATAAAGAAATGAGAAAAGTAAGTCTAATATATGGTACATCAGAGGGTGATAAATCAGGGGAGAGAAGCACGCCACCTGTTTGCATGGGTGCAGTGTAACTCCTCACAGTTGGGCTTTCTCTTTTCTGGAACTGAAATGCCTGGCTTCCGCTTTGATTGTGGAGGCATCTACTGCAAAGATGGTTTTCTGAAACAAGCCCATTGCCAGCCACAGGACTAGAGAGAGGGCCAGGCTGGCCCCTTGTTTTGGAGGTCTCAGTTGATTTTGATAACTGACCATTTAAACTCCTTGTTCTCTCTCTCTCTCTCTCTCTCTCTCTCTCTCTCTCTCTCTCTCTCTCTCTCTCTCTCTTTTCCATGAGATCTTGCTGTGTGGCTCCAGATGTACAGTGTAATATCCAGAGCCAAAAACTTTTCTTTCAAATATTTCTGGTGGTTATTGCTGAGGGAGTCTTGCAATCATAAGAACCACAAGGGCCAGCCCTGGCTGGTGTGGCTCAGTGGATTGATCACCAGCCTGTGAACCAAAGGTTTGATTCCCAGTCAAGAGCACCCGCTTGGATGGCTGGCCAGGTTCCCCACTAGGGGGCGTGCAAGAGGCAACCACACATTGGTGTTTCCCCCTCTTTCTCTACACTTCCGCTCTATCTAAAAATAAATAAATAAAATCTTTAAAAAAGAAGAAGAAGAACCACAAGGGCCAGTCCAGCCACTGCACTGGTTATCAATAGGCTCAGACCACAGAAGACAGTCGGGTGGATAGGGAAGACATCCAGGAGAAAATGACATTTGGGGAAACACCTGTCCAAGGTGAAGCTGTAAACTCTGCAGATTTTTGGGGAGGGTGTTGCTGGCAGAAGAACAGCAAGTGCAAAATCCGAGGCAGGCAGTGATGGAGGGGTGAGTGGAGGAGAGAGGGACCAGACTGCCCCAGCTCGGCTTGGTTAGGAGACAAGAGCCACGGAGACTTGGAGCAGAGGAGGGGTCATCCCTCGTTCACGCAGCAAACACATGCTGGCCCCTCCCAGGAGCCAGGCCCTGTGCAGGGCAGTGAGCGAACGGCTGAGTCAGCCCCAGTGCCTGCCCTCGGTGGGCTCCCGTCTAGTAGCAGAGGCTGCACCGGCACTGAGAAGTCAAGGGGGACCGGTGTCTCAGCAGAAGGTAGTAAGGGGACAGGGGCCCAGAGGCGGGGCACCCAGCTTAGCATGGGGTGTCAGAGAATGTCTTTCAAAGGAGGGAGTGCTTAACCTGGGACCCTGAAGACGAGTGAGAAGGAACACGAGAAAGGAGTGAAAAAGAAACCAGAGACTGGCAGACACCAAGGACCCCAGGCACACAGCAGCAGAAGCACAGAGAACCAGTGAAGAATGGCTGCCCCTGCTGCAGGACGGCCACGGAGGAGCTGGCGAGGGCGGCCAGGCCCCCGAGAGGGGTCAGAACACTGCTGTGTGCGCCCCTGAGCCTCCAGCTGGGCTTGTGGGGCATTGGGAAGAGTTTGGAGCAGACCGGGCTGGCCGTGGTGTCAGAAAGACCCTCCTGAGGCTGTGTCCAGGAGGTTGGTCGGCCAGGGAAGAGCTGAAATTAGGCTGTGACAAGGGAGTGGGAATGGCTGGGGGCAGACACCAGAGCTACTTAAGAAGTCCTCACTGCGGGTTAGAAATCCTGCTCAGCTTCAGGGTGTGTTTTGTAAGCATAAGAGTTCCCACAGTTTCTGCTAAACAGACTGGGCAGAGGTCAAGGTGTTTGCCACCTAGGCAGACGGCCCACAGTGAACACAGGAGAGTCTAGGAAGAGAGCGAGAGTCAACGTGGAGGGCTGGGAGGGATGCTGCTGAGGCAGGGGACCTTAGTCTTCACCGAGCAGGACTTTCACTGAGGCCTGTGGCCTTGGTGAATGCAGCCCCTACATAAACTCAAGCAGTCCTTGAAAGGACTCTACCTGATGAGGCAGAAATCCCCACGCCCTGGGGTCCTGTCCATCCCCTGGAGTTGGAAACATTCTTCTCTGCAAGACTTTGGAGCCCAGTCTAAGAAACCTGGGTTTCCCCCTTCCCCCCATGAGTGCTCTCCCAGGGCTGGGTGGTTGGAGATTCCTGTCAGGTATGAAGAGGTAGAAACATTGGATGTAGATGTTCTGTAGAGAAGCCTCCATGATGATCTCACTCATCCACCCATGTTCACAGAGCTCCTGCCACATGTAGGTACCGGACTGGGCTCCAGGAACCCCGCAGTGACCACACAGTCCCTGCCCTCACAAAGCTTCGGTTCTAGTGACAGAGACATTTCTTCATGTCGACAGCGTTTACTGAGCACCTGCTCTGTGCCAGGGCACAGAGGTGGATCAAGCAGGCGGAGCTCCCTGCCCTTGTCGGGGCTGACACAGCAACTCTGGGAGACAACACAGAAAGCACATAGAACGTGAGGGACAACCAGTGCTGATAGGTGCCATAGAGAAAAACAAAAACAAGGACAAATAAGGAAGTAAACACATAAAGCAATTAGACATGCAAATAAGGCGTAGACTGGAAGACAGCAAAGAGGCTGAGGCAGGCACTAAAAGGGAAGGTCTGCTCCAGAGAAGGTGACCAGCAGGTGACCGACCATTCAGCAGAGATCTGAAGGATGACTCTGGGGCAGAGTGGTGGGAAGTGTGTCCCAGGCAGAGGGAACGGCAAAGACAAAGGCCCTGAGGCGGGAAGGCACCTGCTGTGTCAAGCAAATCAAAGAAACCTGGCCGATGGCTCAGTTGGTTGGACCATCATCCCACACACCAAAAGGCTGTGGGTTCGATTCCCGGGCCGGGCATATATTTGGGTGTCGGATTCAATCCCCAGTCAGGGCTCACCTGGGAGGCAACCAATCAGTGTTTCTTTCTCTCTCTCGCTCTCCTTTCTTCTCTCTAGAACATCTCCTCAGGTGAGAGGTTTGTTTTGTGGGGTTTTTTTTTTTTAATGAAAATCAAAGAAGCCCAGTAGGCCTGAGGCACAGAGCATGGGGGAGCAATGAGCTTGAGGAGACAGACAAGCCCAACATACACCATCCTGGAGGCATTTAGGTTTTATGACAATTGCAGTGGGA